ACTTACAAATATAAGAGAAAGATAACAATTATATTTTGCTTACCTAACATTAAAACTTAAGCTACACCATTCACCTCTATACCTAACACCTTTAATAATGAACGAATATAAGTCTAACCACAGTATGTCTGCTTCAGCTCAGCAATGACAATTAATTTTTTTTTTTGTTTATTGGATTATTTGCTGTCAATCTATTGAAGTCATTTGGGTTTGGTTTATTTGGGCGTCGTACAAAGAGACCGAAAAACGTTCCAAGATTGCGGAAACAGACTTCATTGCGATCTCATCGCACCCCATTTTATGTCAAACATTTAAGAGTAATATACTTGATATTGTAAACAAATAAGAGTTCCCACTAAATAATTTCAGAATACATCCCCCAACCAAAACCATTGTTTAATATAAGGACATTTACTAATTTTTTTTTTGCATTTATCAAGAGAAATTCGAAGACAAACAGAGACTTAAAATATTACTCAATTGTCCAACTAGAATCTTATGTTTATAAGGAGAATCCTAAGTACGAAGATGTCTACCCAAAAATTATTTGATACTAAAGTTTTACGAGTTAAACCAGAATCCATAAAGTTTTCACCGAACGCTTTCTTGGACGGTTCGCTACCCACAATATTGGATCCAAATACGGAGGTAGCCCTTAGAGAGGCAGCACGTATAATCAGAGACACAGATGATACAGTGGCATTCCCTACTGAAACAGTATATGGCCTAGGTGGATCTTCCTTGAATGATGACTCTGTTCTTAACATATACAAAGCCAAAAACAGACCCAGCGATAACCCTCTAATCTCACATATATCATCTATAGACCAGTTGAACCGTAAAATATACGGGGACACAAATCTTCATCCCTCTGAATTACTAAAACACATTCCAAAGTCATATCATAATCTAATCAACACACTCTGGCCTGGTCCACTAACCATCCTTCTTCCAGTCCCCCCTCATGATACTAATACGCTTTCCAAATTGACAACAGCAGACCAACCGACATTTGCCGTTAGGATTCCATCCAATCCTGTAGCGAGAGCATTGATTGCATTAAGTGACACTCCAATTGCAGCACCATCGGCTAATGCTTCAACCAGACCTTCTCCTACCCTTGCATCACACGTCTATCATGATCTTCAAGGAAAGATCCCTCTGATTTTGGACGGAGGTGCCTGTAAGGTTGGTGTCGAAAGTACGGTAGTTGATGGATTATGCAGTCCTCCACTTTTACTAAGACCTGGTGGTTTCACATATGAGGATATTAGATATGTTGGAGGTGAATTTTGGGCAAACTGCAAAGTTGAAAGTACAAAGAGTGTAAAGGCCGATGAGAAAGTCAGAACACCTGGTATGAAATATAAGCACTATGCTCCATCAGCTAAGGTTGTACTTTTGCTACCGTCGGATGATAAAGATAAAGAAAAGAAATTGGAGCTTTTCAAGCAATTATTTTCAAAAGAGATACATGACAACCCTGGTGTTCAAAAAATAGCCATTCTGACCACAAAATATCTAGACAATATTAAAGACTCTGAACTTGAAAATTACAAAAATTGCGATTTAATTATAAAGACTTTGGGTCATGATGGTGAGGAAATTCAAGCAAATCTATTTGCAGAATTAAGACAAGTTGATGAAACTGACAAGGTTGATCTGATATTTGTTGAAGGGATTCCAGAGGAAGAGGAAGGTCTAGCAGTGATGAATAGACTAAGAAAGGCAGCAGCCAACAATTGCATAGCATTTTAATACGTCTTAGCATTTAATTTAATTTCATAGCATATAATATCACATTATCAATACTACTTTAGGTCTGGCAGATTGCCCAACAAGATCTCTTATATCAATTTGCCTTTGTATTATTGTTATTGTCTTTTTTTTTATTGAATATATAAATATATGTACATACGACTTTCGTATTAATTGTTTATGCCAGATAGTATTAGATGTAAATATTTGGAAAGGTAGAATATCGCTACTTAACAAATTCATTTATTATCATACCGTTGTAGTATAACGATTTTCTTCTTCAACGTAGTTTGTTAAGTATTGATTTACGATAAATTTACGCAACTCGTCCACTATAAAAACTGTACTACTCAAACAAAACAGTAATAACAGATCAAATGCACCTAATCTTTCTGTCTTGAAAACATGCTGTAGAACTGGAACATATATCACACATAACTGTGCGATCAACGAAAGACCTACGGATAAATTGAACATACTGTTTGAAAAAACTCCAATCTTAAATATCGATTTTGTAGCGTGTCTACACGCTAATGCATTAAACATGTCAAAGAAAACAAAACAGGTAAATGTCATTGTAGTATCTCTGGCAGATTTTTCACCGTCGGTACTCATTTCTTTAACATATATGAATACAGTTCCCAATATAATACAAATAGCAGTCCCCAATATACGTCCCAACACAGCGATAGTTAAAATTCTTTCTGAGCGAGATCTTGGTGGTTTCTTCATTACTTCATGATCTACAGGTTCTACACCCAATGATTGAGCAGGAGGTCCATCCATAAGAATATTAATCCAAAGAATTTGCATGGCGTTCAAGGGATTTGGTAAGTTCAACGCGGTTGCAAGTGCGATCATGGAAAGTGCTGCAATGGAGGTTGACAATTGAAATGTTAAAAAGTTTTGAATGTTATTAAAAATACCTTTTCCTTCTTCGACTGCAGTCAGAATGGTGCTAAAATCATCATCAGTTAAAATCATATCGGAAGCTTCTTTAGCCACATCTGTACCAATGATACCCATAGATATACCAATGTCAGCCAACTTCAATGCTGGCGCATCATTCACACCGTCACCAGTCATGGCCACAACGTCACCTCTCTTTTTCAATGCTTGAACAATATTTAACTTATCTTCTGGAGTCGCACGAGCAAAAATGTTTACATGACTGATGACATTAGCTAATTGTTCATTAGTCATTGTCTTCATTTTATCACCTGTTAAGACACTAGTTTCTTCATTAATGACAGGAATACCAATTTGTTTTGCAATGCTCACGGCAGTGTTTGGAGAATCACCGGTAATCATAATAATATGGACACCACCTTGTAATAATTTTTCTACTGCTGGTTTAACAGTGGGACGGGGTGGATCTCTCATACCGATTAGACCGCTAAATGTCAAATCATTAATATCATCTTCTGAAATATCCGTAAAATCAGTTTTAGAGTGATATGGAGAACTAGCAAATGCAAGAACTCGCAAGCCATCTGATGCTAATTGGTTTGCACACTCAATAATTGTTTCTTTGTTCTTTTCTGTGAGCTTATCTATTTTTCCATCCTCAGTCAGGTAAGTGTTGGAACGACCAAGGATGACTTCGAATGCACCTTTAACGCATATCAATTGAGATTCCTTATCGTCCGAGTTTTCACATTTAAGTCTCACGGCCATAAACTTTCTCTTCGAGTTGAACGGAATTTCTTTAATCCTGGTATACTTATCTCTTTCATCCTCCATACCGAATTTCGACAGTTCTTCTAATATTGAGATATCTGTAGGATTACCCAAGAACTTAGAATGATCTACCGAAAAAGTTGCATTATTACATAAAGAGCCAATCTCTAAGGTCTTCCTAACGTCTCCTGCTAAATAATTTCTCAGATCTGTAGTAGATCCCACATTTAGAACATTTTCCTTAGTAGACATACTTGATAAACACCATATCTTTGACACAGCCATATGGTTAGCCGTTAAGGTCCCTGTCTTGTCTGTACAAATAACATTGACAGATCCCAATGTTTCCACACTAGGTAACCTTCTTACAATTGCTTTCCTCTTGGCCATCCTTAATACTCCCAATGCCAATGTTACAGTGACGATAATCGGTAAACCTTCTGGAATGGCAGCAACAGCCAAGGATACAGAAATTTGAAACATATCTAACCACGATCTACCTTGCCATATACCAATAAGACATATTGTTCCAATGACCACAAAACTAAATAAAGAGAGTTCTTTACCTAGATGATCCATCGCAGTTTGTAGTGGTGTCTTTGGCTTATCTACCGCACTCATCATTTCAAAAATCGAACCGAAGGCAGTTTCTTTACCAGTAGCTACCACAAGGCCTCTACCGTGACCTTCTTTCACTAAAGTACCCATAAAAGCTATACAATGTCTCTCTGATATTGGAATAATTCCTGTTGGGTTTGCAAGCACAGAATCTGATGACTTATGAACTGGATCAGGTTCACCAGTAAGACTACTTTCATCTAGTGACAAATCTACACTCTCGATGACTCTCAAATCTGCAGGAATTCTATCACCTACACGGAATGCAACAATATCACCAGGCACTAATGTAGCTGCTAATACATGTGATTCTCTACCAAACCTGACAAGATGACATGTTGCAGGGACCAATTTATTTAAAGCTTCAATAGATTTTTCTGATTTATATTCTTGAATGAAACCAACCAACATCACTATAACAATTGCCACGGTGATACTAATTGCATCACCTACATTATGAAGTATTGCAGATAATACAGCTGAACCAATTAATAAAAGAATTAATCTATCCTCAATAAATCCACTCAAAAATCTTTTAAGTAGACCAAATTTCCCATTATCTTCACCATCTTCTGAGGTTACTTCATTTGTCCCATGCAGTTCTCTCCGCCGTTCTACCTCCTCCATACTGGAAATACCGGAGGTTCCGTTTGTTTTCAATTTACTGACTGCTTCATCTACTGACAATACAGAAAACTCTGCTGATGGTGTGACATTGATAGCAAGTCCTGCTGCTATGGATGAATTAAAAGGAGCATTTTCTTCTGCTAATGTAGAGCCATCCAAATTAAATGGTACATCATCGCTAGGTTGGGAATATATATCTAATGGAATATCGCTCATGTTGATATTATTCTATTCAAAAATAGGAATATAACTGAAGTATGGAAAAATACTAACAGTAAAAATACAGGTTCTTTAAAAAGGCAATTTTTTTTCTATGTTCTAACAGATACTTTACAATTTTAAAGTAATCCTTTTGAATGAAATAAAATAAAGGACAATCTAATAATAGAGATAATCAGTTTCCCCAGAAATTATTTTTTGATAAATGTGTAATTTAAGTTGGAATAGATGATATATATAGTTCTTTCAAAAACCAAAAACCAAAATTAGCAAAAAGTGGATTATTTCTTCGCCACGATATTTTTAAAACTAATCAAACAAATCAGATATAGTAGTAGGAAATATTTTCAAATATACTTTCTATCTATCTTTATCTTAGTACATTCCAACTTAAAAAAGAGATAAAACTTAAACAAAATAATCAAACAAAACCTTTTCAAACTCTGAGATTGCACAAATCATCAATAAAACAAAAGATAATTCAGCAATTATAATAATAACCGATTTAATTTGCAAAAGGTAAGAATATAAATTAATATCACACTGTAACAATCCATAACTTATCAAGTTCCTTAACTTCGACTTTCAACTTTTCAATATTGAATTATTAATTAATTGAAATTTAATTTACTTAAAAGAGGCAAAGGATAACCAACGCCGTTTTTAATGTAAATTATGATCCGAGTACTACTGCAATATCTGTGAATTATTAATTATTTAATCACATTGTCATTGACAGTCCCTTTTTTTTTACTTCGCCTCGTTTTTTTTCGTTTCCTTTAAATTTTTCACTTTCAATTTATTCCCATAAGCGACGATAAAATTGATGATGTAATGTAATTAGAAGAAAGTTAAGCATTTTTAAAACCAGAAGAGAGTTAAGGTCTATTAGGTACAATATTCAGTTAAAATGATTATTATTGCTACATATTAACTTAGAAGATATCAAAGGTAAAATAAAACTATAATTGTTGTCGTTTCTTCAATCTTTTTCTAAATAAAAAAGGATACATATGAAGTGTCACAGTTTTCTTTTTACGGTAAGGCGGATTAGATGTCACAACTAGTAATACCAGGTTTCATTGTTCAATAAATAATGGAAAGTTTGCTTCTATTTAAAATTGGTTTCTTTACCTTACAATCTTACTTCTCAATTACTACTGATGGTAACAGACTATTATGATTAAGATTATAGTTGAAAGTGGTATCTTTGTCATATTTTCAACCATTATTATTATTATTATTATTATTATTTATATATAAACCATAAGTTCTTACAAAATATATAGATTTGTATATCTTACTTGTTTCGTCAATCATTTTATCTCTGGCACTGATGAATACTTGGATTACTTTTTTACACTTTTTAAGGGAACATTTGTTGTATAGGTGCTACCATAATATCCATGTAGAATAACAACTGGTGTATCTTGTTATTGTTTACACTACTGGGGAAAAAAAAAGAATAACTTATCATTACATCTTGCTATATTTATAATATTCCTCAAATTTTGAAACAAGAATGTGAAAATTGCAGCAATTTTGATAAGTCATAAAATACAATTAATATTCTCTTTGAGCTGAAGGAGACATACTGTGGTTAGACTTATATTCGTTCATATTATATAGTGGCAGGTAGAGAGGTTGATGGCATAGCTTGAGTTTTAATGTTAGGTAAGCAAAATATAATTCTTATCTTTTTCTTATATTTGTAAGTGATTTTTTATATTATATATAATTTATAGAACGAATAGAACCTAACTCAGAATGTAAGTTCAGAATTCTCTGTCTTTATATATTATTTATTTTCTCAAAAAACTGTTTCTCTAATTCTTTCTTAATAAAATATTACCTAATGAATTATTAAGTAAAAACCATTATTACCTAATTTTTACGTAATGAAATTATTAGGTAATAAATTACTAATTAATGGGAATGTTATTACCTAATTATTACGTAATTCTTCATTCTTATTTGGACATTTTAGATATCTCAATTCCACATAGTTTCTGTCACTCTTAATATATCTTTATCATTACTTTTTTTTTTACAATTTAATGATAAGAATACAATTCTTCTCTCTATGTCCTTCTTTACTATATATCATTTTCAAAAGATGATCTACATTTTTGTTCATAACCTTACGTCATCGCACTTTCGAACGTCCGACTCCCTGTGTATCTGACAGCAATTATGTAGGAATAATGAGCTGAAGCAGACATACCGTGGTTAGATTTATATTCGTTCATTATTTAATGTGTTAGGTATAGAGGTGAATGGCGTAGCTTAAGTTTTAATGTTAGGTAAGCAAAATATAATTGTTATATTTCTCTTATATTTGTAAGTGATTTTTTATATTGTATATAATTTATAGAACGATTAGAATCTAACTCAGAAGGTGTCGGAAATATATTATAAGAGGGATAATGACCAAGGTTATAATCTAACGATAGGTTCATCCCGCAATGATCTATTGATAAGTTCATCCCGCAACAACTTAATAATAGATTACTTACGCCACTGTCGAGTGAGTTTATAATCGCAACAATGATAACCCAACATATATAAATGGAACAATATTTCATTTATGAATATAATTGTTTCCATAATTTACTTTATATATTTTTATATAAGATATAAAAAGATCAGACGACTATAAGTTGATTTTGTAATATAATAAAATTTTTTCAGTTAAATATGTAAACGTAAGTTTGAAATCGAGAATATACGATTAGTATTCGAGTTGAAAATATCGGACATAGTTATAGATATTCAAATGTATAATCTTGTGTATTTATTTTATGTTATATAAAGTAAGTCTGTATAAGGAAGATTGTATATATATAAAGTTAGAATATGTGGTCCTTTTATACTTTTGGAAAAGGAAAACAGTCTACCAAATATTGATAGTATTCTTACTAAACATTCTAGAAACATGTTCTAGACACTTATGAAACAATTAGTAATACTTGCTTACTAATCATTCTTAAAGAATGTTCTAGAATCATATTGAACAGTTAGTAATAATTTCTTACTAAACATAAAAATTGAATAACTAAGTATTGATACTTTCTATATTATAACACATTTCAACACATTTCAATTACGAACAGTACACTAGAATTTTAAAATTTAATTACTTCTTGGATAGAGTTATTTTTCCAAAAAAACAATAAAATATGCCTTGTTGGCGCAATCGGTAGCGCGTGTGACTCTTAATCACAAGGTTAGGGGTTCGAGCCCCCTACAGGGCTATATATTTTTAATATCTTTTTTACTGTCACTGTGATAGATATGGATTTTGCCCTTAATGAAGATGATAGTATCCGAATGATTATCATCTCAGACAAGAAGAAGATAAGCGAAAGACATAAGAAAAGAGACGAAGTGTATAAGAATAATATCCATTGAATATCTGCTGGAGGAGTTACCGTTATTAACTTTTATTATAGGCATAAGAGAAGGAACATTAGATTGACAAGTTACATAATCGATATACAATAATCAATTATTAATATCTATAACTTATAGAGTATTCTAACTAACATTAGAATACCGTTATATGAGATTCATATATAAAAGTAGTCTTCCGTTTAAGATAACCTACACCTGAACAAGGCTGACATAAGGAGTTGTATGCGGTGGATACATTACAGGCAGTACTTATAGTATTTTCCAGTTTGAAATTCAATTACAACATTGTTATTGAATATTGATATTACAAGTAGGATAATTGTAAAGTGACTCTTGAAGTTTTGTAACGATTGCAAATAACTCGAGAGAAATTATATACGGCCCTGTAGTTCCTCTTAAATAATTTTAATATTTATTAAGCTACATACCTAATTCATTTGTTTTATTAAACATTGAATATGAATGAAGTAATCCGGAAAGTGAAAAAAAAATAAATCTGAACTTGCCTTATTATATAACTTTCCCCCTTAACTGTTTTATGATGATTAAGTGGTAGCCGCATACAATATACGATAAGATTATCTCTCTTACTGTTTATTTCAACTACTTATTTCATCATTTTAATAAACAGCATTTTGTGACAATTCAGATATACAACTTGAACATTTCTCAATGACGACTATTATCCCAGACGGCTTCACCGTAAGAAGAATTGATTCTCGCGATTTTGACGGAGCTAAAGTAGCATTGGCTGGATTAACTACAGTTGGGGAGATTAGTCAAGAGGACTTCAACTCGATTCTAGGTTATTGGGATTCTGTACTTTTACCTAATGGCAAACAAGCTTATAATACATTTGTTATAACAGCGAAGGAAACTGAAAAAGTTGCAGCTATTGGAACTGTATTTGTTGAAAAGAAAATTATACATAATGGAGGTTTAGTTGGTCATATTGAAGACATTGCAGTGAATAGTGATTTCCGTGGTCAAAAACTTGGTAAAGTTCTAATAAATTATCTAAGTTCAATTGGCAAACAATTAGGATGTTATAAGATAATCTTAGATTGTGATGAGAAAAATGTTGGATTTTATGAAAAATGTGATTATAATAAAGCTGGTATTGAAATGCAAATTAGATACCAATAGTTCAATAGATATTTCAAAAAAAAAAATGAATAGAAATGCATTATTTGTAGAGGTAGTATATAAATACATATAAATACATATATTATATATGTAAAAAAACCACATACTAAAAAATCGGATAAAGATAAAGAGAGTCCAAAGCTATACTACAGTATCCAAAGCCTCTATCGATCGTATGGAGTTACCTCTTATTACTGTTTGTACTCCAAGGGGAATGTTATTATTTGGTGATACTATTTCAATGGCATCATCTACCACTATGTTAAGGAATATATCATAACCTCGAAGGACGCCTGCTATTTTTTTTGTACCATTCAATTGAACGATAATCTTCTTATCCATATATTTCTTCAGTTCTGGAGTGGATACCATGGTGTATGTGTGTGTATGTGCTTAAGTGCCAGCCTGAGTTTCTTTATTCAATAATATATGTGTATGTAAATTGCTTTAAAAAAAAACCAAATTCCTTATATGAATGAATATTTTTATTTCATCAAATATATTGTCGCGCGCCGTAAAAGAAGAAGAAGAAGAACAAGAAGAAGGTTTGATTAATATATATAGTATAAGATGACTAGAATAAATGTGGCTGGTAAACAAAAAAAGAGTATATTACCATTAAATAAATATATGAGTATGTATATATGTATGTGTCTATAATTTTATTGATAACCATTCCAAATTCTCATGATCCTTTTTCAATTGTTGTTGTTGTTGTTGTTGAGGTTGTGAAAGTTGATTTGTTCTCTTTGCAGCACCATTTCTTTGTCTTTTCTTAATAATATCTGTCTTTAATGATAACGGTCTCATTACACCATGTAATTTTAAGAATAATCCACATGCATTACATAATGAATTCCCTTGGGAATCTTTTCTCCATAATGGTGTCGTATACGTTTGACAATTATTACATTTTGTATTTTTATTATCCGGTGAATTCCCACTATTACTATTTTTTCTTCTAATCTTTTTTGGTTGCTGTCTTTTTGAGATAATTGCAGTGGAGACTAATGGTATTGAAGGATGTGATGGTGTTCTTGACGGTGTAATCATTTGCTGTGGAGCCATTGTAGTCGCAGTAGTCGCAGTCGAATGTGAAGGATTTTGGAATTGTAAAGGAGATGCAAAATTTGGCAAAGAATTTGAAATATCCCAATTTGAACTAGCAGTACTATCTATATCTAATGAAGACGGTAACTGACCTGAATTATCATCTAAATAATGGAAATTCGATAGTGAAGTTGCAGAATTATGTTGGAACGAATCTAAATCATCATTCATTAAACTAAAATTCATATTCAATAAATTTAAATTATTTGTATTAGCAGCAGCAGTAGCAGTAGTAGTAGTAGTAGTGAAATTATTGGTTACACTATTATTATTACTACTAAAATTATTACTGTTATTGTTCATTCTATGAAATGAAAAAACATCATTATCATTAAATGAGTTTGACGGTATTGGTCTTGGCATAACAAAATTATCTCCATGATTTACAAGGTTATTTGTTAAATCATAATCATTAGTGAATGAACCATATGGTGTTTCCGATGCATCGGGATAAATGTCGTCGTCATCGCCATCGTCGTCGTCATCATCTCCTTCACTCAACAATATATTCTGGTGATGGTGATGGTGATGACGATTAGTAGGTGATATTTTATTTACGGGTGGAATTTGTTCGGATTGTGATTGATTATTATCAATATAGTTTAGTAATTGTAAAATATTTTCATTTTCCAACCAAATTTTTTTTTGTAATCTGATTGACATATTAATTATTCTTTCTCTATAAGGCAGGTTTAATTTTGTCAAATTATATAATTTAAAAATTGAAATCGATTCCTTAAATAAATCTTCATTTTTTGAAAATGTCAAATTTAATGGATTATTATTATTATTATTATTATTACTAATTGAAGACTCCATCATCATAAATATATCCTGATTTGTATTTGTTCTTGTAGCTGAGTCTATTGTTGAATTATTGATAGATTCCAGTTCTTTAAACTGTGATGTAAGCAATGACATGTTGTGTGTGTGTGTGTGTGTGTGTGTGGCGTGTATATATAAAAATTTGTCTCAGTGAGTCAGTGAGTATGTGTTTGTCTTTTCTTAATCTACCCCCCTATATATATAAATAAGTGATACTGTCTTTTTTACTTACAGATATATATATAACAATAACCGACCACACTTCCTTTATATATATATATATATATATATACTAGTATTATATAATGAGAGGTAACATTGTTGCAACCACATCATATACATATACATACATGCTTTCATGTATGTATTGTTTCTGCTAGTGCTACCACCACCACCACCACTACTCTTAACTAGCTATTGTATCCTAAATGACTCCTTCTGCAACCGATAGGAAATATACCTATGTATGGTATATATATAGTGGTATATCGATGTCTCTTTGCTACAGCTATAGCTATAGCTGTAGCTGTAACTATAACTATAACTACATAATACAAGATGCCAACTGCAACAGCCAAAGCTGTACAATCGATGTATAAATATGTATAGCGTAGCATTAGCAATCAGCCAACGGAATAACTCTGTCTGTCTGTCTGTCTATGCAGCATTCATTTTCTCTTTAGTCTCTTGTCGTTATTGTATCTGTAGCCAATCAGATTAGCGAAACCCAAGATAACAGCAGACGGCTAACCCACCTGTGAAGGGAATACACACATCAGCATCAGCATCAGCAGTAGCGGTAGCAGCAACAAAGAAACTCCGCCTGTTCCGACTGAAATAATATAAGCAACAGCAGTGAATTGCCGCGCAACCACCGAGCAAACACAGACAGACATCGCCGCCATTTGCTGGGCTCAACAGCAAAGCGAAGAGAGAAAAAAGCGATGGAATTTTGCAATAAATTTCCTGGATGGCCGTAACAGGTAATTCTGCAGATAAGAACGGACACAGACAGCACAGCAAGCACAGCTGAAAGGGACAAATTTTATTCGGGTGAAGGAACTTTTTCCAGGTGAAACAGCGCGCAATCACACAATTTCTCACTGTGGCTGTGACAGCCGTTTCAGGCCGCTTGGGCAGAATGTGTGTGCGGTTCGTGGTACGCGATTACGTGCGTAGTGACAAGGGTGCGCGTTGCGAATTTCTCTCCCATGTTCCGCCACGTGACACGCAATAAATATAAACGGCGTGTTCTATACATATTTTTGTTTGCTAGCATTCCATATATATATATGGCATGCAAGGTTATAAATGCAACTTGGAGTGATAGAGCTGAAAAGAATACATACATACATATATATATATAGGAGACGAGAAGAGACGAGAAGAGACGAGACATGACAATGAACCATAAGGAACTGGATGAACAATATAGTTCGTTGTTCAAGAAGGACAAACAATTACAATTTGCCGCTAACGCAATTAATCATTATAAAATCGATAAAACAACACATACAATACAAAATGATTTACATTACTACAAAGAGAAAGGCCATATAAGGACTCACAATAGCAATATTAAGAGGCATATCCTAAATATTGACAACACTTCAAGAATAAATTATGAAATGATTAAAAATATCCCCGGTAATATCCCAGTGGGAAATACAATAATATCATCATCAAACAATAGTAATAATAATGAAGACGAAGATGGCAATAATGCTGCTGAAGATGGCAACAATGACAATGACAATGACAATGATGGTGATGGTGACGATGACGATGACGATGACGATGAAAATATGAATTCAAAAAAACGTACTTTAGATTTAATAGATATTGATATCGTTAAGACAAAAATATTTAAAAATAACCTTTTTGAAATGAATGATTCATTTATTAATAAATTACCGAAATTTGAAAATGATACACCAGAAGAAGAAACTAGTGCAACTTTACAATTACCTTTAAATGAACAACTCGATTCATTATATCAATTACAACACGGTTTATTAAATCAATATAGTCTTTTACAAAATTTAGAGAAAAAATGGTTTGCGTTAAGAGAAATTATCCTAGATGCAAATATCGAATTAGATTTATTTAGTGAACAAGACGTTAAAAGTTTACCAATCGATAATGAACAAGATGTTAAAAGTTTGCCAATCGATGATGAAAAAGATAGAGTTAAAGTTAGATTAGGCTCTATTAATGTCCCCGCATCTCATACACAATCTGCAATTCATACCCTGGCATTTAATAGATGTAAAAGATTAAGAAATAATAAGGAATCTAACAATATTATTGTTGTTGATTAATCGATATTTTAATAATAAATATTGGAAATGGAGTGTTACCCGGTGCATGTCACGTGCGTATCGCCATACAATAATAAAAAAAAAGTAAGCACCATCGAAGACAACGCAACGCAGACAACAACAACAAAAAGCGAAAACTGAAAATTTTTTTTTTTCAGAAGTTCAATTTCTTTTGCATCGTTAATGACAAGTGGGATTGCTTTTTTCTTCATGATTTGAAATATTTATATAATATAATATAATAATGACATGACATATATATATACACATATATATATTGGATATACGCAGTAGTAATTTAATTCTTACATATATATATAGTGTTTTTTTTTTTAATAATAGTTAACTTTACGTATCAATCAGCCCAGTAACATCCACAACAGCATAAGAATGTCTGATTTCCAACTAGAGATTCTACAGAAATTGAATGATTTAGGAGAGATTCAATCCTCTTTAAAGACTTTCCCATCAAAATCTTCTCAAGAGGTTTTGTCTGCATTGAACTCTTTGCAAGCTCACGGTAAAGTGGAATTCAAAAATATCGATACTTTGCACTATGATCTATCCAAGGAAGGTTTCGAGATCGTAGAAAAAGGTTCTCATGAAATTCTACTGGTGAAATTGATTGCTGATTTAGGTAAATTACAAATTAAAGAAGTCGGTACCAAACTAGGTTCTAATGGTAAAGTTGGTCAAGCTCGTGCTTTCAAGAATGGGTGGATTAAGAAGAATGATTCCAATGAATTAGAATTGTCAGATAAAGTCAAAGCAATGGATTTAAATCAATTAGATGATACTACTAAAGACTTATTACAAAAGATTTCTCAAGGTAAAGAAGATATTTCTTCAATTGATTCAAAGACTCTTGCTGATTTGAAGAAAAGAAAATTGATTTCACAGAGAAAAGTTACAGATTTCCAAATTACTAAAGGTTCGGATTTCTCTTTAACTATCACTAAAGCTGAAACTGATATTACTTCAGACATGGTCCAAAACGGTACTTATAAAGACATGACTTTCAAAGACTATAACTTCAATTCTCAAGGTGTTCCAACTCAATCCGGTGCTTTACATCCATTGAATAAAGTTAGAGAAGAATTTAGACAAATCTTCTTCTCCATGGGTTTCACCGAAATGCCTTCGAACCAATACGTTGAAACCGGTTTCTGGAATTTCGACGCTCTTTACGTTCCACAACAACATCCAGCTCGTGATTTACAAGATACTTTCTATTTGAAAGATCCATTAGTAGCAGACCTACCAGAGGATAAGACTTACATGGAAAACATTAAAGCTGTGCATGAAAATGGTAAATATGATTCCATTGGTTACCGTTACGACTGGCATGAAAAGGAATCTCAAAAGTTGGTATTGAGAACCCATACTACCGCCATCTCCGTAGCAATGTTGCATGAATTAGCCAAGGATCCTAAACCAACTAGATTATTCTCCATCGATCGTGTCTTCCGTAACGAAGCTGTCGACGCTACTCATTTGGCTGAATTCCATCAAGTCGAAGGTGTTCTTGCCGATTATAATATTACCTTAGGTGACTTGATTCAATTCATGGAAGAATTTTTCAAAAAGATGGGTGTCACTGGGTTAAGATTCAAACCTACTTATAACCCTTACACTGAACCATCCATGGAAATTTACTCATGGCATGAGGGTCTAGCCACATGGGTCGAAATTGGTAATTCTGGTATGTTCAGACCAGAAATGCTGGAATCCATGGGCTTACCAAGAGATCTTAGAGTATTAGGTTGGGGTCTATCCTTAGAGAGACCAACTATGATTAAATACAAGGTTCAAAACATTAGAGAGCTTCTAGGTCACAAGGTTTCATTAGATTTCATCGAAAACAACCCAGCTGCTAGATTAGATGAAGATTTATACGATTAATAGAATTTTAAAATAAAAAGAGAATAAAATAAAATAAAATAAAAATATACGCCTAATCATCTGATCCTTTCTACCTTTTAATGTTCTTTCCCTTGATACATGTAATATAAACTTCCATCTTTTTCAATGTAAATTTGAAAGAATAAAATAAAAACTAAAAAAGATATAAACAAACCATACATTTACATATAGATATATACTAATGCAATATATTATTACGATTAAATCTGAAATATACCACTGTATAATATAATATAATTGTTGGCAATATGCATACAAAATAATGAATGAATATATTATAAATATAATACTAATCTATCTGGAAGACTATTTAATCTTATGTAATCTATCAATAATTTTAAAAGGAACTCCTTTGTAATACAGACTCAAGCCTTTATTTGTCTCTTCAACATATTGTGTCAGGACTTTTATACAGTCTGTTACATCAATCCCATCTGCTATTCCATCTTCAATAGCATTCCATATCTTCTTACGCCTATTAATTTGTCTTGAGAAATTTTTATCCTCGTTTCTCCATCCAGAACTGAATTTGGATTCCAATTCTCTAATTGAACTCTCTCTCATCAATGTTAATTCCATATCAATATTACAATGTTCCATTTCATTAATCTTACGAACATTCACTAAGAATGACATTAAATATTCCTGAGACCATTCACTTGGTATTTTATTATACTCATCCCATAATTGGGCAATAGATTCAGGCCATCTCATTAAAATCACACCATAATTATTTAATTTAGAACATGGATCATTCGTCACTTTAGGATCTTTCAATCCAATACTCGTTTCTCTGATATCAACTATCCCATATTGCTTCAACTGTTGAACTTTAGCATCTTCAGGGTTGTCGTTGTCTTCGTTGATAACAATATCTCGAATATCAGTAATCGTATTCAAAAACTTGACAGTCTCATTAGTTTTAATTACTCTAGGTACGTCATCACCACTGTAGTCTTGTTGTTGTTGGTATTCAGGGTTATCTGATAGTGTATTATCTATGTTATCCATCCATTGAACAAATTGTCCCTTAACTTCATCTATGGTGACCATTAAATCATCAATTTCATCATAAACTTCATCGAAAGAGTCATACCCGTCCATTTCGACCTCTACGCCATTTTCTTCGGTAAGCTCATCACTCGAAGAATACCCTAATATATTATCAATTGAAACATTACCAGGATTATTCACCGAATTCTTCAAACTATTATCGAAATCAAACTTATCTACTTCGTCTCTTAAATGAAACCCTGAAGTATAAGAGCTTTCCAATTGTAAGTACCTTGGATCACCGGATGGTGAATTTAATTTAGTATCACCTAGTAACATATTAATATAATGACTTGTAGGGGACGTTACGTCATTACTATTATTGTTACCATTCGTATGCTGGTGTGTCTTTTCAAATGTTCTCTCTACATTATTAACATCTTGTTGTCCATTGGTATGCCCATTATTTATACTATCAGATAACATTTTTAGCAAATTTCTAATATCTAATGGGGGTTTCAATTATATTTGCTCGTTATGAGATATTATAAATAGTCCTAATAATATTTTTAATGCAATAAAGGTAGTAAATAAATAGAAGAAAAAGGTTGAACTTTCCTTAAATATATACGGTTTTTATATTATGAACTCAGTAACGATATGCTTAATTCTGTAACGAAGGTAAATTATGGCACTGACACATAATCTCTCATTATCAAAAAAAAATCATAGGACACATTATATACATATATATATAACTATTTCCATTAATATGAAAATCTACTCATCTAGCTCAAAGTTAAAGTAAAAGCAAAACAAGAACGTGAATATTAGGGTGTCACACCTACATTTCCCGGGCCACATTAACAATTCCAATAATGATTAAAAAATAAAAAATTAATTATCAATCAAACTTCTCTTATTAGGTTACCATAAGTGAATCGTCATCTTCTCATGGGACTTTGAAGAGCACATTTAGTTTAATTTGGTGAACAATCTTCCTTGTCATTTACAGTCAGAGAAGATTGATTACGCAAACAGTTTCAGTTGATGAAAAATTAATTTCGCCTCGCGGATGAGCACTTAATATTCTACTAGCTATTCTACGCAATTGGCGACCGAAATATTATTGACAGTCACAAAAGGCACTATAACTGAATTAAGAAACGATTCCACTCCACAGGTCGTTACTTCACGTGACTTGGACCATTATCCTCGCCCACTATGGAGACTAGTTGGGGTGAGGGGGTATACGTTAAGTTGCAGCAATACCACCGTTATGATAATAGGTTTTGATATCAACAGCTGATAATATCGCTGGGTAGTCGAGGAATGACATAGGAAATGGAACAGCAAAAAAGAAAAGAGAAAAGAGGTCAGATGTGCCAAATGATTAATGGCGATGAAGATTCAAATAATGCGTTCCGAATGATAAGTTTGGATAGATGTTTCGGATCGAATCGCATAACGGAGTTTATTTATTTGCTTATCTATATGTGATACTTCTATAAAAGGTATATCTGATATTTGAAAAAAGAATGACAACAACAGTAATTTGTCTTTGCGCACTCTATGCATGGCTATTGTTTAACGCTGCCATAATTAAAAATAATATAATGGAGCCACGACTGTAAATATGTGGCTTCTCTCTCTCTCTCTCTCTCTATTATAATCTCTTGTTATTATGGATTCAAATTCATCCTTTGAGATTTGAACCTACTGATTCGGATAGGGTTACCATCCTCATCTATTGGCTCCACTGCTAAATTTTCAGCCTGTTCCTCACCTTCTGCATGTATATGATTGGACTCTTGCTCGCTATTATTTTTATCTTTTAAAGCCATGTTCCTCATCTGTTGCAACATACCTTGTCTTAATGTGTGATATTCTTTAGTAACAGCGTCACCTATATTATCGGGATGCAAACCAAGGTTGTTTTCGTATCCCTCAGCAATGTCACGGTAATTCACTGGGATGTCCTTCTCTACTATATCTGTCATTATGACTCCATTATCTTCATCATCATCTTCTTCATCCTTATCATCCACATTTATTGGAACCATCGGGTTGTTTTTCTTGAAATCAATAATATCATCTTTTAAGTTATCGACTTGTTTGTTGTAAGTATTAAAATCTTCAACTTTCTCTACCACAACCCCTGGATGTTCCTCTAAATCGTCATCATATACACCTAACGTATAAGCTTGTACCATATCATCCATATTATCTACAAGTGCACCATAATCTACATTCGCAACACGTAATGAAGCTTCTGTCTTACCGACCTTTTTTATGGCTTCCTGAACTTCCTTAGGAAACATTAGATCATTATCTTCCTCTTCATCATCTTTAATCTCTTCTATCTTTTTCTGTACGATTTCTCTCTTTCTATTAACAGGCTCATCTTCAGGTTCTTGTTCCGAATCAGACAGAGAATCGATTAACTCCTGTGGGAATTCTTGTTTCTTGTTTAAGGAATGCCTCGGTTTATTCAATGAACTTAGAGTTTTCTTGAAAAGTGATCCATTTTTTTTGGAAGCTCCTTTAGTATTAGAAGTCGATTGAGATGGTTCGGTTTGCTCTATCACATCTGTTATGATATCTCGGGGCTCAATAGCGGATGCCGTTGACTCCACTGGTTGTTTTGCTTGAGTTTCCTTACGTTGGGCAAACCTGCTAACTCTTTTCTTTGGTTTTGGTTCGGGGATAGTTTCTATGATCTCTCTTTCGACAATAACATCCGAAACAGCCCTATTACTTTCCGATTTATTAACTTTTTCAATTATATCAGTTGGGGGTTTGTTTACAGTACCTCTATCTTTCTTAAATCTTGAGACACGAACTTTCTTGACGTTTTCCTGTAATTCTTGCGAGTTTTGCTCCTCATCATCATTGTTAGAGGTTATTGCATCTTTATATTTATCATGTATTTCATCCGATTGTTTAGCTCCAATCATCGATGCAAACAAATCGTTATCAAACTCATGTAGGTTTGGATTGTTCGTATCATCAGTCATCATATCCTGGACACTAGAGTATAAATCATTGGAGTTTCTTGGAAAATTGAAAGTTTGCCTCTTAGTTTCGGCTTTGAAGCTTTCAACTTCATGGACATCCAACGAAGGAGCAAAACCAACAGACTTCTTAACTTTATTTTTCTTCTTCTTCATAATTGATTTCTCGTGTGTCTTACCACTATTATCAGTAGCTGGTTGTGATTCCTTCACGATATCATCATTATCATTAACAATTTCTTTTACCTCTTCCACTGGATATGATTGTCCTCTCGAATTACGTAATTTGTTTATTTGATCCATTAACGATAGATGTCCTGGCATCTTAAAATATTTCTCTTCCTCTTCATCATTATCATCATCATCAATATATTCATCATCCGAGTAGACATTATCACTTTCATTATCCATCGATTTAAACTTTTCATAATCATAATTAATTTCATCAGAGTCAATAATCCCATCATTTTCTTCGTCTTGCTCGTCCATCCTTTCCACTAAATCTGCAAAACTGTAGATATCAGGAGTATCTACTTCATTAATACCATCATGCGAAGGAATGCCATTATCCTGAGTAATCTCATCTTCTAATTTCTTTTGATCTATTTTCAATTCTTCAACTTTGGGTACTAATTTATTATTAATTAAATCTTCAATATTTTGTCTTTCAGAATCCGTAGCGGCAGGCACAACAGATCCATTCAATACATTTCCATCTTCATCTAGTTCTTCTCTAATTTCCATAGTAGGTAATTCAATCTCATCAATTTTATTTTCTTGTTCTTGTTCTTTTATTTTTATTTTTGGGTTATGATCAATTACCATCTTTAAATTATTTAGAGTCTGTTTTGCTTCTTTAATCTTCAAATCGAATTGTTCAATTGCCTCTACCATCAATTGTAATTTATCTTCAACAAATTCAATGGTTTCACCCACAGTCTTTTCCACATAATATTCATATCCTATACTTAAGAATATCTTTTTTTTAGAGATGATAATATCTCCAAAGATATCACCTTTCTCTTCATCGTCGTAAGAGCTATCAGTACTGTCATTATTGTTTTCTTTAACTTTCAACAATCGCTCTCTAATGGTTGTATAATGATGTTGTTGTTCAATCAAAAAATCTTTCTTATTTTGCAAATTATCTAATGTCTTTTGTACTGTGTTAGCTAATGCTTGATATTCATTCTCCATCTTTTTCTCACTATATATCTTATGCCACTTATCATACAAGATATAAAAGTGGTACTATTTTTATCAAATCTGGCTTATTATATACTTCTGAAAAATTTCAACTGTTCTCTTTCTTTATCTTAGTAATGAAAAGTAAATAATGCAGCTATTAGCTCATCGCAAAAAAAAAAAAGATCAAATCAGATCAAAACTGTTTCAAACCCTTTTCTTTTTTTGCCTTCCCTCTACAAGATTAGTTAATGTAAGACACATATACAAACAAAAGTTTACAAACAGATCTATACCATCTACTATTTCACTTATTCAATGAGCAATGGGATACTTGAATTATTCTACTCTTTAGAACAACCAACTGAATTATATATACGTATTTATACCTATATATGCCTATGTATAGGTATAAACTACCAACACAGCACACACACAGCACATCACATCACCATTCACGACATCACCCGGCACGACGCGCATACCGCCCAAAAAACAACAACAACAACAAAAATTGTCGCCGTCGTCGTCGTCGTTCTTAACTTCCGCTCTTCAACCAGAGAAAAAATACAACAAACTACACCCCCACACACTATAATTTACATAATGAATATATATAATCTATCTACCTTATTTCTATTTCTAATAACAAATTATACCCGGTAATAGTAAAGATAGAAAAATAAATAGATATACGTATACTCCCACCAACCAACCACTCCTCATATTGGAGGTATACATCGCAAAGTGATCATATTGCTATATATATATATTCTTTATATCACTTTTTATTTGCATTATTTTTTATTTTCTACCTGTTATTATTATTACTATTATATTTTTTGCATTACAAATTTGGTGGCTATACTATTATTACTATTACTACTAGTGCTATTCCCTTCTCTCTCTCCTTTCCTACCATATTTATTATCACCAAAAGCGAAGGAGCGAAAAAACAAAAACATAAACAGGAATACAACCGCTATATATATATTTGATAGTGGGGAATAGGGAAATATAACTTTGTACGACTAGTGTCCCCGTTTCTTTATTCTAATTTTATTCTAATCTGCTGTTATAACAATAATAAGAACATGTCAATTGTAAAAGATCATGATATGGATGGTACGGGACGTCATTCGGCTGGTAGTTCAAGATTTAGACATAGGAAAATATCTGTTAAACAACATCTGAGGATATATAGACCAACAGATCTTAAGAATTTAGATAAACAAGAATTACAACAAAGAGATGTGGTAGATGTTGAGACAGGTGTAGAAAAAAATGAAGAGAAAGAAGTCCATTTACATAGAATTTTACAAAAAGGTGCGAGTCAAATAAATGGAAAGGCAAAAGAATATATTCCAACACCTGATGTATTACCAGATTGGCCTGAATTCGATAAATTTTATTCAAATCATTTTCATGAACCAAGTACTTATATTAAATTTTCTGCTACTGTTGAAGATTGTTGTGGCTCAAATTATAGTATGGATGAAAAAGATGAAATCTTCTTAGAAGAACAATTTAATAAACAATTGATTGAAGATAATTCCAAAACTACAACAAAATTGAGCGAGGATGAATTTGAAATCCTTTGTAGTGCTTTTGAAAATGCTATTCAAGATAGACAACCATTTTTAAGTATTGATCCAGAAAGTATCTTATCCTTCGATGAAATTAAACCTACTTTATTGAAAATTGATTTAGGTGAATACGGTTTAAGATCTTCATTAGCAAAACAATTGAATTATACCGATGGGAAACGATTTTTAACTCAATTTGATCCAGAATCACAAATTATGGCAAGACCATTGATTAATTTAATTGATTTATATGGTTCTCAAATTTATGATTATTGGAAAATTAGAAAAATTGAATCTAATGGTAGTAATATTTTTCCAACTTTAAAATTTGAAAGACCTGGCGAAAAAGAAGAAATTGATCCATATGTTTGTTTTAGAAGACGTGAAGTTAGACATCCAAGAAAGACAAGAAGAATAGATATTATCAATTGTCAAAAATTAAGAAGTTTACATAAAGAATTGAAAAGAGCTAAAGAATTGGCATTGTTAGTAGCACAAAGAGAACAAACTTCTTCATTATTATTAAAGAAGGACTCTGATGTGTTTGATGATAGAATTAAGATTAAAAACTTGAAAAGAAAATTGAACATTAGAGGTGATGAAGATGATTTGATTAATCATAGAAAGAAACAAGTCACAGTAATGACAATTGAAAGAAGGAGACAAATTGAAGAAGAAGAAATCCTTGCTGCTCAATTGGCTAAAGAGAAAGCCGCTACAGAGGCTGCTGAGCTTGCACAAGCTAAAGCAGCAGCTACAGCTGCCACTGCCACTGCTACATCAATAGGTAATAAGAAATTATCATCTAAGAATAGAGCATTGAAGAAACATTTAGAACAATTATTGAAATCTGGCGAGAAATTAACTAAGCAACAAATCCAACAATTACAACAATTACAAAGAGGTAAATCGGATATTTCTTCTAAGAATTTAAAAAAAGAAGAAGCTTTGTTACAACAGCAACAACAACAAAAGTTATTACTTTTACAACAGCAACAACAACAGCAACAACATCAACAACTATTGTTGCAACAACAACAATCTCCAAGCATTTCTTCTCATGTCTATGTCAAATTACCATTTTCTAAGATTCCTGATATTGAATTGGATGATGTTGATAAGTTATTATCAGAGAAAGAAAAAAATGCCAAAAGATTTGTTCAAGAGAGAATGGAAAAAAGAAAATTGGAAGATGGAAATACTTTCTTCAATTTAACTGATGATCCATATAACCCTGTATTTGAAATGAATTTACCTGAAAAAATAAATTCTTCAGAATCTGCTTTTTCTTCTATTGCATCATCAAAATTTGTTATTGATAAATCATTCTTCTTACCAAATTTAGAGAAATTCATGAATGGTACTTCTGATGAAGTGAAAATATTTGATAAGAATGGTGATAGAATATCGGATATATTAAACAAAGAATTAAAGAAAGTCGAATTATACAATCCATTCGATGCTCAAAAGGAATTACATTCAAGAGAATATCCAGTTAAATTTAGAAGAAGAATTGGACGTGCTGGGATCCAATATTTGGATAGAAAACCAAATATGTCATGTGCTGAAGTAGCCAACGAGGAATCAATGTTAAACGAATTCATAGATTTTGATGCAGTAGATAAAGAAGACAATGATTCTGATGCTACCATTGATGTGTATGATTCTCAATCGGATCAACTCACAAGATTTTATGATAAATGGAAATACGATTCACCAAAGACTGGTGATTACGGTACACCATTTTCTAATGAACCTTCAAGATTGAATAAATTATCTAATAATACTCAAGTAATTAGATTTGGTACCATGTTAGGAAGCAAATCATATGATCAACTCCGAAAATCAACAATGAGATATCGTAGGGATTATATTAACAGAATCAGACAACAGAGAGTACTCCAACAACAACTTCAACAACAGCAACAACAGTTACTGCAACAACAACAGCAACAACAACAACTCCAACAGCCTCAATCACAACAACCTCAGAATAATCAAACCACAAACCAGGAATCCAAACCAAAGAAGAAAAATAACAAGTCGCCCAGTAAGAATTCCTCTACCAAGACAACGTCTGATCATATCATTAAACATGAAAATATTGATACTGCGCCATCAACCCCTATACCATCTCAATCTTCATCCGTTCCTCAACAGACTTCCTCATGAACATTTCAAAGAGAGAAAAATAATAATATATATATATATTATTTTTTCATCTTGATGTGTTTTTGCCATTATTATAAATTACGACACATCTTATTAAACCTCATTTCATTTCAAGAATTGCTATTCTAGCATAATTGTATTATTATTAATATCTAATCGCCCTTGATTAAAGTATTAACTTCCAAGGTCAAGGACATTCAACAATTGAAGATATTTTCTTCAAATTCAAATCAATAATCTATAAACAGAATATTACAAGTCATGTACAAACAATATATACACATATTTATATTACAAAACAACACATTTCCTCTATGGATATCAAGAGAATTATATGACATAAGTAGTAAATATCTTGTCGTCTATGTGGTCGGTCATCTTCATTTTTTCTTAGCGTTTTTCTTTATACCGCAGAGTGAAAAATATTGGATCATGAGAAATACATATACATATATACCTGCAATTTAAATTGAATAGCAATCGAAGCCTAATTGACAGTTAAGATAGTATTCTATTCAATTCTTAAGGCATAGCTCCTATATAATAGTAAGAAAACAGTACTTGAGCCGTACAACCTGATAGGCTTTCTGTGGATCGACTTTGCATTTGGGTATGGCATTGCTTGGATCTCTCACCAATATGTTACGTCAAAGCTCATCGGCGTTAAGAAGAAATGTATTCCGTAATTCAAATAAAAGTTACCAACCAACTGCAACCAATAATAATATACCTTTACAAGATCTCTCAAATGTTGAACAATACGGTGAAAATGAAGATTCTCTAAGGCTGAGAAGAAATGACAAATGGTCCAAGGATTTACGACCCAGTAGGAAATTTAATGCAATCTCAATAATAGGATTATTACTGATACTATATGTAACAACAATAACGTTTTTGAAAGAGTTTACAGGTGCTGATGTACCTCAATGTCGATCTATATATATGTACCCATCTTATGCAAGAATTGATGGATTTAGTAAGCAATTCACACCATTGGCTCAGAAATATCATCTATATCTCTACAGAGAACAGGATAAAGACCAAGAACCAATGAATAACGACCATATTCAATTAAATGGGGTACCCGTGCTATTTATTCCAGGTAATGCCGGCAGTTTCAAACAAGTTAGATCTATCGCCTCGGCATGTGCAAACTTGTTCTTCGACTCTAAGGATTCCATTAATAACCCAACAACCCAAAATATTGACTTCTTTACCGCAGACTTCAATGAAGATTTTACTGCATTTCATGGACAGACGATGCTAGATCAAGCAGAATACTTGAACGATGCAATAGCATACATTTTATCCCTATACGAACAATCGATTGATGGTAAAACGAACACTGTTCCAGAATCTGTAATAATAGTTGCTCATTCAATGGGTGGTATAGTAGCGAGAGTTATGCCAACCTTACAAAATCATGTTTCTGGCTCTGTGAACTCTATAATAACGTTGTCATCACCTCATGCTGCTGCTCCAGTTACATTCGATGGAGATATTCTAAAGATATATAAGAGAACTAATGATTTCTGGAGGAATCAATTTGATGATAAAGAATCGTTCTTTTCAAATAATATTTCCCTGATATCGATCACTGGTGCAGTTCAGGACAATGTTTTACCAGCTGATTATGCTGCAGTACAAGATCTACTCCCAATAGAAAATGGTTTCACCACTTATACTACTACAATTCCAGGAGTGTGGACACCAATAGACCACTTAGCTATCGTCTGGTGCAAACAACTAAGACTAGTTATTTCTAGGTTGCTACTTGAAATGATAGACAATACAGTCCCAAGTAAGACTAAGACTTTAAAAGAAAGAATAAATATCTCACAAAGACTATTATTGTCTGGATTTGAACAATTTTACAATAATGATTTATCTGAAAAATCCAGTCACGTTTATCAACCTGGGGAGTCAACTATTGATGCAGATCATTTTAATTTGGTTGCTAGTGATAAACCGTTCATAAACACAAAGAGTACCGATTCTCTAAAAAACACAGAACCGTACATTATTTATATCCCAAAGGATCTTGCGAACAAATTTGAGTTTATACTGATGACGAGTGGAAAGAAGGCATCATTAAGATTATGCAAAAACTCCATTCAAATAGAATGCATTTCATTAACTGAAGATCTATTGACAGTCCCTCGATCGACGCTAACAACTGAATATCCTGCTGATTCGTCCTTGGAAGAAAACAATAACCCATTCAGATATTACCGAATAAAGCATGACCAACTAACAAAATATGACTTCATCTTACTTGATAACATTAGCAATGAAAACTTCAATGATGATGATTTTGTTTATGCTTCCTTCAGTGAAGTTTCTCAAGCAGATAAGATAGATATCACACAAATAAACATGTTTTTATATGGATTGCAAAAAAATGTTAAATCCGATGAAACAATAACTTCGATTGACTTAGAATTCTTACAACAGTCCGATGCACTACTATCCTATAATGTCAATATTAAACCAGAGGTTGAAAGCTATAATACCTTACTATTCCAACCGATGATAAGGCAGTACATCCCGACTCCGTCAGAAAGTAAATGGTATGTGAATATCATTACCCATAATAATTTGGAAGTAAATATGCACAATGTGGCACCATTTATTCCTGTTAATATAAGTGAACCACATAGTCTACACTTAAATGTTCTCTTACCCCCAGGAGCTTCGATTAAAATCGAAGTAACAATAAACTGGTTACTAACCATAAAGATGTTATTTATCAGATATAGATTAGCAATTGGATCATTACCAATATTTTTTGTGGCCTTAGTACTAGCGATGCAATTTTACCATTACAGTAGAACTGGAAAATATGAAAACTTTTCATTTACTTTATCACACATCCTAGATAAGTACTCTTTGGTTATATTTCTAAGTTCCTTAATACTTACTCCGGTTACTAATTCCAATGGTATACAACATATTCTCTACTACTTAGATCCTGTGAAACTTAATAGGCCTTTTATTTTATCTTCAAAAAATCTTTTTACAAACTTGTATTTCTTAGGCATAAGGAATTGGGCTCAAGCTTGGATTGGCTTATTATTTGCATTAATGTCGCTAGGTTTCCTCTGGATAATTTCTAGCTCTATTGTAATTGTGAGATACATGGTGATACTGGCGACAGATAAAATATGGTCTTCTGGTGTGGAAAAGGATGATGAATTTTTGAAACATAGGAAATTGTTTGATAGAAAGAGGATACTGACGTGTATTTTATTAATCATTGCCGTGGTCTTTTATGTCCCTTACCAACTTGCATATGTTATTGCAACCTTAATACAAGCAGGTACCTGTGTTCGTATTGTTTTTCATAAACGCAAATTCAAGAGTATTCGGAACAGAGAGTATAGCAATTTGGAAAATTATAATATTTCACTTCTAATTTTATTTCTAATTGTTGCAATAATCAATGTCCCAGTCATAATAGTGTTTTTACATAACCTCAGTATCAACTATGAGACAACATTTAGATCGCATCATAATTTTATTGCTGTGACACCAATAATATTATTGGTATCAACTAACTCTACATTTAACATGCCAACATTTCCCAAAAAATCTTTCGATTGGTTTATAACAATAAGTATTTTTGGATACTTGTCCTATTTTTGTGTCATATATGGGACCAGAAATCTTTACTTCATCCATGATATTGTAAATATTGCATGCGGCTGGTTATTTTATGGCTCTACCACACATTATATGAGAAGGAAATGATTAACTCCAAAGGATTAATGTAAAGACACTTTAGCATATATTATTTATAGATATATAAATGAAAATATAAAAGTAAAAAAAATATACATATTAAGGAAGATAACTCCTTAAGATAATTAGAACTAAGTTTAAAAATAAAGAATATCAAATTTGAAAAGAGAATACGCATAATAAATTGAAAGTTTAGGATGAATTTATTGGTTTCACTCATTCAAGTTATGTGAATCACTTAACCAATAATTGCGTGTTGCCTCATCAGTAAGGGTGTCAGGAGTATAAATATCTAATGAACACTCTGTTGTCTCGGTAATATTTTTTGTTAAACTTTTCTCTTTAACAGTCACAGGAGTCTTTTCAGTATCATCATAAACATTACTATAGTGTCTATCTGAGCATTTTTCTTGTTGAGATCCCTCTGATGAACTACTATTATTTTCAAGATCAAATGATCCCATATGTACATTAGATGTTAAAGTATCACTGGAATATTTCGTACTCGATTTGAAACTATATTTATTTTCAGAATTAACACTCTCAGCACCCCAACGACCATTATTGTTGAAATTTGGATAAAATCCACCTTCTTCTGGAGAATAATCTGATTCCATTGGCTTAGTATTCGAAACATTATTATTTGAAGTTGCCCATAAGGAAGAAAGTGGCAAGGATAATACAACCAATAAAGTAGCTACGGTTGTTAATACGTCTGTACCACTATTGGCATCTAAACTATAAGCCAGAATAAACAGAACAGATGGAATCAACAATGATTGACAGGTCATAATTAACAGGATATGTAAACTATCAAATTGTTTGAGACCGAGGAATCTTCTTGATCTTAAGGCAAATAATAATTTTACCACTAAGATAAACGTCATAAAATTAATCGATGAAGATAACAAAATAGTAGCTATATTAAAGTATTTAGCGTAATCAGTATTAACTCCCTGGTATACCGATATCATACTTTTAATAGCGGTTGTGAAGTAAACAGCTACTGTGGTAATACCTAAACAGCCGGATATTAATAGAGCTAAATATCCTACTTTCTTTTGGGTGATCCCTGCAAACATAATTTTAACTTGAAATACCAACGACAACTCAATTGAAGCAACCAATAATACCTGAAAAATTGATGCTGCACCATACACATATATATCATATCTTGAAACTACCTGATGAAACCCCGTTAGTGAATATGCTAAAGATGAGATTGATGACAGTAAATATTTGAAATATAAACCAGAATGAATGACGATAAGGAATAAGGAAACCTGGTTAATAATGAAAATAGGTGTATGTTTCCTCTTTGATATCATCCACATTATAATAATAGTTAATGTAGCTGCACCACATCTTACACCAAACATAATAGCCTGTCTCATTTTTTTATTTACCAAATCTTGCATTTGATTAAATGTAATGTCTGTGCCATCGCCATAGATAGAGGTAAAAGTTAACAAACTTTCACCTGGAATGTATGAACTGTTATATGCCAATGGACTTATGTGGGGTACTAGTGATGACATCTTTTCTTATTGATAGTCAATTAGTTTATTGAAATTAGTTGCTCTTGTAGATATCAAATATTTGTAAACTCCAATTACTTCGACATATTGGGAAAAGAAATAGAAAAGAAAACTATGAAACTTATATACTAATCTTTATAATTTTATTTTTCCAATGTGATAATGAAATAACCATCTCATCGCATATAACACAATGAGTTTTCTAATAATTTACTGCATTTGATTAAATTTACAACTGTTTCATGTATATCGCCTAAAACGGTAATATACATGGGTTTTTCTGGAAAAAAAGTGAAATTGTTAACAATTTCAAGCAGAACATTTTTAGTGACTGGAACCTCAAAAATGATTAAAACTGTTATGTTAAGCTGTGGAGTCTATGATGGTACTGATATGCATGTTAGTACCATTATTATATAATATGATGAAAATGGATACAGTACATTAATTTGTGAATAGAAAATCCTGAAATATTAGGGTACCTGAGTTCTCTGCTTATATTTCGTTTCATAATGTTACAGGTTTTATTAAATAAAGGTACTGATCTTTTTGAGTGGTATTAAGTTACCCAATCAATTATATTCTTAGGGTATTCTCATCATGTGATATGACATAAATTAACAATTTTTTCTCTCTTGATTCAGTAGCTTAAAAATTGCAATATTACTGCCCTCAAAAATGATAAAGTCATTCTTTTCAGTTTGTGTGTTTTCTCAACCAAACGATGTATCAATCCTCTATTGAACTATATCAATAACTGTCTTCCATGTTCTAATATATCATTATATAACCTTTTTAACAATTACATTGACACATCTGTCTAAAATGCAGACAACTAGAAGAGCCTTCTTTTCATTTTCAGGGCGGCTCGTATATATATATTTTCTTCCATTCATCTTAACTTCCAATTTATATATATTTAGCATATAACTATTGCTAAATCTAAACAGGGAGAGAGAAAGTTGAATAAAGAAAATACTCAACTGATTAACGAAGTAGGATCAATATAATATTATTGTTTTGTTTTTATAGAACTATCCCACATTACAACGGAAAAACAATATGACTTCTATCATCGGTCTGGGGATAGGTGAATGGTCAAACAAACTTACTGGATCCGATGCTACCACTGATGATTGTCTTTCATTCTTACCGTCCTTTTATAACGATAAGACAGTCAAGGAGTTAAAGCTGAAAGTGATCAAGCATGCGTTGCTATCAGATGATACTCCGTTGATATATGATCTTGGGAAGTCTAAAGGTGGATTTGTATCCAATGAGATACGGCAAATATGCTGGCATAAAGTGTTAACTAGTCAGTTAATATTACAACCCAGAACAAATGTCGATGGACTTAATATACCTCATTGTGATGAGAATCAGATAGACCTTGATGTTAACAGATCATTTGGATACATCTCAAATGAAAAGACAAGAACATCATTGAAAAGAATCTTAAAGGGGGAAATAGTACATTTTTTCAGATCATATCCCAAATTAAGATATTACCAAGGTTATCATGATATTGTATCGACATTTATTGTAATGTTTTGTTATGATTCCAAACACTATAAACTCAAGACAAAAATATCACACCAAACTAAACGTCGACTATCTGATTGCATTGAAATATATTCATTATTATACTTGCGGGATTTCTTAATGGATTCTTTAGATTTTCCTATTGACCAACTTGGAATCATTCCATTTTTAATAAAGGACAAAGATATAACTTTGTATCAAAAATTACAATTAGATAAAATTAAACCATTTTTTGCCATTGCATCGATATTGACTATATTTTCACATGACCTCAAACCTGATACCATGAATGACAATTGTATAATCTTCCAAATATTTGATCTAATGATATGTACACATTCCATGTACACTCCGTTGGTTCTATATAGCAATATGATTCTTGCGGTTAAAGAAAATCTATATGAAGAATACGATAAGAACTTGGAGAATTTTGAGAATGAAACAGATTTAGTTCATGGAATTATACAAAAAGTATTAATACAATCAATGCAAGATAAAACTACATACACAAAACTATGGAACAACGTTCTAGCAACCACTCGTACCAGCTATACGATAGCAAAGGATACACAAAAGAAAATATATAAGATGATCAATAAAGCCAGTCCACTGAGAAACACAGGAAGTGGTATGAAGTTAGTCAGGATTGTTGATCAAAATTATATAGGTAAACTTATTGATAAAGGGATTTCATTGAATGAAGAGAACCATAAGAAACTAAGTGGGAACAACAACGATTACTATGAAGAACGGAAATATAACAAAATTATTAAAGCATCTCTGTTAATTGGCGTATGTTCTATAGCGTTAGGTGCTTGTGATCATAAGATGCAATTGTCATCTCATGTCTTCTCCGCACCAAATCTTGACATACCCAAATTCACAGACGTGGCGGGAATACTATCTGAATCCTTAAAGGACATAAAGAATATTATATAGCAACACAAATGAGATAAACATACATATATATACATCCCCACTATTTAAATGGAAGCTTATGACATTAGTCTCCAAGTCCTTCAAGTTCTAACATATTTTCACGTGAACTAACCCAATCTCATCTCATCGCCATCCCATCGTCATCTCTTCTTATGCCTGTGTGCTGCCCCCAGAAAACTGTGTGAGAAGAGAACGAAAGTGAAAAATTTCCAAAGGGGCGCCAGCGAAAGATCGCCGTAGCTGTCTTTTCCATTCTATATGTTTTACTAAGGAGAGAAAGAACTGAAACTTAACCAAAGGAAAGGAACAAAGCAACCTTTCTATTGTTGTGCAACTGCCAAGTTCGATTGTTTAGAAGTTTTCATATTCTACCATCCAGTTGAGCAAATATTAAACAATCTGCGTTTGGGTAAAGCTATACACACATTAATAACATCATCTAATTTAAAAAAAAAATAAGGATACTAATATCGCCAGATTATATATAGTATAGAAAAGGCAATAAATATTTGTAACAAGATATATATTTAAACTAAAATTTTCATTAGTTTTATATTCTGTTTTCCATTGGTATCGACACACCTATCACAAAACATAAATAATCAAAATGACAGTGACATCGTATGCTGTAGAAATTGAAGATCTGACCTATACATTTCCAAGTAAGAATGAACCTGCTCTAAGGGAAGTGACTATGCAAATCCCTTGGAATACCAGAACTTTAGTTATTGGATCTAATGGTGCTGGTAAGTCTACTCTGTTAAAATTATTAAGTGGGAAACATTTATGTTTGAATGGTAAGATTCAAGTCAATGGTCTAGACCCCTTCAGTCCACTATCTATGCATCTACCAAATAATGATGAAGCTGATGGAGATGTCCAAGTGAGCACTTATTTGGGCACAGAGTGGTGTCACATGAATATTATAAATAGAGATATTGGTGTTCTAGAGTTGCTAGAGAGTATCGGCTTAAAACATTTCCAAAAGCGTGGTGATTTACTATGTGATATCCTGGAGATTAATTTGGAATGGAGAATGCATCAATTGAGTGATGGGCAAAAGAGACGTGTTCAATTAGTCATGGGTTTATTGAAGCCATGGAGAGTCCTACTTCTAGATGAAGTGACAGTAGATCTAGATGTTATTGCTAGAGCTAGATTATTGGAATTCTTAAAGATGGAAACCGAGACGAGAAAATGCTCCGTGGTATACGCTACACATATATTTGATGGTTTAGCCCAATGGCCTGATAATATCTATCATATTAAGGATGGTCGTCTAATTGATAGACTTGATTACAAGAAGGATGTTGAATTCACAGTATCTAAAGAACTTTACACCAATGGGGATGTAACTTTTGAAGAAGACTCACACATTTCCATTAGTAGAGTAAACAGTTTACATCCTCTGGCAATAGCCTGGCTAAAAAAGGATAATGATATTAAGGATTAGTATATACATTATTTAATACTCCTCCCTCTCTTCATTTTTATACGTTTAACTATTCTGTAATGTCCCTGTTCTCATCACCTTTTTTTTTGTTGATTAAATATTCATTCGCTATATAACAAATTTGTGAATTTCAATAATGAAAACCCTTTAGAAGGCACTATGCCATCCCCTTCACTGTTATAACAATAGAAGAACAAGATTGAGGGATATCATAAGTGGAACGTAAAATGTCAAAATTATCTGACCTTCCATTAACCGAAAGAAAATTAGTCAAGAGTACCAAATTTGCAAGGATATTTAATGTCAATGATAAGTATGCCATTAAATCAATAAGCACAGATTTCATTGTGGCTCCCCATAACCACGAAGTTGAAAGATCGATCCTATTGAAACTAAGAAGTGCAATCGAAGAGTCTTCAAGTAAGGACAAAGGTGCCATTCATATAATTGGATTACTGGACTATGGCCGAAATGAACAAGATGAAGATGAGGTAGAGTTACTATTCCCATATTATCCATTTAGTTTATATGAATTGATGAGAACTCAATATAGACAATCAGGGCATCAAGAACTTAACAAAAAATTCAATCCTTATTACAATCTAACGACAGTCACAAATGAAGAAGATTTACCAACAAGAACAAAAGAATTAATATATAAGAATTATTTCGATGTGAATAAATATGCATACAAATATTTTCTTCAAATTGCTGAAGGTTTGCAATTCATACATCATAATGGAATTATTCATAGAGATATAAAACCACAAAACATAATGGTCGACGTAGAGACCGATTTATTGAAGATCACAGATTTTGGAATCTCCTATGATACACAGAATACTAAACAAACGGTCGCAGAAAGTCCAGAACGTAAGATCACAGATGTATCATCTTCTATATACAAAGCTCCTGAGTTATTATTAGGTGTGAAGAATTATGGATATGCTGTAGATATATGGTCTCTACTGATTTTAGTATCACAGTGGTTCCAAAAAGATACCAAAATGATATCAACCACAGGGAGAATTGTCTCTGAAACTAGAGATGATTTTTATATTCCTGCTATAATTGATGATGGTACACAAGATGGACAAAATGGAAGTGACATACGATTATTACTCAGTATATTTTCTAAATTTGGATATCCCAAGGTTTTAGATTGGAAAGAAGTTTCTGAATTTGGTTCGGAGGATGCATTCATAGGGATGTTTGGGGAGCAAGGTGATGGCAAATATTTCAAATATCTACCTGATGAAGAACAACTTGAGCAATTAAAGGTATTATTACCCAGATTGAATGAAATTAATGATGTGACTATTAGAGACGGAATCTTAAATGTTATGGCGAAAATGCTGGTGTATGATTCTACAAAGAGAATATCTAGTGACAAACTTGTCTCTGAATTGGCATCCCTTAAAGCATAAATAATAATGCATTGCTACTCAACCAATAACTGCTATGATATGCATTCCTTTAACCTATAAATATATATATATATATATATTAAATATTTTTATTATTAGCATTACTACATTAGAATAAAAAAAGTTGATAAAGATTTAAAATAAAGGGAGTTTATTTTCAAAATAATAAAATTAAATGATATTATACTATATAAATATACATATATGCAAACAGTGTAAAGATTTTTTTTCTTTGAATTTTCTTCAATTATTTTACACAGCTAATGGGTATTCACCAGCCCAGTTGTAAATTTCTTGCTTCAAACCGGTCCATAGATCTGGGTTAGCGTCAATGGCAGCCTTGAAGTCCTTTAATCTATTGGCTTCCTTTGGTAGACCATGTTGAGTAGTTTCAGCAATGTTGACAACCTTATCAATGTATTGAACAATTCTATGGAAATCTTGTTCACCCATACCTCTAGTGGTCATAGCTGGAGCACCAATACGGACACCACCTGGAACCAAAGCGGATTTATCACCTGGAATGGAGTTCTTGTTTAGGGCAATGTTAATCTTTTCACAGACGTATTCAACACGAGCACCATCAACACCCTTTTCTCTTAGGGAGACAAGGACCATATGGGAGTCAGTACCGTTAGAGACTAGTCTATAATTCAAGTTCTTGAATTCTTCTTCTAGAGACTTTGCGTTCTTCAACACTTGCAATTGATATTCTTTGAATTCTGGGGTAGCGGCTTGTTTCAAAGCAGTAGCTAAAGCAGCAATGGTATGGTTATGTGGACCACCTTGATGACCTGGGAAGACAGAGAAGTTAATTGGATTCTCTAGATCATATACGACTTCCTTACCGGTCTTTTGGTTGATGGATCTGACACCTCTTCTGAAGAAGATCATGGCACCTCTTGGACCTCTTAAGGACTTGTGAGTAGTAGTAGTGACTATATCAGCGTATTCGAAAGGAGATGGAATAACACCAGCAGCGACTAAACCGGAGATATGAGCCATATCAACCATCAAATAAGCACCACATTTTTCAGCAATTTCCTTCATTCTCTTGTAGTCAATCAAACGACAGTAAGCAGAAGTACCAGCAACTAAGACTTTTGGTCTGTATAGAATGGCATTCTTTTCTAGAGTGTCATAGTCGATAATACCAGTCTCTGGGTCGACTCTGTAAGGGAATGATTCGAAGTAAGTAGAGACAGCAGAAATCTTTCTGTTTTCAGTGGCGTAACCATGAGACAAATGACCACCATCTGGTAAATATAGACCCATCAATCTTTCGTGAGGTTTCATAACAGCTTGATAAACTTGTAAATTGGCTGGAGAACCGGATAAAGTTTGTACGTTAACACCCCATTTGTCTGGAGTGACGTGGAATGCTTCCAAAGCTCTGTTTTGACATAGAGTTTCGATTTGATCAATGAATTCATTACCACCATAGTAACGGGCCCCTGGGTAACCTTCGGAGTATTTGTTACATAGAGGAGTTCCTAAAGCATCGAAGACTGCGGTAGAAGTGAAATTTTCAGAAGCAATCAAATCGACGGAATGTCTTTGTCTATCAATTTCAGATTCAATTAAAGTTTCTAATTGAGGATCATTTTGCTTTAGATGGCCAGTGACCATTTCTTTGTGTTGTTCAGATAGAGCGTAAGGCATTGTTGTGAGAGAGTGAGTTTGGTAGTTTTAGTTTACTGATATATATCGTAATATTAGAAGAACAATATAAAATGAAGAGAAATTAAATAGACTAATTCAAGATAGAAATAATGTGGCTGTCAAGTACCCTTTATATATAATATTTTTCAAGTGATGAGAACGTGGGAATGTTTAATAAATAATATTTGCTCCCTTCGAAAAAATTTAAGAAAAAAGAAGTGAAATATAATGAGAATGAATATAATGCATAGAATCAACCATACAGAGAGAGATGAGTATATAAGAATATAATATATGAAAAAGACTACTAATGAAGGTAAAGAATATAAATATTTTACGTGTTATGAAAAACACATCAAGTTCATCCATCATCGTCATCAACAATTTTCTTATTTTGAGTTAAAATGTGTGTGTGTGATGTGGAAAAGGAGTCAAACAGATAGATAGATAGTGTGCAAGTCACGTGATATTTGTACTGTTTGTTTTTTTGGGGTGTGTATATTAGAGAAAAAAACAGAGTCAGTTCAATTTTATGACTCTGTTTCTCACTGCTGTTGTTGTTGTTGTTGTTGTTGTAAAGCATCACTCAAAGTTGAAAGACAACCTGAGATATCATTTAGAGAGTCATCGCATGCACTCACACCCATATGACCGACTCTGACATATTTGCTCTTAATATCTTTATGGATCCCACCTGTAATGGTATAGCCGTGTTGTTGCATGTAACTGATCACCGATGGTGGGTTTGTAACATAGATGGCAGTAAGACCATGAGCAGAATTATCTAAAGTCTTAGACACTAACTGTTGACCCAACTTGTCAGTGATACAAGTCTTGAAGTTATCACTTGTATCCTTGTGTTTGTTGACTCTTGCCTCTATACCGGTTTGACCCTTGTAAGAGAATTGTAAAATTTGTTCCAAAGCGACTCTTAAGGAATCAATCAATTGAACAGGTGGTGTTGCAAAATACGCTGGCTTTCCAGACTCAAATGCCTCTAAGATAGGTAGCCATTTCTTGAAAGAAGTATAATAACTACCATTACGTGAAGTGATGTCTGTTTCCGATTTTAAAATGGCTCTATCACTAACCATACCAAGAGATAATCCCGGTGGTGCACCAATGGCCTTTTGTGAAGCACTAATACATATATCAAGCCCCCATTTATCGAACTGAATATTTTCACAACCTAATGAGCATACAGTATCGACTGCAATCAATGTATCTGGGGAAACTTTATGAACTAAAGCCGCGATTTTCTCAATGTCTAATAGCACACCTGTTGAAGTATCTACTTGAGTCATTACAATCAGGTTATATTTCTTATTTTGTAATTCAGATTCTATTTTGTTCAATGGGATTGAATCCCCGGCATTAGCAGCAGACAAACGAGTCACTTGGTTCGAGTTATCTACGTAATAAGTCGAAATTGCTTCATGGAATTCATCACTGAAAAACCCAGTAGATAATAACAAAATTTGGTCCTTTGCTGGGTTGATCAAATTTGAACCGACCAAATCGAACCCTAACGTTCCGGAACCCGAGATAACTAGGGGCATCCCTCTAGCCTCATGAGCAACATACACTTGACGTAGCATCTTTAAAGTGTCCTTGAAAGAAGTAGTAAAGGACGGACATGTATGTGACACAGATTGTTGTCCCAAAGCAGCAATCACTTCGGTGGAAAGGGTGATTGGGCCGGGGATTAACAGTTTGGTGTGATCTTTAGATAGGGACATAGTTGTAATTTGTCTCCTGGTGAAAGTTGTAGTATGGGAAGGATTCTTGTTACGTAGTAATAGTTTTCCTAATAGCATTCGTTGTATTATGTTTCTTATCTCCCTCTTGAGAGATATGAAAGGGGAGTGCGAAATGTTTAAAGAAGAAATAGGAATATATAGTGAATATTTATATAATTCGATGTCAATATAGTGATGTCTCACCTATTTATTGTCGTGTCATTGATCTCGAAGGGTTCATTCAGCAAACAGAGAGAGGGAAAAAGAAAAAGATCTCGGAGTAATGGGATGACGCATATTGGTCAGAAAACAAATTAGTTAAAAATAGAGAAAGAAGAAAGTAATATGATAAGACCTATTGATTGATTGATGATAATAAAGTAAATATAAATATAAATATAAATATATATATATATATATTTTGAAAAACACGAAACTGAACTGCTCCCGTCCCAACTAACCAAAAATAAAGATTTCATTTTCTATATTAAGAAAGTGATCTAAACCACATTTGAACAAACTCGTAATTTCTTGCTTCGAATAAACAACAACCAGTAAATAACAATAATAACAAAAACGACAGAATCTTGATATATTCAACAGACCATGATTATTCAGCAGTCGCAGCCATGAAATATCTTATCTCTTGCAAAATCATGAAGCAGAGTAAATATTAAGCGCGCCACACTGAGTCAATAGAATTGTAATTCAAAATTTATTTTAGTCACTTCTTTATCACTACTAATAGTGGGTTGATGTAAACTTATTGTAAGGGAGATATACCAATTGTCAAAAACTAATAACATAGGAATGTTAGGAAAGGGATACAAATATAAAAAAAAGTAATAACGACCGACAATAATAATAACAATTATTTTATTTTGAGTAAAGTGAGTCAACACTATACACTACTCCATTTCTATTAAATAGTAATGAAATCGACAGGTTCAAATGACAAATTTAGACTTGACTGCGCTTCGGGCAGTACCATAATATGACACATATAATAATGCAATGAATAAACGATGTATTAAACTTTCTTCCCCATGCAAAAATAAACAGTGGTTGTTTTATGAGATAGATACACACACATATGTGATGGAAAGTATTAATCAAATTTAAATGAATCAATCATTTAAAAATCAATTATACTAGTGGGAGGGGGAAAGAGAGTAAAATATCATTGGTTTTAATTAGAAAAAAAAGTGGGAATATATGTGAAAATATTATGATATCAGAGTAATCGCGGCTGGATTACGCCAATTGTCAAGATCAAATGAACTAGCGATTGTAGTAGTAGGAGGGTCGAACTCGGTGACGACGTCCATTACATCATTTAATTCGTTATTATTATTAGTGGTAGTCAACAGGAGATTGTTTTGAGAATCCTCAGTCACATGACTTAGGATACTATTCTCTAAAGCAGTAGCAGCGTCGGCTTCAAAATCGAAATCTTGATTATCGTCGTTGTTATGTGTATGATCATTAAAGATCGTTTTCATAGTTTCTTCATTATCATTTTGAATATGTAAAGCAAACTCGCGTGCATCATCATCATCATTTTTAATATGAGTTGATGATAATAATTCATTTTTTAAAGTATGAGCTAAAGTATCAGGAGACATCGATATTGAGCCATGAGTAGAAACAGATGTAGAAGGAGAAGGAATTTGTTGTTGTTGGAATGACATTGTATTGGAATTGTTAGTGATAATATCATTACTATTTGATTTATGAATATCTTTCATTGAGAAAGTGAATTCAAAATTATTCGAGTTTTCGATTTCCTCATCTTCATCCTCATCTTCTTGTTTGATATGAGTATGTGGAGAAGAAGATGTAGTAGTAGGTACGATATCATCTTCTATAGCCAAGGTATGTAAATCATTAATTAATTTTAATTTATCTGATTGGTTGGCAAAGAGTTGAGTCAAATCCAGCCCTCCAATAAGCTGTTCCATAATACGACATTTATCTTCTAAGAATTTCAAATGTAATCTTTTTTTCTCTCTTGATTGATGTGCAGCTTTTCTATTTCTAAGAATTCTCTCTATACGACGTTGTTCTTTTTCTTCCTTAGTCTTAGCTCTCTTACGTGGAGGCAAAGTGCTTTTAAAATCAGAAGGAATGTCGATAGAGTTCTTGTTAGTTCTTAGAGTAGATTCCATAGTTGTGTGTGTGTGTGTGTGTGTGTGTATCTATCTCAACAGTTGAAAAAAAAACGATTCAGAATAAAATAATCAAAGAAAGGAAGAGTATGTGATTCTGATGTATTTAATTTTTAACAAATGAAACAAGTTTATATATAAATATAAATGTAACAGAATGGATAGTAAAGTTATGCTGAATTAAAAAAAGATTATACAAGTATATATATTAAAAATAAAGTAAAATAAAATAAAAGAAAGGTACATAAGCATAGATGTGAGTGTGAATATTATGATATTATATCAGAAAATGCGATATACATATTACATATGCAACACCGTGAAAATGTTTCAGTTCGTACGCGGGGGGGCAAAGAGAGAGAGAGCTAGAAACTAATAGCAAAATGCAGAGGAGTGGAAGATAAACAAGTAACGTTCATTCTTTCAAAACTAAATCAACTTGAAAATCATTTGTTTGAGAACGGATTAATATGCAAAGATAGACATAGAGAGAGGCACAGTAACAGTAATAAACGTGATAATAAGACAATACAAAATATTACAACAGGTAACGAAAAAAACTTGCACTCTGTATAAACTTTGGAATCATGTTTAAAATTTGCCTCTTTCGGTGTGTATAAGAGATGGAAAGAGGAGACATTCTTCAGTGGGTGTGTTCCATCCAGCAATACAGTTTGGATATTGTTATTATAACGGGTTTTGTTCGGTTGCTGCTATTGCAATAGCACCACCACCACCCATTATATTGTTGCAATAGGAGAGACAAAGAAAATGTAAAATTATGCATCACAGCGAGATGGGTGTACATCGTATAGTACGTTCAAAGTTCTTTCTACAGGGGTCTGTGTGTGTCTGTCTCCTGACGTGGGGTGAAGAAATGAGAAATTGGAGGGGAACGACCTTGGTGGGTGGGGTGTGTGGGTGGATGGTGTGGGTGGCGTATTGGTTGCCCAGAGGGGGGTGTAGAAGTGCGTGGAATGTCACTGTGGACGGCAGAGAAGAGGACACGTATGCCCGTTTCGACTGCTAGGTGGAACAGCTACTACACCTCGTCGACAGTGACATGGTTGCATATTCTGACTGGTAGCTGAGAAGTCCAGCCTGAAAGTATTGTTTGCGGAAATTAGTCGTATCCATTTCCAGTTGTGTGTGGGTGTGCGAGTGTGTAATTCAGGGTATTCCTGCTGGTCCAGCAGTTTTCATACAGACAGAGACGGGTCCCCTCTGTCTAACTGAAAATATGTTTGATGATTTTCGTGATTGAATCACCTGCAAATATTACCCGTTTTGTTGTTAATTACCGTATTTATACAAGAGATGTCGACTATATGCCTAATGTGGAAATGAGTCGGCGGTAGTGCCCGTATGAGGCAATATATATATATCGCTCTTAGAATATATATTCATATATTCTAATGGCTGTATTTGTCATATATATATATTGTTACGCGTCCTTTTTTTATTATTTGTCTTAAATAAAGTAGAACATTATTTAATTGGTTTCGTGTTTCGTTTCCTGATACGGTAATCCACATATAATTTATTTAAAATGTTAGTGGTTGATTGATAATTGATTGATAATTAATTAAATGAGGTTATGGATTATGACACAATATTTGGTTCTTGAATTATGAATAACGAGTTGGGTCATGGATTATTAGAATATTAAAAATAATGTTCAAGGGCCCGTAATATATATAGTTGTATAATTGTATATGCTTGTAGGGCGTACGTGGCTATAAAAAGATGATGACAAGTAGTACTCTCTGAACTGTTATTATTGATATGATAAAATATTGAAAGAGTCCAGGAAGGTTCAACTTTAGATATTTGTATATTTAGCATATTGATAGAATATTAAATCATTTTATTATCCTGTTATCTTGCAAGAGTTCGTATATTCTGACATCCCTAAAAAACATTAAATCTTAACTCTCACTACCTTTGTATTTATTTTTTTTCTTATTTGACATCTACTTATATTATATCAATTTTACGGGAACTACATATCATATACACTGAACTCTACAATCTGTACCTTGCTATATCTTGCAACAAACTGTTTTTACTTCTTGTATCTTAATATTACTATGTGAATTGGGAATTGTTAACAGCCCGCGGTTCACGATCTCTAAATTTAAAGCCTTATTTTTTGGATTTTTTTTTAGTTTTTTCGTACCAAATAATATTATGATTATTATAGTAGGGGAGTTTTAAGATATGGATATATATTCATATACACATACATACATACATATTTGAAGTGGACAAAGTGGTATTCACATCCACCACTACAACTGCAAACACATTACGACCCAGTTCATTGACATGGGAAGATGTCAGCACCTCACCAATCTGGCACCGAGAATTACGACAACTACACTACAAGTACAAGTGATAACGATGCAAGTGACAGCGGCAACTCCGCAAACTACGACGACTACATAAAGATCGCCACCCAGAACAACTTCTCAATGGTAATGGAACTGGACCTGGCCGGCACCGTCAAATACATATCGGCACAACAATGGGAGAGCCTCCTGGACGTGTCGGCCCCTTGTGCCTCTCAACGAATCGCAGATTATGTATCGGGATCCCCACAGGATAAAGCTGTGTTCGATAATGCCGTGGAGATGATGCTAGAGAACGACGATATCAGCTACACCGTGACGTTCAATACTTGGGACTCCCAAGGGGACTTGGTGCCGTTGGAGGCATGCGGCATTTTGATCAGAGACCCAGGCACGCATGAACCGTTGTACTCGATGTGGAATATGAAACCATACACGGAACAACAACATGAATCGGCCTTGCAACAACTATTACCAGAATCCTTCATTAAGAAACTGGGGTTTGGCGCAACGATCTTTGCATCATATATTAGACACATAGAAAATATTGGCGTGATCAATGATAACAATTTACCGATACCAAGAATGGAATTATGTAGAGTTTGCGAAACGTTTGTTCCGGCTTGGTGGCTTGAGACTCATTCTCAAAATTGCGTAGTTGAACATCGCATCCAATCGGTGGTGCAATTGTTACATGATAATTTAGTGGAACAAGAGAAGAGACTCAATGAGGAGTTACAAAATGGAGAATGGACTGTAAGACAACAGAATTTATTGGAATCATTGAAAGAATTGACAGAGTACGCAGTGGATGTAAATCCTAGTGAACCAACCACAGAACATCAATATCAAACAATATATGATAATAATAATAATAATAATAATAATAATAATAATAACAACTACAACTACACCACAACAACACAATTCCAATTTTCTCCAAATTCAAAAACTAATATTCAATATATCGATAACTGGAAATATCCAGATTTACAAGATTGTATAGATGAACTCCGAGATGATTCTACACTGACACAATTGATTTCAGATACAATAGAACTGACTAGGAAGAAAGTGGACTCTGTACGAAGATTGGACAATGCAATGAAATATTCTCAACGGATTAAGGATGAAGTAAATGATATTGCTATGCAATTGATTCGTGAACAAGTAGAAAATAATAGATTAAAACAAGCCCATTCATTAAGTGTACAATTTGTTACTCCAACGGGAGCAAATTCAACTCCCATTTTACCACAGGTATCATTATCACCAGCAAATATGAACTGTCATTCGATGGATTCTTTATTGCATAAAATTCCTTCAATATATGAACCGAATGATACTGATTTAGAAGAAACACCGTCTCAATTGGACTCCAATACTTTACGAACGTTAGGCACTGCCGCTACATTTACACAGAACCATAGTAATGAGACATTTAATATAATGGACTCTAATAGGATTGAATTACCGACTCTCGTTACGCCACAACCAAAACATGTAAATGATACTAATAGTCGTGATAACAATAACTTATTTTCAGAATCGTATTTGAAAAATGATGAATTACCAAAAATGCACTCTACTACACATAGTAGCTTGAGTCAATGGGGATTTACTGATGATATACCTAATCGCGAGAAAACTTCTACTCCAGAACCTCAGCAAACAAAATACCCAAGACATACCTCAAGATCAATAACTCCAAGTACTCAATTAGATTACGATATATATCATTCGGATACAGTACATGAACGCAATAACTCCAGCTTTAACAGCAGTAATAGTGTCTCCAATTCCTCATATCAAACTCCGCAAATGTCGTCTACAAAACTTTTGAACACAAACTCTATAAATCAACTTCAAGGAACTTCCAATATTAATTCAAATCTACCGAAACTTTCCACAACAATTTCTTTGACACCCAGAAGAGGATCACCGTTGCCATCGAATATATCTTCATATAACAATGCAACTACAAAACCATTAGATGATCCGCAGTTGCGTCACTTTAACAACTCGATTCATTCAAATACACCGTCAACTTCCCATAATCAAATGTTAAGATTAGACCTAGAGAAATCACCAATAAGTTCACCTTTTGCACTTGCTAGAGATTTCTTGACACCAGAACAATTTCCAAACAATCCGGCATCCCCAAATCAACCTTTATCACCTTTGTTGCTTGCAACAAACCAAGTGAAAACAGCACAACCAAGTATTCGTGATTATGATATTTTGAAACCCATTAGTAAAGGTGCCTATGGTAGTGTATATTTGGCCAGAAAGAAACTAACTGGAGATTATTTTGCAATAAAAGTTTTAAGAAAATCTGATATGATTTCCAAGAATCAAGTTATGAATGTAAAATCTGAAAGAGCTATCATGATGTTTCAAAGTGACAAACCATACGTTGCAAAACTTTTTGCTACTTTTCAAAATAAGGACAACTTATTTTTGGTTATGGAATATTTACCTGGTGGTGATTTAGCTACTTTGATAAAAATGATGGATACATTACCAGATGAATGGGTAAAACAATACCTCGCAGAAATTATAATAGGGGTAGAAGATATGCACCAAAATGGTATAATTCATCACGATTTGAAACCGGACAATTTATTGATCGATAGCAAAGGCCATATAAAATTAACTGATTTTGGATTATCTAGGGCTGGGTTAGTAAGAAGACATAAAATCTTTGCTAGGTCAAAATCTGTTACTTCTAATAACTCGAATGATGAATCCGAAGTTAATAAGAGTGCGAGCCAGTCATCAGCTTCTGAAACGACAAGTACTATAAAGACTAAAAAGAGATCGGTATCATCACTGAAACCATCAGAATCTGATTTGTTAAACACTCCTACACCTCGTGCAGATAGTACACATAACACCGATTTTTTGAATCTTGGAAAAAGTGACTCTCAATTATCTTTATCATTATTCGAAGTTTCTCGAGCAAGTACTCCACCTCCACAGAACCTAACTAACTTTTCCACACCCTCTGCTAGTAAACTTAAAATCAATTCAAGTAACGATATTAGTTTATCCAATAGTACTATCCCAAATATTCGCAAGACAACACATAGCAACAGTATGTCTACAGTTTCATCAAATGCATCACATAATTCTGACTTGGCTTTATTTCACCCAGATGATACCAAACAAGATAAGAAATTCTTTGGGACCCCTGACTATCTGGCCCCAGAAACCATTAAGGGCACCGGAGAAGGTGATGAATGTGATTGGTGGTCTGTTGGTTGCATCATGTTCGAACTTTTATTAGGATACCCACCATTTCATGCAAATTCTCCGGAAGCTGTCTTTAGAAATATCTTAGATGGGAATATCCAATGGCCATTATTCGATTCTGCTGAAGAAGAGAGTGAATTTTTGTCAAAGGATTCAAAAAATTTAATTGCAAAGCTACTTGTCATCGATCCTTCACAACGTTTAGGTGTAAATGGTGCCCAAGAGATAAAAAGTCATCCTTATTTCAAGACCATAGATTGGCAAAGTGTTTATGAAGAAGAACCGTCATTTGTACCAACTGTTGACAATCCGGAAAATACAGAGTATTTTGATCCTAGAGGTGCCATATTAGAAAATTTAGATGATAGTGATGAAGAAACTTCGAAAACAAAGGAAGGATATAATATAACAGATAATAGCGACATTCCAATGCTAAATTCTTCAGGTGGGTTATCGTTATCTACGCCGAAAGGAACTCCTATATCATCAGCTCCCCGGGACTGGTCAGGAGCTTTTATAGGAGGAACAGGGGAATATTCCACTCCAATTAATAAACTAAGTATCTCATCTGTCCTTGAATCCATGGATACTTCCAATACGACTAGTCAGTTACCAGAAAATATAAGTAGGAACTCCTCAGTTCCAAAAAGTATGTCCTTAGCTATCCCTCCACATATGAGGGAGAGAAGAGCAAGTAAATTGAATGATCCACAAACTGAATTTGGGTCATTTTACTTTAGAAATTTATCAGCTTTGGATAAAGCTAATAAGGATGTTATCAATAGACTTAAAAATGAACACTTCAGTGATATACCTCGTGTTCATAGAAGAACATCATCTGGATCAGTGGCAGGTTCATCTTCAGATACTTCTTCTTCTAAGATGAAATTACATAAGAGTTCGCTAACTGGCTCTCCAGCTTTTAACCCTACGGCAAAGAATTTGATGAGATCAGATTCATCATCTATTAAATCATTTTCACCTGAAAGATCAAATAGTATAGACCAAGGACCGGGAAATATTTCAAGAAAAGAAAGTTTAATTAGTACTATTGATACTAATACGCCGGTATCTTCAAATTTTATTGGTACATATACGAAGTCTCCAAATACACTATTTTTCAGTGATTCTGATTCCCCAACAACTTCAAAATTCAAATCACCACTATCACCTGCGTCTACTACATTTAACAAGACACACAGGAGTAAGCTACTTTCAAAGACAATAGCAAATTCACAACGAAGTAGCACTGCTGATATTTCTTCTGATGAGACTGATAGACTTCAAGCAGTTGCAAGAGTTAATACTTTAAGACATAGAAGAAGAAGTAGCAGACTGGAATTTAGCAACACAAACAATGAAATAGGTTATCACATGGACATCCTTCTCTGCGAGCCAATTCCTATTCATAGATACCGTGCCGCTAAGGATTTAGAAGATATGGGATGCACTGTTGTAACGGCAAGTGCAGGTGACGAATTAGTTAGTAAAGCTACAAGTGGCATTAAGTTTGACCTTATTTTGATTCCTTTAAAACTAATGAAATTTAATGTATTGGATATCGTGAAACTAATCAAACATACGAATGACGTCAATGCCAAGACACCGATTATTGCTATCACAAACTATTACCAAGAAGCTATCAGTACAAATATGTTCGATGATGTGATGGAGAAGCCTATCGATTCGACTCAATTACGCAGAATACTGTCAAAATATGCATTAAAGAGAAGTCAAGATGAAGCTGAAGACACAATCATCAGTGATAGTGACGAAGTGTCATCAAACGTTGCTCATTGAATATATTCTCTCTGATAATTTATTGTAGATGGAAATCATTTTCTACGTTGAAAAATTTTCAACACATTGCAGAGAAAAGCAAACAAAAGCGAAAAAAAAAAATTGAAAATGAAAATGCCATAATCATGAGATCAGTCAAACAGAAGAATATTACGTTTGACAGTTGACCTCACCAATTTCTTGAATTATCCACTTTTTATATAGTTTATTCTATATCTAGAAATCATTAACATATTTTAAATATTGTTTACTTAAAATTTTATATTTGTTTGTGTAAATATATCATCATAACTAGAAATAGTCTTATAGACAAACCAGTGTTTAGTAACAACTGCCATGCCTACCATCTCTGTTAAAAAGCAGCAATTATTCGACCTTTTAGGTAAGAATTACACCAATGACGAATTCGATGAATTATGTTTCGAATTTGGTGTTGAATTAGATGAAGACACAACTGAGGAAGCTCTAAAGACTGGTGAAGAACCTGAATTGAAAATTGAAATTGGTGCCAACCGTTACGATCTATTGTGCATCGAAGGTATTGCACAATCCATTAATGAATACCTGGGTAGAGCTGAAACTCCAAAATATAAACTATTGAAACCAACCACTAAGTTGATCATCGATAAAGAAACTGAACAAATTAGACCATATGCTTCAGCTGCAATTCTAAGAAATATTAAGTTTACTGAGGAATCTTATGCCTCTTTCATTAATCTTCAAGATAAGCTACATTCCAACTTATGTAGAAACAGATCTTTGGTTGCTATGGGTACCCACGATTTGGACACTGTAAAGGGCCCATTCCATTACAGAGCTCTACCACCAAAGGACATTAAGTTCGTCCCATTGAACCAAACAAAAGAATTCAATGGTGAAGAATTGATTGAATTTTACAAATCCCCAGAACAGAAGAACAACATCGGTCGTTTCACTCACATCATCGAAAACTCCCCAGTTTTCCCAGTCATCATGGATGACAACGATACTGTCTGTTCCTTACCTCCATTGATTAACTCAGAACATTCTAAGATTTCTCTAGAGACCCGTAATGTTTTTATTGATATCACTGCCACCGACAAAACAAAGGCTGAAATTGTTCTAGATACTTTATGTGCTATGTTTTCCCGCTACTGTGATGAAGAATTTAGCATTGAACCAGTTGAAATTGTTTCTGAACACAATGGTCAATCCCGGATGGTTCCAAAGGTTGAAGAAAGAGTCATGGATGTTTCTATTCCATACATAAACTCTGCTCTAGGTCTTGAACAAACTCCAGAAGAAATTGCTGCTTGTTTGAAGAAACTATCCCTACATGCTGTCGTTTCTCCAAAAGATAATAATGTTCTAAGCGTTTCCATCCCAATGACCAGATCTGATATCCTACATCCATGTGATATCATGGAAGATGCCGCCATTGGTTACGGCTATAACAACCTACCAAAGGGTAAACAATTGTCCAATGCTAACTTTGTTGCTTCCGCTCTACCAATTAACAAAATTTCCGACATTTTCAGACTAGCCTCCTCCCAAGCTTCCTGGTTAGAAGTCATGGCTTTGACCCTATGTTCACATGATGAAAACTTCAAGTTTTTAAAGACTGAAGATGACAACACAAAGGCCGTTAAATTAGCCAATCCAAAGACTCTAGAATACCAAGTTGTTAGAACGACTTTGCTACCAGGTTTATTAAAGACTGTTAAGGAAAACAGAAAACACACACTTCCAATTAAGGTCTTTGAAAGTGGTGATGTTGTCTTCAAGAATGAAGCTCTTGAAAGAAAGGCTTACAACGAACGTCACTGGGGTGCTATCTACGTTGGTAAGAACTCTGGTTTTGAAATCATTCAAGGCCTTTTGGGTAAGATAATGCAAACTTTTAGAACACAATGGATTGCTGATTACGGTGCCGCAACCACTGGTAGAGGTTACTGGATAGAACAAGACGATTCTGTTAAAACTTATTTCCCAGGTAGAGGTGCTAAGGTTATGTTCAGAAGTAAAGAAGGTGAAAAGGCTCAACAAATTGGTCATCTCGGTGTTCTACATCCAGAGGTCATGAACAACTTTGATGTCCCATTCGCTGCTTCTTATGTTGAATTAAACTCTGAAGTATTCCTATGAATGATGCAGAAAATTATAATAAGGAAACCCAATGTAACATCTACAGTTTACCATCACAAAATATCAAAATAGTGAAAAGACATATATATTTATTAACGTGATCACTATTTCTATAATACTTTATATACAAGTATATAAATCATGAAAAAAAAAAAGGTATAATAATATAACTAATATCGAACCAACAATACAAAAGAATTTGGCTCAATATAAAAAAAAAAATTCTATAATATTATTACATTTTTTTTGTCTATCTTCGTTTTTATATATCTCTATTAAAAAAATGCATCTACACATCGTCGGGAAATTCAAAAGTCATACCTTTTTTATTTATATCTTCATCTTCATCATCTTCCGGTAGAACAGTCCTACCGGCACTTAAAAGTTGGAAATTATTCGTGGACCTGTTTATTGGTGTATGCGGCAGTGATTGTGATTTATCTATCCCTAGATCTTCCGATTCTTTACCGGCTTCTTGTGCATCACTTTCTTCTTCCTTCTTCCTCATTGCCGCTTTTAATAATTGAAATTCGTACATCAATGCCCCATGGTCAACAATAGCTGCATCTTTCTTTTTGGGTATAGAATTCGGAGGAGTTGTTGCATTTTCTACATCTTCTTCATTTATATCCTTATCCTCAACTGCCTCTTCCATCATTTCACGCCATTTTGATTTCTTTGGTTTAATCCAACTTGGCATCCAACTGCTATGTTTCTTTTTTGATGATAATTTCTTTTGTGCCGCATCAACATCCCTAACCAATTTTCTATGTCTTCTTGCTTCTTCCGGATCCATAGCTTCTTCGATTTCTACAAACTCATCACTCAAGACTGCTATCCCTAACTTCTTCAACAATTTTGGCATGTTTTGACGGTATGCCATGTGACCATCAACAAGCTCAGTACAGTCAAAATTCTCGATACCCTCCACATCTTCTATCGGAGAAATACCCATAATGGCCATGAAACCACCAGCAGTAGCACGAAACAAATATGCCAAAACCCAATCTTTACTCGAGTATCCACTGACGAATCTTCCACTAACCACAGATCTTGCCATTACTAACTCCTCCTTTTTTCTAACAACAGGGGTCCCAAATAAAAATACATCTTCAACTAACCCTAAAGCTTTCTTTTTACAGAGTTCAACCAAGCAAGAATGTATAACTGCAGCACCCAAAGAGAATCCGACTAACGTAACAGGTCTTTCACCAAGATTTCTTGATCTTAATGTATCCGCTAAAATTAGACCTGCATTCCATGCTCTATCAAGTGAGACATTCCATGGGTTATCAATAATATACCCTAGTTTGGATAATGCCATGGGCCACTGAATAGCTGTCATCAAACCTGCTAGAATTGTGGCACCTAGAACTTGTTGGAGAGTTTGCGTAAAAACTTCACTCGCAACAATACCAATAGTTTGACCCATCGAAGCTAACATTTCAGGCTCCCAATACAAAGAATATAAATCACCTTCCACAGGATCAACAGTAGAGAAGGGTAATCTCACATCATCCTGTTTACCCATAATCCAACCAGATACACTCAAAATTAAATTTACCCGACGATTGTTATGCAGGGGTTTGAATTCAAATGTCCGGACACTACCCATTCTCTTATTCATACCTCTTGCACCTATATTAGCCCCAATAGCTGTGCTGGAGACTGCAACTACAGCAGTACCACCTACACCTGTCAGAAACCCTGAAGCACCTGTAATACCTACAGTGGTTAGACCTGCAGCCAAACCGGCACCAATAACAGGAGCCAACAGGCCTCCACTAAGACCCAATACCAATGAACCCCCAACCATTGCAAGACCGACGTAGGCCATCTTCTTTCTTCTCTTTTTCGTTCTACGATCCTTCATAAATTTTTCTTCGTTCCATACTTGGTCTTCTGTGGCTTGTTCCATATCCAAAGAATCTGTTACCCTCTTTTCAAATTCACATATCTCTAAATTAGATATGTCCAAAGCTTCAGCAAAACGTATCAATAAAGTTCTTGATCTAGCATCATACGATGAGTTCTGCAATAATACTAAAAACAAATCACAAATCACAGTCCATGCAACATCAACTTTTAACTTATTCTTATCTTTAATGGCATCGGGATTTATGACTTGTGTGGGTTCAGATGCGACAACAATACTATCTTTCTTCGTGTCGTTTGTAATATCATCAGCAGTTTGTTCTGTTGCTAACGAAGTTATATCAACATCTGCTGAATCTTTGACATTTTTAGCATCATCAATAATATCATTATCTTGTTCTTCAGTTGAATCCTTACAGTCTCTTTTTTGTTCTTCTTTATTTTCCCATGGATTATCCATATCCTGTGTCGTCTTCAAACATTTCAATAAATCGCTTACTTGAATCTTATGAAGTGATAATTTTTCAATCATTTCAACTTCTTCATCCAAGACATCTAAATGGTTGTATAATCTTGTCAAAGTTGCAGTTTTCCATGCAGCCATATCCTTCTGAGTAAATTGTAATCTTTGAGCCAACTTTTTATGAGATTTAATCTCTATACAAAGACACATTGTTGCCAATTCTGTACACATTTGATTAGCAATAACATTTACTGCACCAAGGTATGCAAATTTCTCAACATCATCCAAAAGTAACCTTGTTATGCTCAACTGCGCTTCCCTATTGAGGTCATCAGCTGGCTCGATGTCATCTTCATATTCATCATAATAATCATCATCATTATCATCAGCCTTGCTATTATTATTACTACTGTATATTCCTAATGAATTAGATTTTGATCTTATTAAAGAATCTGTTGATGCATTAATTGAATTTGAAGAAAGATTACTACTCCCATTTTTCATCTTTAGCAATTTTTTATGTTCAAACAAAAAATCTGTTTTCTTATTTGTTTTATAAGACCGTTGGGCTTGTGCCTCGACAGCTATTTTAGTGTATTGAAAAGTATTTGCATTAGATTGTGTACCTATATTCGGGTCGGGCTGTTGTTTATCATTAGGTAGTCCCGTTGAAGATATGTTTTGTTGACGAGGTTTTCGATCTTCTTCTTCATTATATGGTTTCAATTGTAATTCACCTTTATCATTATAAATATCGTAAGATGCCACAGCAGGAACAGTATCCCAATCGCTATCGCTATCACTATCGCTATTATTGTTGTGATTATTATCATTATCAGCTTTATCTTCCATAAAGTTAGTGCTGGTGTTAGCTATTTGTCCTTTAGTAGGGTCATATCCAAGATCATGATCTGAATCAGTTTCGGCTCCGGAATTATATCGTATCTCTAACACATCATCCTCGGATGAACCAAATACATTATTGTTTTCTTGATCATGTAATATAATATCTGGTTCTCTACCTAATATTTTGGGTATCGAATCAGTGAGTACATTCGCCGTATTATTATTAATAATATTATCAGTGTCATTAGTATCACTGGTCATGTTGTCTGTTGATGATTTTATTTCATTAGTATCATTAAATGGATTTACATCAACAACCGGTTGAGAATAACTGCCGCCGAGATCAAATTCATCATCATTCAAAACGTGAGATGCCTGCAAATATTCATTGTCTGTGTCAGTTTGCATATTAATTATTGTCTCTGGGTTACTACGTTTAGTAATCTTTAGTCCTTTCAATTGCAAACCTAAATCTTCGTCGTCGTCATCAACATAATTATTATAACTATCCCTTATACGACCACCTAAATCTTTCGAAGACATTATTGTGGTGACTTTTCGTTCAAACTTTTTATTCCTGTCAGTTATTTCAAAAACGCTAACTTATATGTTAATATTAATATCGAACAATCTCAAAAACGTAATCGATCTTAAAACAAAGTTCCTTATCCTTAAACGAACCTTAATGTTTCTTATCCCAGTGATGACAGCCGTGATTTCTATGTCTCGAAAGCTTTTTCTCCAAACAATATTAAACCCAAACAGATACCTTAGTATTTAATAAACGTCTAACGGCTTAAAGATCAAAGTAATAATATCGATTAACGACCAAATATCAATTTATCCTTTGTTCTAATCATCATCTTTCCTGTTAAACAAAATGAAAATAGACGTCTCCAGATTTAGAATTCTCGCTTCACCATAGAAATTTGTTGGTGGTGAGGCGCTGCTCAGTAATTAAGAAGAATAACACTATGAGAATGCCGGTGAGTGAGTGCAACCCAATGGCTTTTCGTGGGATCTGGGCAATTATACACAAACAGTATTAAATCAACATATTCACGTAAAATATATAGAACTTAGTGGTATCACTACACAACAAACGTAGAGAAACAAATCTTCAATACATCAAACTATTTGAACACAATGGTAGAATTAAGAAGAGAAAGCTTCCTACATCCCTAGCATTCCTGGGGAAGACGAAAAATAATACCAATGAGATAGCACAACAATCAGACGACGATATATGTGATGACATAGATAATGAGGATATACTATTGACAAGATCACCTTTACCTAACATCGATAGAACTTTAGGCAATTAATCAAACCCACAGAAAATGAAAACAACGAGATGACAGCAAATCTTGATTTATTATTTAAGAATGAATACAACTTTGAATTACTCGAATACAAAATATGTGGGACCTACATTAAAATAAAGGATCAATCATCTGGGAATGCACAAAAGTCTATTCAACGGAAATATGACATTGATGAGAAAAATGAATTCAATAGGACAAACAAGGAAATGAAACAACTTTCGATGAACTATTTGCACCCTTGTTTTCCTTATTGTCAGAATATAATACTTTTAATAAAATAATGGCAATAACTTGACTCTAATAGAAAATTTAAATTTTGGCCTAGAAAGTTGCTCAAATATCTTGAATAATGACACATAAATATTTTATATCAGATGCCAAGCACATACCCAGGATCCTATTTTGAAGAGTGTTAGCTAAATAAACAATTTGAAGATCTCTCAGGATAGGTTGATAAACTGAAATAATTTCTGAAATCCTCTCCAAGAATTAGAGCTAGCTACGTTGAAATACGTAAGGTTGAAATCCCTTCAAAAAACGAACCAAGTTGCTTTTTGTACTTCAGATTAGTCACGTAATTATATAAGTATATAATATTTTCTTCAGTTTTTACTGCAAGTATATCAGTAAAATATGACATTTTACAAAAAATTTATCTTTTTTAAAAAACCAGAACAAAATAATCCTTAAAATGTGGTACATTCTTACAGATAATTTTAATTCAATCTTCCACCATTGAAAGAGATCCAACAAAAACGTTTGCAAGAGAAGACTATATCCTCCATCAAGATGCTTAGCACTTGTTACTGTGAACATAGCATCACCATTCACAAACTAGTTCTAGCACACATCAAAACTGAAATATATACATATTGTTTAAAGTACTTTAGTAGTATAATCTATAACAAACAGCGCCAAAGAATATCTTCTGCGCTTAAAAAATTGAAAAATTCGCGAACTTTTCAATTTTTTTCATTTCAAGAAAATATCAACAACTAACTGCAAAAGGGTTTCTAAATTTCCACTCCATCATCAGGAATTTTGATCTGATCTGATCGTGATCTACATATCAACAGTCTTACATATAAGTATATTTGTACTCATATTATCCCTTTTTGCATTTCCATAAGAGATATTGGACCTGTCCAAAAATATAAGAGAACTAGCACAACGATAACAATCATATTCATACACCATGTCATTTTTTAATTTTAAGTATGTTATTTTTCTTTTTGAGATTTTTAAATGATCCCATATCTAAAATCAATTATCTTTCAATTTATTTTACTAACAATATTTTATTGCATGTATTTTTTATGCAATCTATATTTTTATTTGCAGAGGTTTTGGAAGAAATTCGAAAAAGAATAAGAATCAACAAGGACAATCACCACCAACTGCTATAAGTCAACCTGCACCACCAAACTTATCATCTATATATTCTAGTCCACACAATTCCAACTCGAAATTATCATTACGGAAAAATCATTCACCAAAGAGAAATTCACAAGGTAGTTATCCAGCTTCTCATGCATCACATCATCGTCCGCCACAACAACAACAACAACTTCAGCAACAACAACAACAACAACATTCTCATAATACACAAAGTTCCTCACCGGAACGTACACAGTCACAATCTCAACAAATTATGTTCCTTAGTGAACCATTTGTAAGGACTGCCTTGGTAAAGGGTTCATTTAAGACAATTGTTCAACTTCCGAAATATGTAGACATTGGAGAATGGATAGCTTTAAACGTATTCGAATTCTTCACTAATTTGAACCAATTCTATGGTGTAATTGCAGAATATGTTACACCTGATGCTTACCCAACGATGAATGCAGGCCCTCACACAGATTATTTATGGTTAGATGCTAACAATAGACAAGTTTCATTACCTGCTAGTCAGTATATCGATTTGGCTTTAACTTGGATAAACAATAAAGTTACGGATAAACATTTATTCCCAACAAAGGATAACATTCCATTCCCACAAGAATTTTTAAGAGATGTACAAAGAATTATGGTCCAAATGTTTAGAGTATTTGCACATATTTATCACCATCATTTTGATAAAATTGTCCATCTTTCATTAGAGGCACATTGGAATTCTTTTTTTGCTCATTTTATTAGTTTTTCAAAGGAGTTTACCATTATTGATAGAAAGGAAATGACACCACTAATTTTATTAATTGAGAATTTTGAAAAGCAAGGAAAGATTATTATAACCTAGATGGATAATATATATATATATATATATACTAATGAAAATGCGATTGATAAAATGGAATAAGTTCATATATGTTATTATTTACATGTAATGTTTTTATCGATATATATTAACGTTTTTTGTAACAAATATAGTTTAAATGAGAACGTTTAAATATACTATGATGGTATACCAAACTTGTTTTTGATACGGATGCGATGCTTGAACTATAATTAAGATCGTGAACAATAAAAAAAATATGTCGTGCTACAGTGTATCTGTGAAAACACTTTAATGCAAAAATGAGAACAGGAAAAATAAAATACATCTATGAGTGTGGGGGATATCAGAATATCAAAACAATTCTTCATGAAAAGAAGTATGTACTATCCTTAACATTGGCAACATCAAAATCACCCTTTGCTGGAATTTCAGGTAACTCCAAAGTTGTTAAGATAACCAACATGTTTTTATCACCCTTCCTCTCTTTAGCTGAAAATAGATCTTCACTACCTTTCGCCAAAGAAATTGTAGTAACCATCTTTTCACCTATCTTTACATCATCCTCCGACTCTGAGTTCAAAAGTGCTAGACGTTCTTGTTCAAATTTTAGTTCATCTGCATATGTGACTGCTCTTCCTAATTTAGCAGCCATTTTATCTTTTTGTGCCATGATTTCAGCCGCCATATCACTGGATTTTGGAATTTTAGATATTTGCACATAATTTCTATATCTTTCATCAAACTCATCCTTTAACCTTTCAATTAAATCAACTTCATGTAATGCAACAAATTGTTCTCTTAAATTCTTATTCATTGTAATAATATCAGAAGCATGGGTCCAATATGAATCATGTACTGATGCAAATTCTAGCCCATCCTCTCTACATTTGGTGGCAGACATTAACATATGAGAAGCATCCAAAGAATGAATAAAGTTAGGTGGGAAACCAGCCTTCTGTCTACGTGCATTGATTTTATTAACAGCAAATGGATCACTGATAAAAACAGTTTGGAGGTTCGTGTTCACTTGTTTCTTGCTGACTTCACGATATGGTTGCACAATCGGTAAATTTAATGGGGTTGTCCAGATAATAGAAGTCATGAACTCTGGTTTCTGGCCTTTCCCAATGGATTTCTTATCTAAATCTAATCTTATTGATTTAGAAATTCTATTACAACATTCTCCTAACCAATCTTGAATTAAATGAGCACCTTGGAATGATTGACGAATAGCTTCAAATACAGCTGTAGCTAAATACTTGGAATATTTTAAGGATAATGTTCTATCACCTATCATATCGTGGATCTGTTTGTCAATCTGTAAAGTTGCACCAATTAGAGTAACACCATAAACATGTGTCATAACTGTTTGTTTGACGATTTTTCGATTTAATTTCTCAATGAAGAACTTTGCGAACTCATCATCAGGGTTAGTTTCAACTTTTTTTTGTAAATTTGCTTTAACAATATTAGCGACATGCATATAAACATCATTAGGTTTGGTATCTGGAATTAAATTGACCTGAGAGGCACCAACCATATCACCACCAAGAGCAGCGTAATGTTGTAGACCGTTACAAGTACCATCTTGATGAACAGGTTGATGAGAGATAAATTCCTCTGGATTGTCAAGCTTCATAGCCTCAACTAATTCAATACAGGTAGCCAATGTTTGCCATGGTTTGTCAGCAGACTGCCACCATTTAAATTTACCATCCAAAGGATTTTCAACAGCATCTCTAATTTCATCCATATGATCTTCAACAAACTGGACACGACCTTCAATCGGAATTTTATTAATACCGTATAGATTTGCAAGGTGAACCTTTAACCAACGTAAACCTTCAGTTCCCAATCTCTTACCTTTCCAGAAAATCAACAAACTTCTACTCATGTCATTACCCAAGTGATTAAAATGTGGTGACAAAGGATATGCACGCCCACGGAAGTCCATATTATGTGGGAAATAAAATTTTTCACCTAAAAATGCTCTAGCAATCTCTAGTTTATAATTCATGTCACATCTCATTGATCTACTTGCCGCAAAAGCATTTGCTATGTCTCTGTTATTTTGTTTCCATGTATTAACTACAGACGGATCAGCATCAGATGCAGGTTGAGGTAGGTATTCTGGGGTTGTTTGAATACCTGGAATTTCTAAAAATGGCTTCCCATTATTCCAGATTTTTGAGACAACATCAAATATTCTTTTGTTAACAGTCCATGATGTCTCACCTAGAACGTTCAAACCATCATAAATTTTATCTATAGTATTAGCTTTTGAAGCTGCTTCAATATATGCCATTTGTTCCGGAGAATCCTTGGTTCTGACCAGGTTAGATTGAGAATAATAATAACCACCAGACTTCCAATTAACCCAAGGACGAGGTTTGACAAGCATTGGTAATAATTGAGGTTGTACCGATGCCATCAATCGTTCACCATTTAATTGATGAATTAATGCAGGATGGATTCTAATAACACCTAATTTTACACCATTATGATATTGGTAACTATGTGAGAATGCAGGTGCGTCTCCAAAGACTTTTTCGCCACTGATAGGGTCTCTGCCTTCAACTGGTACTCTTGCCACTTGAATTAGCATTGAAATTAACACTGAACCAACTTTTGCACGAATTTGTTGCGGCCATATAATCTTGGATTCATCTAATTTCAATGATCTTAATGACTTTTTGGCGTTACGAACATATTGCTTAAATTCATTAGATTTCTTGTTTATATCTTTCAATAGGTATGACTCATTCTTTAGGAGTTGTTCAGATCTAAATTCCATTTCGATAGATTTCCCTGCAGATATAACAGCTCTTGCTGTTCTCATACCTTCTGAGATACCACCAGTGGAATTAAGTTTTAATAATTCAAGAATGACAATGACACACATCTTTTCGGGATCAACCAAAGTTAAATATGGAGCATAATCTGACCTATTTGGTGCAGCTTTTGTAACGGTATCCTGATTTAAATATCTCTTACAATTATCGATTTCTTCTTTCAATATTGGTAACATCTCTGTATACCATTTCCAAAGTTTTGAATTCAATGATTTCTGAATGGATATGTCACCTCTTGCTTTGGCCTCTTCAAAATCATGCTTCCAACGTTCTTTGGCTGCATCGGTAGCTCTAACTTCTAATGTTTGTTGTCTATTTTGATTCAAATCTTCTAAAGTAGCTTCAAATAATTTTCTTTCTTCATCTGTCTTCAAGTTCCTATACATGTCAAAGAAATCAATGGCTTTCTTTTTATTTGCATCGAAAACATTATCAGACTCTTCAAAATTAAAATGCGCAATTTTTTCTTTTTGTTCTTCATTCAATGATAAACCGTATAATGTATGTCTAATGACTTTCATACCAAGAGTATCAACATTCACCAATTTAGTGGCATCCTTTTCCACAGTTTTAACACCTTCATCTAATTTCATCGATGGTTCTGAACCGGTAGCAGTCGCAGTCGCAGTCGCAGTCGCACTAGTAGTACTAGTAGTAGTAGTAGCAATAGTATTATTTACAAGATTAGTTGTGTTTGCCACTGTATTGTTCAGATGTGTTTCTTCGATTGTCTCATCAGTTTTCTCCATAGTAACATTTTCCACCGATTTACTCATCTTCGTCACTAGATCTCTAATATTAGCTGGGATATGATAATCTCTAATCATATCTAAATCTAAATGCAAAATTTTATAATCATCCAGTGTTAAGATATCCATATTTGAACAAATCTTTTTAAATCCACTAGAACTCATTGAAAAGAATAATTCCAAGTTTTGTTTTGTTGAATTATTCATATTGTTACTATTTGTTTTACTTTCCCTAGCTAACTGCAGCGTGTGATGAAGCAAAATCGCTACAGTTTTATCATTTGGTTGAACATCTGGGAAATTTATTGTCAAATCCTTTTGCAATTTATCACTCATTGCTTTGACAGTTTTAAAATCCTTGGATATATGATTAAAATAATAATTATAATCGTCGATAAATGTCTTTCTATGAGATTCAATTTCATACAAGGATTTCAATATAGAGAAAGATCTTTCGGTATAATTTGATTGTAAACAAGCCTCCAACAGAGACCACAGACTCATGACGTCTCTCTTATCGGCCATAGTCAACGACACACTATTCTGTGTTCCTGTGAATAGTTTAAACTCTGCACTAATATTATCCTGTGGTCTACTATTAGACTTTAAGAAGGTGGGTCTTAGGAAAGATTGTTGATATACTGCGTCTGGCGGCTGGATCGTTGAAGTCCTAGTGTCTGATATGATGGACATATTGTCTCTAAGGACAGAGTTTTTCGTTGTGATGTTTCTGATTTGAATACATTGTGAATGGATAAGTCTGTTTGTTATTGTAGCCGACTGACAACGAGGTTTGATAGCTAATCTTAACATGGCAATTCAGTTCTAGTGATGTATATATGTATAGATCTATATATATGGGTATTAGGGAAAAATAATATGATAATGGAGCGGATGCAAACAGGTTGGATGTGTATGTATATATTGATGGAAACTGGTATTAAGGATATTTTCAGAACCTAAAAAGAGAGCAACAATAACAATAATGAAAAAAGGGTATTCCTAGCTAATTAATTAGTATACAAAACACACACAAAGAAGTAGTATTATCAATAGCTTATTTCCTTAAAAGTGTATACACATGGATCGGCGTATGTAGACACCCAGAAACCAAATATAAATCTGCGAAATAAGCGTCTGAATCAAAGTTTGGACAACTTATTAAAATAGCTATGTAAAAAAAGTGTCGAAAGAATCGGTAGAAAATCGTCGTTTGTTGGTGTGTTGTGTGTCTCTAAATTATGCATCATTGCCATTCATTCATTCATTAATATTTTCCCACTTCCACACCGAAAATAAAATGCTTTTCATTTACGTAGGTAACTCTGTTCTGTCTGCGGTGCTTTGATGGCTATAACGCATTATAAAGTGGTAGTAGTAAATTGCATATGCTTCACTGCGGTGCACTGCGGTGTGGTGCGGGTCCTCCGCTGAAAAAACTTCCGACGAAATGTTTATTGTGTGGAGGAGGAGGGCTCGTATCGTGTGATAACAGTCATGTGACTAGGGTGTCGACCGCCTTTTTGATGACGCCCTATATTTAGATAGTGCGCGCTTTCAAATGTCTTTTCACGAAAATGAGGAAATGCTCCTCCTGGACCTATTGGTCTTTCGTGACGTTAACCGAACCCTGGGGGGCACCACGGTAAAAGGATAATACTCCTTACTGTCAAACATCGAAATATAAATAAATAAGATATTTCAGAGAAATTTTGATAATGGAGAAAAACGTTACCTTGATAGTCTCAAATGTGACGTTGTTGATCCATGTCTATTTAGACCTTTGAAGTTATCGGATAACGTTTCATGTCATATTACCATCTTGATCTGCTCCCCTCTCCCCACAACCCGTGTTGAGAATGTAGTTGGTAAGACATTTCCTGGTTTAATATTTATTTACGAGGTTAGAAGTAAGAAAATAATAACAATAAATGAATCAAAGTAAGATCTTGTGCAAACGTTTTATAGCTTAGCTTCATATCGTTCGCAGTACATAATTAACATATTTTTCTTAACTGAAGAAGAGCATCAACCACTAAAACCATACATATTTTAACAAAAAAAAACTCTATACTATTCAGGCGGAGTTCACAACATTGTTTGTAGAAATTGCAATATTATTATAACAATTTGTCTGTTTAATTTCCCCACTTTCACTTGGCTATTTCTGCCCCCGCGTACTGTCGTTGAGGTTACCGGACAAGGAAATACGCTAATAAATATATATATATAGAAGGATAATTGGAGTAAAAATTGTAAATAATGTCATCAAAAACCAAAATAGAATTGGTATAGTGATGGATAATGTTCCAGTGTATTAAAAATGATTTATTCCTTAACGGTTAATATCCGTAATCCTTCATATATAACAATCAAATATGTTCCTTGGTATTTCACTTATAATTCCGATAAGAAAATGTAGTTCAATCTGTATAAAAGGTAATGTTACTAGCCGTTTCTGACAATAACTGTATTTATTGCATCTGTAGATCTGAAGATCCGAAGAGGCAGGTATTGTAATAATTACGTCAATTGTATAAACTTCTAGCACCCCAACATATGTACAATGACAAAATACAAACAATACCTATATATTACTATTTGTTATTCATATCATAAATAAATGATATGCATCCGCATACACCTCTAGTTCCCGAAGTAATGATTATTATTATTATTATTATTATTATTATTATTATTATTATTATTATTAGATACATATACAGTGATAATCAATATTGATGTTATATTCTAGGATAAATAATATAGATGGGCAGGAGAGGGTATTTAGAGAGATATGTAACATTGCACACTCTCCATTATCGCAAATAATTCAAATATATATGTATATTCTTTCATTTTGGCACTTTTTTTTTCATAGTTATTTTACATTATCACTTTCTTTTCATATTATTGAGAGAGAGAAAACATCAATAAACGATAAAGCAGAAAAGAGTGAGATATGAATATAATATGTTGTTGTTGTTGTTTTTCTTTCTCTGATCATTCAAAGTTTTCAGGGATTGGTTGTTCTTCTTGTTCGTATTCAACATCACCATCTTCTTCAACGGTAGCATCTTGATATTGTTGATATTCGTTCACCAAATCATTCATATTAGATTCAGCCTCAGTGAATTCCATTTCATCCATACCTTCACTAGTATACCAATGTAAGAACGCTTTTCTCTTGAACATAGCAGTGAATTGATTACCGACTCTCTTGAACAATTCTTGGATCGAGGTGGAGTTACCAATAAAAGTAGCAGCCATGTCTAACCCTTGAGGAGCTACAGAACATACGGCAGTCTGCACATTATTTGGAATCCATTCTACGAAATAATCTGAGTTTCTAGTTTGAACTTTATGCATTTCATCTTCTACTTCTTTAACTGAGACGTTACCTCTAAAGAAAGCAGCCACAGTCAAATATCTACCTTGTCTTGGATCAGAAGCAGCCATCATATTCTTAGAATCAAACATTTGTTGAGTCAATTCAGGGACAGTTAACGATCTAAATGATTGAGATCCGATAGCAGTTAAAGGAGCGTAGCCAACCATGAAGAAATGTAATCTTGGGAAAGGAACCAAATTGACAGCTAATTTTCTTAAATCTGAGTTCAATTGACCTGGGAAACGTAACGAAGTGGTGACACCAGACATAACACTTGATACCAAATTATTCAAATCACCATAAGAAGGTTGATTCAATTTCAAAGTTCTTTGACAAATATTATATAGGGCTTCGTTATCGATACAGAAAGTTTCATCTGAATGATCAATCAACTGATGTACGGAAAGAGTTGCATTATAAGGTTCCACGACAGTATCAGAAGTCTTTGGAGAAGGTAAGACAGAGAAAGTAGCCATCATTCTATCTGGGAATTCTTCTCTAATTCTTGAAATCAATAAAGTACCCATACCTGAACCTGTACCCCCACCTAAGGAATGAGTGATTTGGAAACCTTGTAAAGAGTCACAACCTTCAGCTTCTCTTCTAATGACATCCATGACAGTATCGACCAATTCTGCACCTTCAGTGTAATGACCTTTAGCCCAAACATTCCCTGCAGAAGATTGACCATAAATATAGTTATCAGGTCTAAATAAATTACCGATATTAGAATTACGTACCGCGTCAATGGTACCTGGTTCCAAATCGACATTAATAGATCTTGGTACCCATTTTCCTGAAGATGCTTCATTGAAGTAAACGCCTAATCTATCTCTTTGAAGATGAGAAGTACCATGATAGTTACCGTTATTATCTAAACCGTGTTCACCACAGATAGTTTCCCAAAAGGCAGCACCAATTTGATTACCACATTGACCTGCGGATATATGAATAATTTCTCTCATTTAGTTTTCTAGTTAAGTTGGTATGAATAATATATGTATATATATATTGGCAAATATGAATACTAATCTTTTTATATTCTAATTTTGACAGAGGGATCAATTGTTATGCTTCTTTTAATGAAGCAAATAATACTAGAATTAAGGATTGTATATACGGACTGTTTATTACTATTAAGTATATTCAATAAAGTTAATTCGTGAGGCGTTTTAGATAATGTAAATAGTAATAATAACAATAAATTAGTTTATCCTTTCTCACGTTGTTATGAAATCAATATTTTCTTAACTTTTTTTGTTTTGTTTTGTTTTGTTACACGCTCAAAACGTAGTGTAATTGTAGTAGTAGTCAAACGGGAAGCGAATTTTGCTAAAGAAAAAATACACACCCACACACAAGGAAACAAGCAAATACACACAAATACATAATAATACATAATAATACATCGAGAAGAGAGATCATATTACTATTATTACGATGGCGAGTCACGATGTGATATTGCAGATATATTTATGAGATTGTAGATATGTATATTATTAGTACTAGTATATATGTTATCTGTTATGGTCTTACCCAAATAGGCAATAATGCCCCAAAATACTTGTCTATCTCTTATTATTATTATTATTAATGCGAGACAAAACGCGTTAAGTGTTGTCATATTGAACGGTGTATATCACTTGCCACGACCGCAATAACTGCAGTCTTTCAAAAAGGGAACAAAAAAAATATTTAGAGGAAGATAACAGCAAAAAGTGTGAGGCAGAGAGAGGGAGCTCAATATTATAGACGCATAGCAGGAATATTATTATTGTGTGAGATAGATGGATGGATGGATAGACACTGAAATACAGAAAAGAAAGTCATCTATTTATCTTATATATATACTGGAGGGGTAGATACATTATTTTGAATACTTCGTAGTTTATTTAAATATATATATATATATAAGATACGCACAAGGAGATTAAAGTATAGAAAAGATATAAAGATGAACAGTGAATACGATTATTTATTTAAATTATTATTGATCGGTAATTCCGGTGTTGGTAAATCATGTTTATTATTAAGATTTTCTGATGATACTTATTCCAATGATTATATTTCCACTATTGGTGTTGATTTTAAGATTAAAACAGTGGAATTAGAAGGTAAGACCGTTAAATTACAAATTTGGGATACAGCTGGACAAGAAAGATTTAGAACGATTACATCATCATATTATCGTGGATCTCATGGTATTATTATAGTTTATGATATTACAGACCAAGAATCTTTTAATGGTGTTAAGATGTGGTTACAAGAAATTGATCGTTATGCCACTTCAACTGTATTAAAATTACTAGTTGGTAATAAATGTGATTTGACTGATAAAAGAGTAGTAGAATTCGATGTTGCTAAAGAATTTGCTGAAGCTAATAATATGCCATTTTTAGAGACAAGTGCATTAGATTCCACTAATGTTGAAGAAGCTTTCTTAACAATGGCTAAACAAATTAAAGAAAGTATGGCTAAACAAAAATTAACAGATGATAATAATGGGAAAGGAAATGGTAATAATGCAAATAAAAATGATAAAGGAAACGTTAATTTGAATGGTCAAAGTTTAACTAATTCTTCAAGTGGTTGTTGTTAATAAAAGAAGAACTTAAACCTTGCTGTTTAACCGTTTCGTGTTTTTTTATTAAACAAAATCTCATTTTCTCTCTTTCTATATATATATATATATCTAATATATTATACTTTCCCCTTAAAACTAAATTAAAAAATAAAAGAAAAAAGAATAAATAACAATAATTTAAAACGATGCAGTGTATATCCCTTAAATATATCTATATAAGATGATGGATGTTGTTGTATAAGATTATAAGGTTATATGGAATGTATTAGTTGTTGTACTACATCAAGTTATAAAGAGTATCACTCGGTACGAGATGAGTACTGTATCTCTATAAACTAGTTTACTCAATGCCCCTATATAACTGCTAAGAATATTGTACTGTACTGTTTCTTATTTCTTATTTCTAAATGTTATATACATATCATATGTTATTCATATGTGTGTCATCTTTATACTTGTGTGTTGTCTCATCTATAGCAACTGAGCCTAACCAACTATATCTATCTACATCTATCTATCTATATGTTATATATGGCGAATGAATGCAAAATCGCATAAAATGATCCGAGAATTTGGGTCAGTGAAAGCCGCAGTAAGAGTAGTGGGCGGAGTGGACGAAAAACACATATTAATATACATATAGATAGATATATTGACTATGTGTGTAGGTATGAAATGTTTGTTAGTACAATTTTGTTTTTCATTTGCTGTCTCTTTTAGTTTTCGTTTTTTTCAAAATAGGAGAACATAATATTCTAAGAATATATAAATTTGGTTGTTTATTTCTTTCACACGTTTCACATTACATTTTTCTATTTATTTATAAACTTAGATTATTTAATAATTGATATTATTATTACAATCTTGTTTTATTTATTTTATTTTATTCTTTTTCTTATATATTGCTTATTCATATCAGTGTACTTAGCAATCTTTTACGAAGTTTGTAAGACTAATTGAAAGATAAACAAACAAACATAATATATTTTAATAATGGATTCTGGTATGTTTTAACTTAACTTATCTAAATTTTATATTGCATTGGTCTGGAAAATTTATATTCTGTATTACACTATTAAGAACAACACATATTTTACAAGGATTTTATGATTTTACATTTCTACTTTTATTAGATATCATCATGATATGATTGAATGTTACTTTTATTATTATTATCATCTGAAGTCGTGGTTGAAATCGTGTTTGAAATCTGAATCGATATTATGAGCTTTTATCTGTTTACCTAGTGATTGTTACTATACTGTCCCCCTATTCTAGTATTTGATTTGATTTGATTTGATTTGATTCAATTCGATAAACAATATTTTTAGTCGTATATTATGATATTTCACACATATTAATAGGGATGATTTAAAAACATAAACATGATTTCTTTTCCTCTTTTTTTTGCAATATTTAATGCTATTACTGGGCTTTCTTTATTTATTGTCAATTTTACTAACAATTCCATTTTAATTATTTGTCAAAATTATTAAATATATTATATTCTACTTAGAAGTTGCTGCTTTAGTTATTGATAACGGTTCTGGTATGTGTAAAGCCGGTTTTGCCGGTGATGACGCTCCACGTGCCGTCTTCCCATCTATCGTTGGTAGACCAAGACATCAAGGTATCATGGTCGGTATGGGTCAAAAAGACTCTTATGTCGGTGATGAAGCTCAATCCAAGAGAGGTATCTTGACTCTACGTTACCCAATTGAACACGGTATCGTTACAAACTGGGATGATATGGAAAAGATCTGGCATCATACCTTCTACAACGAATTGAGAGTTGCCCCAGAAGAACACCCAGTTCTATTGACTGAAGCTCCAATGAACCCTAAGTCTAACAGAGAAAAGATGACTCAAATCATGTTTGAAACTTTCAACGTCCCAGCCTTCTACGTCTCTATCCAAGCTGTTCTTTCCTTATACTCCTCTGGTAGAACCACTGGTATCGTCTTAGATTCTGGTGACGGTGTTACTCACGTTGTTCCAATCTATGCCGGTTTCTCCTTGCCTCACGCTATTCTAAGAATTGATTTGGCCGGTAGAGATTTGACCGATTACTTGATGAAGATTCTTTCCGAACGTGGTTACTCTTTCTCTACTACTGCTGAAAGAGAAATTGTTCGTGACATCAAAGAAAAATTATGTTATGTCGCTTTGGATTTCGAACAAGAAATGCAAACCGCCGCTCAATCTTCCTCCATTGAAAAGTCCTACGAATTGCCAGATGGTCAAGTTATTACCATCGGTAATGAAAGATTCAGAGCCCCAGAAGCTTTGTTCCACCCATCTGTCCTAGGTCTAGAATCATCCGGTATCGACCAAACCACTTACAACTCCATCATGAAGTGTGATGTTGATGTCCGTAAGGAACTATACGGTAACATCGTCATGTCCGGTGGTACTACTATGTTCCCAGGTATTGCCGAAAGAATGCAAAAGGAAATCACTGCTTTGGCTCCATCTTCTATGAAGGTCAAGATCATTGCTCCACCAGAGAGAAAGTACTCTGTCTGGATTGGTGGTTCCATCTTGGCTTCTTTGACTACTTTCCAACAAATGTGGATCTCAAAGCAAGAATACGACGAAAGTGGTCCATCCATCGTTCACCACAAGTGTTTCTAAGTAAAGAAATATTTCCCTCCAAAAAAAAAAAAAAAAAAGAGACAACAACAAGAGTATCGACAGCAAAATTATGTCCGACTTCGTTTCGTGTTTTTCGGGGGTTCTATCCTTTCTTATTACTATTATTATTCCTTCGTGGTACTAATTTCTAAAACAAACCGTCCTAATCTTCTAAAGTTAGTACTACTAATACAAAATTTTATTTTACTAATCTCCCTTTATATACAACAGATTAAGAGAATCATTTCTTTTAAGATTCTATAATTTATTAAGTAATACTTTTCTCATGCACACATGAGAAAAGTAGTGTAATCCTTTGATGAATAAATATATATAACTAAGACATGTTTTCTTTATCATATTTGGCTTCTTCTCCTTTGAGGTAAAATCATGTTAGTGATCCTAAATATTTCTGTATGGTCCATATTACCCGGGGGTCACCAGAATTTGGGTTTTTTTCTTCCAGCAAGATACTGGAATAGCTGCGAAAATTCAACGTACCATTAGAGAGTCCATTAAATAAACATAGTATAAAGAAACAACTTTGACAGATACGATTCAAAAGTAATCAACCATCAAGTACGTACAATATACATATTTGATAGATTCAAGTATAACGTTGTTCGTCATCTCTTAAACCATGTTTTCTCTATCACAAAGAGTGCAGTATATTGCGAATTTTTCCATGACCGTTGGTTTGGTCATTGTTGCCCTTATCATCGGTTCCTCTCATCTCGATTTCTTTCAAAAGGGTATCCTAAGAAATAGCCAGGCTGCAATTGCAAACATTAAGCCAATCGTAGGGTTTAGAACAAGTAGGTTCTATGGTGCCGCTAATGGCCATCCTAAGGAGAACACAAGAATTGCATTTGATTTAAACACAGATTTGTCTGGATTGTTCAACTGGAATACCAAGCAAGTATTTGTTTATTTAACTGCTGAATATAATAATACTGAAAAGGGTACTCTAAATGAAGTGACATTTTGGGATGCTATATTACCTGATGCAGACCATGCCATTATCAAATTGGAAAATACTAGATCCAAATACTCTGTATGGGATTATACAGGTGATTTAAGTGGTAAAGATTTACAATTTAAATTGCATTGGAATGTCCAACCACATGTTGGTCCATTGATGTATGGTGTTGCCCAAGGTGACGATATTATCGTTAACGTTCCAAAACCAGAATCAAAAGTATAGATGATATAGAAGTTTATTTAATCTATGTAAACAAAATGAGAAAAAACACTATAAAAATTTCGAATGTCACAAGTTCCGATATACTTTCAGGATTAACATCTTAACGAAATGCTTCGAGTAATAATTATTTTTTTTGACTTTTGTGATTATATATATATATAAGCAGATATTAACAGTGAGAAGAAAATGAATATGGAATGCAAACACAACAAATGTATTGTGTAATATGTATAGATAAGTAGTAAATAGATACTTTTTTTTTTCAATATTGGATGCTGTTATCATCAAGAACTTTCTTTAGAGTTGTGTAAGTAACTTCATCATCTGGAATAACTTCCATTAATCCATATTGTGTAATACTGTACAACCCCCATAAACCGACAATTGTAGAAACAAAAAATGCAGTATACCCTTTTATGGTGAAACCAGGGGCTAACGGCTTGGGTTGTCTTGGTAAACCTTCCATGTTTAACCAATCATCAGAATGACCAGCTGCATTACCTTTGTTAGCCATACCAATACTATTACAAACTTCTTTATAATTGTCCGTCAAAGTTTCACGGTGTTGTAAAGTTTGAGGGTCCTCAATAAATACAGCGGCAAGGCCTTGTTCTAAATGCCAATCTACATGACAATGGAAAAACCATACCCCTGGGTTATCCGCTTTAAATCTTATAACAGTATGGCCATTAGGCTCTAAGATAACAGTGTCTCTAATCATAGGATAGTCAGGATAATCCATCAAAGGGTTAGATTCATTGTATGGAACAGTCATCTTATCCTGCAGACTGGGATCGAAATTCTCACCAACATGGAAACCAGGTGATTTTTGAACGATTTGGAAATTATGACCATGGAAATGGAATGGATGTCTACCTGTATCATAATTATTTAAGACAATCTCTACGATTGCGTCCTTCTCAAGGATAAAGGCATTGATATTATCCCCATAGATGCTAGGATTGGTTACTAATTTTCCTGATGTTAATACGGTTGTTAACACAGGAATTCTAGGTGGGACATATGTAATATTATTGAAGAATGCATATTTGACACCATCTCCCAACGTTTCCATTCTAACATCCAGTACAATTTGATTATCATATTTCTCATATAATGGCGTCTCATGTAAAGTAGTCAAATAGAAATCGTTATTTGCATGTTTATCGAGTGTCTCCTGGGTTAAATTTTTTATTGGTACTACAGCATCGAATGAATCATCATATATAACTTGATTCGTAATTTGTAACTTTAATTCAGCAGGGATGGTATCCAACATTGTATCATCAACCACTTGCATTAGTGCATAATTTTTATCAGGCTTTGATTTCTTGGAATGTACTAATACAGAGATTCTTTGACCTGCTGCCAAGTATATGACATCCGTAATATTAGATTTTACGTAGACACCATCTACTTCAACGATTTCAAACAAATGATCCTCTAAGGTTAGATATTGAGATACAAATAACCCTACATTAATGAATCTGATCAAATATGTCTTATCGACATTGAAATGAATATTCCCCCAAGATCTGTCATTAAATAAAAATTGGTCAGGGATAGGTTCATTCCCCATTGGGTTATATCTACTCATAAATTGTTTTTCCACGTCGTAGTAAGGCTCATAATATAAATCTGTCAATGTAAATACCATTTCTTCATCAAAATGAAAGGGAACTTCAGGATCATGAACAATAAAAGCACCTCTAAACCCGTCACCATATTGTGCACCTTGGTGTGCATGATACCAGTATGATCCGACTTGCTCATCAACTGTGAAATTATAAAGATAAGTTTGCCCTGGTGGGATCGGACATTGTGTAATCATGGAGGGGCCATCCATTTGTAAACGATTACCATATGAAGTATTATGGAATATACCATGAACATGCAACGAAGTCAAAGTTTTGTGAATACCTTCAAATCCATTAGTCAAATATATTTGTACGCGATCCCCTTTATTGATATGAATCTCAGGAAGAGGCCATTCATCGTTAAATGCTATGACTTGCTTTTGTCTATCAGTACCTGGAATTGTAACATTTTTGTAACTAGTTGTGAAATTAAAAGTATGTGTTGTAGCATAACACCATTGTACCAACGGTAATAATAATAATAAAAATTGTATAAACATTGTTAAAGGATGTAACTGTTGTGATAAGTTTTCCCTATTTTTTTCCAATGATCTAATGAATTAATATACTCTAGATTCAAACGGAATGTAAAGATAGAAAAACTATGCAACAAGCAGAACGATAATTGATATTTCTGTATTTAAGTATAGAATAGAATATCGTGTCAAAATATCCACTTCACAAGCTCTTAATATATATTTACTTTTATTTATCCCATCGCAAGAGTTCTACACTGCTTCCAGCTTTTTGTCCCCTTGTTTAATAAAATTTCAATATTTGAAATTTGCACCCTCTTGATTCTCGGATTCACGTGACACAGGCCAAAATAAAACCGGAGTACAAAAGAATCGAGCTAAATCACCTTTACCCTAAGTTTCATAGATTATAATCTGCTAAATGTTACTATTGTAATACTGACCGTTATCAATCATTTATTATAAAATCACAACCAATTATAGTATCCTAGTTTGTAATCAAAGATCAAAGATCACAATATGCCCCCACGTCTAACTTAATCAAAAAAACAATCCAAATAGTGACTAAGCAACATATCCAAGTAGAACCCACTCACATAAAAAAACTCTGTCATATCCAATTAAACGAACCGAGAACTGCAACAATAACAACATATGCAATTACACAACTTATTACATCTAACTTATGTGTTCTTCTTCCTGTTGTCGTTTAAATTGCGATGAGAAAAGGGGAGGCAACCCGAATTGTGGCAATTTCAGTGAAACGAAGAAAGAAAATAATTAATTAATTAAACGGAGCTTCAATGAGATTTCATGCAAATAGCAAAATCTGAATGAAGGAACTGAAAAATACAAGAAAGAATATTGGGAAGAATAAGGCAAGAAGATACGTACAATTACACATTCATTTGAAGTAGTTTGATATTGTTGGATTTTATTCTGAATATTCTAATTAAGTTATTACTAATTTAGAATTCTCTAATTCGTTTAAGGAAAAGGGAATCAAAATTCTATTTCAATCACTTACATCTATCAAGCATAGCAATACAGTCGAATTTAAACTTCTAGAGATAGACACATATATATGAACTACAAGGTCTGATTCACATTATTTTAAGTAGTATTACAGATATATTATCTTATTATTTTTTATTTTTTGGGTGTGTAAATTAAATGGATTTTGCATCGGAATACATGCCAGACATTGATGATTGGGAACCTGTCCCCAATGAGACAGAAGAAAATGAAACTTTGGAAGAGCCCTTCTCTACTGAGAAAAAAAGAAATATACCAAAACAATTGACTGTAGACAGTGATAACGAAGATGTATCATCTAGTTCTGCTAGTATAGTTGAAGAAGATAAGATCAATAATGATACAGACGGTAATATCACAGCACACGTTAATACTAATGCTGATCATAAAGAAGTTATTGATGAGAAAGTACCATTGGTAGTAAATACAAATATAAGTCCAGATGATATTAATGATAATGATGACGATAAACTCATAACGGGTGATATTAAACCTGAGAATGAATTACAATCGCCGTCCTTTTTAAACAACATGCTTTCTTCATTCAGGTCATATTCTCAATCAAATGATAGCAATTCACTGGCTTCACCTACGGGAACAGTTGCCACATCGCCAAGCATAATTTCGCATAGAAGGCAATCTTCCGTAGGTTCTAAGATGAGACATTCCAGTTTACAATCAGCTTCAAATTCCGTCGCATCAAGTCCTAAAGTAGCACCACAATCCAGGAGTAGTCGTGTCAATAGTATAAGTAGTGTCGGTACCACACATACCAGTAAATCTTTTAAGGATTTAAGACCTATGGAAACAATCTCCACGATTGATAGTTATAATGTTGAGGACTCTGACGATAATAGATCATCTCCTTCACCACAACTAGATTACAACCCTAAGAAATTTGTAGAAGAAAAATATCTAGATACACAATATCATTATGCCTCTTTAGATAGAGATAAAGATTTCCATACATTATTTACATCCATTCCGAAACATGATCGGTTAATAGATGATTTTAGTTGTGCATTATCAAGGGATTTCCTATATCAAGGTAGAATATACATTACGCAAACTCATTTGGGTTTTAATTCTAATATTCTAGGATGGACTTCAAAGGTCATCTTGGAGTTTAAAGACATAACTTACATGGAGAAAACATCGTCAGCTGGGGTATTTCAAAATGCAATCTCAATTGAGACAGAAGAAGGTAAAACTCAGTTCATTAATTTTATTTCGAGAGATGGTTGCTTTGGACTGATGAAAGAAGTTTGGTCTCGTAATTTGTTGGCGCATGAGGAAGAAAAACGTAGAAGCGCTAACGGAATTGCCTTACCAGAAACTTCTTCAAATAATAGTAATAATCCACATTCTTTAATAGATACATATTCGGAATTAATTCATTCTCCTGATTTGAAATCAGCAACAGGAACTACCATGATGAAGGGAGATTCATCCGATGGTAATAGTTCGGATCATTCAATTGTAAAAACTACATTTCACTCAGCATCACATGAACCAACCACGCATGAGAAAGTTTTAAACATTTATAAGTTTAAAGAATCTTCTCCATATAATGATTTTGATTTTAAACCACAAGTCCTAAACCCTACACAATTCCCATTTTATCCACCTGATCAGAATAAAAATGAGCATATGTTAATAGAACGTACAATAAAATGTACACCAAATCAAGCATTTCAATTGATGTTTAATGGAACACATCATGTTTTTTTGCAATCATTCCTTACCGCTACAAATTCTTGGGATATCAAATTACCTGAGTCATATGTTACAAATGAACAAACAGGGCACCTTGAGAGAGAGTACAGTTATTCAAAATCTATTTCAGGGATCCCAGGTGGTTCAACTGATTGTCTTGTCACAGAAGAAATCATACATAATGAACCGGATAATTATATTATGGTTATCAATACTACAAAGACACCAAATGTACCATCGGGAGGTGCATTTTCTACTAAGACAAGATATTTGTTCAAATGGGGCGCTGATAACACATGTGACATAATGTTATCCTTCTGGGTAGATTGGACCGGTTCAAGTTGGATTAAATCTATGGTTGAAGCAGGTTGTAAGGGTGGACAAACAGATGCAACAACAAAGATGATGAAAATTCTGGATGATTTAATTGAAAAATATGTAGCTTCAGAAGTTATAATCGTCGAAGCTGGAAACGTGGATCATGGTATCACTGAAAAAGAAATTGAACGTAACATGGAAGAGAATGAAGCTAAACAAGAAGCTATTAAAGTTCAAAATGAATTGAAAAATCAAAATCTGGCTAATTCAGAAAATAATAACATGTTAAATCTTCTTTTAATTGTTATTGCGATACTATTATTATGGAATATATACAATCAACGTTCTTTGAATAGTTCAATCAGAGGTTTACAGAGAGCTATTGATGAACTTCAAATGAAGTAGATATTATGCATTAGGTACGGGGTGTTATATATATATATATATATATATGATTTAAGATTAGATGTGTTATTTAGTGATTCTTACGTCAGGTATTAATAATGTACAAATATTTTGATTAATCCTCAAAATGTAGCTACATTTAAAATGTTGGGAAACTTAATTGTGGCAATTCAGGATAATGCAGTAAAGTATTAGACGTTGTTATGCTTTCATCCGTTGTTGCTTCGTTAACATTAGTACTTTGTGTGTTATCTGTAGCAGAACTTATAGTAGTGACATTGGTTGTATGTGTCAATCTAACATGATTATTTGAATTTATTGATGAATTTTGCAAAAACGTTAAGGACTGCTGGAAATGATGTTCATTGAAAGCTGGCGGCAACGTTACCATCTCCCTCTTATTTTCAGAATTATGTACTTGAGGAGCATGGTTTCTTGCTATATTCTTGGCCAACGACACTTGATGTCTTTCCCATTCAGCATCAATCTTCTTCTTTAGATCCTCGATTATTCGAAGCACAGCAGGAACTTCTAATTTTATCAGTTGTAAATATTCCTGTCTGTAAAGTTTTAATTCAGGATCACTTTGAGGTTTCCCACTGATCAAAAATTCTGGATGTTTAGATAATTTGTTTGTACATAGATCCACGTAACGATAATAGTACATGAATGCTTTTGCATTATCCCCTGTTTGAAAGCTCAATTGAGCTTTATCAAGGATTCCGATACATGTCTTAAGGTATATTCTTAGGGGGATAGCAGTGTTAAATTTATAATCCTTAGCCTCCTGAGCTAGATGTAAACTGGAGAGCATCATATAATAGTAATAAATTGAGCGGGGGTATCGAATAAAGAAAATAAATGTAGCGACCGCTATTGAAGATTAGTATTTTGACGTTGGAACAAATATAGACTCAGGCTAATTTTTGGTCGTGTAGGACTAAATTCGGATAATATTATTTAATATTTTACTATTATTATTATTATCAATTACTTTGGCATTGCTAAACAGTTATATAGGGTTACATAAGGTGTACTCGTAATAAAAACATTTTATATTGTAATTTTGTCATATTTCCATTGCTATTGGGAAACCCCATAAGGAATTGCGATGACATTGAACGTCGTCATTGTTCGTCGGTTTGATGTCGGTTTATTTTTTTACTTTTTGGTTACTCATTTTTACAGATAAACAGCCGGACAACAAGAAACGCTACTAAAAAATGTTCAATTTAACGAAATTTTTCACTTTCAATGAATCTCTAAATCAACAAATATCTATAAAACTACAACGTGGTGGATCAGAGAGACACGTCAAAACGAGATATTCTGTAATATTAAATGGCATTATGTTAATGGCATGTCTATTATATACAATTTATACTAATATTTTATGATTCAGCATTTTAAGTTCTAACCATCAATTTGCACCAGTATTTGATCATATGTTATTATATATAAATGTAGCTTGACTAACATAGTCAATATGACGCAAAAAAATATTGAGCAACCCAATTGTATTAGTCCAAGCCAGGATAATGTAATATATATTTTTCTGTGCTTAATTGTATCCTAAATATCCAAAGTAAAAACATTCAGAATATGAATATTTCTATGCCTTGAAATGGTTCAGGTTTATTATTATTGCATTCAAATATACATTTTCCTTTGTCACAATCATCGATAAAAGTTAAGAATATACAAGCGAACAACAGAAATGCACAGCTGCTCTTAATATTGTAATCATTAACACTATACCATGCATATATAAACATCTTGTACTGAAAAACTAACATTTCTATATACCCCACACATCATTATGGGTTTCTAAAATTTCCAGCCGGACCCTGGTGAACCGATGATTGCTACCTTCTCTTACTTTTAAATCCCATTCCGCTAAAATATTAGTTCCATATCTTTGAGAACTAATATTGCGGTTACGCACCAGGAGAACATTCACCCGTGGTCAAAGACATCAAAAGGAGCTAAACTGTATAGTTCATCTGCTGAATTCACTCATTCATTCTTAGAAATTCTCTTCATTAATCCCATTGAAACGAAAAAGAAAGGTGAAAAATTATAAATTTTTCAGTTTTAACATTTCGCGTCGCACTTCACAACAATCATCGTTCAACTCAGCAACAACGCGTGTCCTTTTAAATGAAAAAAAATTTCAGTTTTTTTGTGATTAAATAATAATTGACAATAATAAGTGAAGCAGAGGAAGGTGAACGTTGTCCATTCTACACGTTAATTATAAACTATTGGCGTTTTATTGATGGAACTATTGACGTTCTTGGACGAGAAACGAAAATTTTTCTCTCTTTGTTCTTCATGATTTTATTGCATGCGCAGGTCATAGCGACAAACAGCAATATTTATATGTTTTATCATTTATTTTTGGTGTTTAATATCGTTCACTTTCTTAGCCTGTCTATTAATATATAATTGTCACATTTTCTTATTTATTTTTGATTGTTTGCCTTATTAGTTACATCTTTCTTTTATTCATTATTTACAATTTCTTGTTGGGTTTTTATATTTTTTTTACAAAAGAAGCTCTTTGACTGCAAATATACCCATACAGACCCATTATTATATCATATAAACATACAGAAATGGCTGCCTCTGAATTTCAATACAAGGAACAACCAGAAACCCTAGTCTTATTCGACGTTGACGGTACTTTAACCCCAGCTAGACTAACCATCTCCAATGAAGTTAGAGACACTTTGAAGAAACTAAGACAAAAGGTCTGCATCGGTTTCGTTGGTGGTTCCGATTTGAGCAAACAATTAGAACAACTAGGCCCAACTGTCCTAGATGACTTCGACTTTGCTTTCTCTGAAAACGGTCTAACTGCTTACAGACTTGGTAATGAACTAGCTTCCCAATCCTTCATCAACTGGATCGGTGAAGAGGAATACAACAAATTAGCTAAGTTCATTCTAAAGTATTTGTCAGAAATCGATCTACCAAAGAGAAGAGGTACATTCCTTGAATTCAGAAACGGTATGATTAACGTCTCTCCAATAGGTAGAAACGCATCTACTGAAGAACGTAACGAATATGAAAAGTACGACAAGGAACACCAAATCAGAGCTAAATTTGTCGAAGCTTTAAAGAAGGAATTTGCTCATTTGGCTCTAACTTTCTCTATTGGTGGACAAATCTCCTTCGATGTTTTCCCAACCGGTTGGGATAAGACTTATTGTCTACAACACGTCAAGGGTGATGGTTTCAAGGAAATTCACTTCTTCGGTGACAAAACCTTCAAGGGTGGTAACGATTTCGAAATCTACGAAGATGAAAGAACCATCGGTCACTCTGTTAACTCTCCAGATGACACTGTCAGAATCCTATCTGAAATTTTCAACTTATAAGTTCAAATAATATTATAACTATACAATCACAGACAAACATTCACTCTTTTAATGAAATATATACATATATCACATGCTTTCTTTTTATCCTTTAATATACATCTATATACAGTAATATAATGTAATGTAATAAAACTTTAATCATTAAAATTTTTCTTCTATACTCTTATTTAAGATAAAAGTCTTATATATGCTAACACCAGGGCACATGTACCGGTACACACACCGATCAGCCACTGCATAACTTGTGTTTTAACAGAATCGATTTGCATCTTCATATTAGACACTTCTTGATCTATCCGTGTATCGATTTCTTTGATCTGTAAATCATGGTGTGAACTTTCGTCTTTGATACGTCCTTTTTCTAACGAAAGATCAAGTTTGAATCCGGCATTGCTCTTAGATATATCTTCTTTTAATCGACCTTTCAATTTCTCTAAATCATTTTTCATACGTTCATACTCATTTTGGATATTGTAAAATTCATTACGATCAGAACTTAACAATTGATCTCGTAATTTGGCAAAATCCACCCTTTGTTGATATGTTACTTGTAATAGTCTTTCACGCTTGGAAAGATCCTTTGCGACATGCGCAACACCACTCCGTATAGACTCGGTGATGGTATGAACAATAATTTGTGATTGCTGTTCGGTGAAGTTACCTTCTTTCATTAGAATATCCTTATACATATTTGTATTCTTCACATGAATCGGTTCTTCCTCCCTCAATGACATTGTGGTTAAGCTAAATTTTCTCCTGAATGACGGTATTCCAGCATATTTCCTTATTACTAACGTGGTTCTCGTTATATTGAACATTCTGAATCTAATATCCATATGAATATATGATGCTATCTCTTGTCCAAAACGTTTCACTATTGATTCTTGAACTATGTAAGTAGTTATTGTTTAGTCTTATCTTATATATCTTTTACAAAATGCGATGAAAAAAATAGCCTTTTGAAAAAAAGGTCGTAGTTAACTGTTCAAAACGCAATATGCCTACATCAAAGAATTGCATAACATACAAACTAAACTTGTGTGCATATATATATATATGTATATAACCTATCACCTTACGGATGAATTTTGTCTCTTCAATTCCTTGAATATACGCTTCTTGTGAGTTAGTAAATCATAAAATATTTTGTAACCTAATTCGTTATCTTCAAATTTTTTTGCATGTAAAATGCAATTAGCAAATTCCTTTGATACATCAGTAATAAAAGTAGAAACAAGCATATCTACTTCTTTGGATTTTTCTTCTGATGTGTTATCTGCATTAGCCATCCTTAATATTTTAATTAGCCTGTAGAAATGGGTAGAAATAGCATCAAGCGTCGCAATGTGTGGCTTAGGTAGAGATGCCAATGCAGTGAAAATACCGGTTATTCTCTTTTCTTCATTATTTTCTTCCTTATCATCATTACTTTGTGGGTATTCATTGTATAGTACACCCAATATTTCAGCGAGTTCTGTGGTAATCAAAGGTTCCGGTAATTCAAGTAGATAAATCTTCAATACGCTTGCAATTGTACTAGGTTCATAATTACCTTCTTTTAATATTTTCATTATATCTTCATCACTTTTGAATTGAGTCTTATTTAGCAAATTTCTTAGTTGATGTGTTAAACTTAATTTCACTGGTTGCGTCCAGATCGAAACTCTTATTTTATCATTTTCCATATCTGGATACATCATATCCATATAGGATAGGATTACAGTGACTATTAATGGTACAACACGTTTATCTAAACGACAACGTGTCTCCAAATCGATACCAAAGTTTTGATATATACCAGGATTGTAATAATTGTTGTACGTTATTACTTTCGGCTGAAATAATCCAGTATTGTATTTGGATATCAAACCTAGCAGATCGCCAGTCGGGTCGATTAAACCTTCAGCGTCAATCATCTTCTCAATATGAACCTTCATTTGAGCTATTTTATTACTGATTGTAGAACAAAAATCTATAGTGGCTTTCTTTATTGCTTTCGTACGATCTAATTCACATTTTTCTATAAATGAAAGATGATCAATCATTAATTCCTCCACAGAGCATCTAAGTGTATCCATTTTATTACATTCTTTAAAATATAGAAGGTTAGTAGCCTCTACATCTTTAATCAGTCCATGCAACGTTTTTTCGATATCGGTAATATTTGGAGGTTCTAACCCTACCTTACTCTCTTTCATTTTTGAACCACCAGTAGTATCTGATACCGGTGTACTTTCTTTCTTACTGTTATTATTTGATTCTGTAACAGATGAAGTAATTGATAATTCTTTTGCATCGAATGAATCATCGACACTATCTGTAGTGTTGTTAGATAATACAGCTGTGGTATTACCACTTATACTATCCCCTGAAAAGTATCTAGTTAAATTACTAAAATTACGAGATATATTTTCTTGTAAATTTTCAGGAGTTTGGCTATTGTTATTAGTATCGCTTTCAGATCCAGTATTTGGTAATTTAGCAAATTTGTATGCATAATCCTTCCATTGATATTGAAATTTCTTTGAATTGACAAAAGTATTACCTACACCGTTAACATATTTCAAAAACCCAAAATCTAATAAATCCTGGCCAAATCTTTCAGCTTGATCGGTATCTTTAAAAGACATGATCTCCAGGATGAAATGAGTAATTTCATAACCTGTATTAGTATTTGTCAAAGGGTAATTAATTAAAGGCAATCTGTATTCAGCATGTGGTAAATCCTTTAAAAGTGCAGTCATAGTTTCTCTCAAAGTTCTACAATCGAATTCAATATCACCTAATTTTCCAAATAATTGATTTTCTTTTTCATTTTCTAAATAAAGTTCATGTTGTTTTTGTAAGTCTAATGATTTCATTGCTTTTGTCAACTCATCGTCATTCATAAAATTAATTCTTTTAAAATCTTCTAATTTCTTACATTTATTGAAATATTCTCTTTCTAATTTACTTACATAACTCTTAGATTTTGTAAGATTTTTAACATTATCCATCAGAGTCTTCTCAGAATATTTAATTCTACCTTTATGATCTAAACACCATTGACTAAACGGTTGTAACACGAGACTCTCTATATTAGATGCGATATTTAAATGTTCATCACCTTCATTCTGCATCTCTTTCAGAATGTGGTGTAATGCAATACCAGCTGTAGTCTCCAAATGATCCTCAGGTTCTTTATCTATCCCTGTTTGAACACCACATAATTGTCTTCCGTAAGCAACCTCATATTGCATTCTTGAGGCAAACAATTGAATAAAAGCATCACATTGATTACAACCATTATATAATTTGTAAAACAATACTTGAAGACCTGACGTCATATCATCGGACCAAAAACTATCCGCAAATGATGGCATGATGAGCAGAGGGTATGGTAATGTGGTTATAAATATAATGGTATATTGCACTATTAACTAGGTTGTACTGTTACAAAAACTTTAAATATATATATGTAAAAGGTTCGTTATTTTATATAATATTGTAGTTGTTCCCAGCGAGAATTGATATATTCATTCATGGCGTCTGTGTTGGTTTTCGCTGTGCGAAAGAACCATTTTCATTGATTTATTTTTAGTTTTCCATACATAATACGCCTAAGACAGCTAATCGCAACCTTATTAAATAGATACATATAGCAGATATGTAAAATTCAATAACACAAGATCAATAATATTTGTGGTGCTTTCCATGGCAACTACTACATCCACAGATGAACAATTCTACGATCCTACTTCATGTTAATATATCTCACGAATAGTACTACCAATATGTTCAATCTTACAAAAAATTTATATGTATATATATGTGTGTGTAGTGATTGATATATAATAACTCTTACATTCAGTAACGAAGTACGTAATTACTTACTGGTCCCTGTCTTGTTCATTCTCAATGAAATCTGAAATTTTTCAATCTTTTTTTGTCTGATTAAAATATACATTGGAAATAGAAGAAGACGAAAGTGAAAAAAGAATTATGTCCACGGAGCGATAGTGACGAACAGTTTGTTTGGCTATTATACTGTATACAACGATAAACGGTATTTTGAACATTGAAATATTTGAGAGATCAAGCTAAGTTATGTTTTAAAGTACTGTTTATATTGAAGTAGGCGATTTATATTAAGTTAAATACTTTACTTTATTATCATTGTATATAGAAAGGAAAACCAAGAGAAATAAAAACCCCAATGCTATTCTCTACCTTGACAAGAAGTCTGCTGATGGCGGGCATGGCAGTAGTATCTGCCCACGATACAGGGTCTCCTTCATCATTGAAAGAGGTACCTATTGCAGCTAATTCACTTCCAGAATTACTCTCTTTACAATCTATCCCAGCTAACTGGATTTCTTCTGATGAAACGACCTTGGAAGAAGGGAGGATCATCTTGACTCCAAAAAAACAATCAAAAGGTTCATTATGGTTAAAATCATCAGTGAAATTAAATAAAGAATTCACCATTGAATGGACTGTTAGGTCTGTAAATTATGAAGGTACATCCACAGGTGGTATGTCTCTGTGGTTTATCTCCTCAGACAAGATGAAGGACACCAGTCTATATAATGGTCCTAGCAAGTTTAATGGGTTACAAATTCTAGTGGATAACAATGGTCCCTTGGGACAATCTATTCGTGGTCAACTGAGTGATGGATCTGTTGTGTTTAAGAAAGAAGGTATCTATGATAAATCATTTGGGTCATGTCTAATGGGCTATCAAGGAACTTCAGTTCCGGTGACTATTCGTTTATCCTATTCTGAGAATTTAGGTAGGACAAGTTCCAACATGTTAAAATTACAGGTGGATAATAGAGTATGTTTCCAAACTAATAAGATTAATTTTCCGCGTGATGCTGCTTCTAATAATGGGTTATATAATGTCGGTGTCTCTGCTGATAATGGTAACACTGTGGAATCATTTGAAGTTCTTAAGATGAATTATTATGATACTGTCACTGAAGAAGCATTGATTCCAAATGTTAAAGCAATGGGTCAACCAAGAATGATCGCTAAGATTATTGATCAAAGTACTGGTGAAGTGAAAACTGTTGAGAAAGAAGTATTAGATGAACAAAATGATCGTACTTCTAACTACGAATTGTTTCAAAAGATTGATAAAATCGAAGGTAAGATATTGGCTAATGATATCAAACATCTGCAAGATAAATTAGAAAAGATAACGAACAATCAAATGTTAATGGTGGAACAAATGAATCGTTTATTAGAGAAATTGAATTCAGGTGAATCAACTAATGGAGAAAAACAATCGATTATGGATGAAGAAAGTTATAAGCAATTCTTTTCAGTAAATGAAAAATTAGAAAAATTATTTCAAGAAAGAGAGAAGGTAAGAGAAGTTAATCAAAAGGAACAATCTTTGCAAAGTAATAGTGTGTCAAGTGATGAAATTTTGAAAAAATTGGCAGTATGGTTATTGCCTTTCGCTGTCTTGATTGTGGTCCTTGCCTATTACACTTTCCAAATAAGGAATGAATTAACAAAGACAAAACTGCTTTGAATAACAGCTAATGTGTTCATTTGATAATAAACTGCATGTTTCTTTATGTATATGTTTGCGTTGTGTGTATAAAACACTAAATACAAGAAAACATTATGTATAATACATCATTTGGTAAAGACTTGAAGAATGATTATGTTTAATTTTACAATCAGCTCTAAAAAATATTGTGGACAATTTAGAACTATCGTCATTTAAATAAGTACATACTATTTTTAATTTTTTACTTATATGACTTTTTTTCATTCTTGATGGCTTGTTCCATATCGTTTCTCTTATCATTCAATACATCATTATCTGCAATCGTATTAGTCTGGACAACGTGCTGGCCAACATTACCATTAACTCTCATTTGTTCTAACACTTCAGGTGGAATGTTAGCATAAGGTGGTTTCCTTGTCTTAATATTTGCAAATCCAAGGAAATTCCCATTAGGTACTCTCCTTGTTGTATGGAATTCATCTGTATTGGTCTCTTCATTGAAAATTTCCTGAGTATCTGTGACGGCCAGCATATCACTCAAAGTTTTAGTTTGTAATTGTTTAACTTGATTAGCTTTTAATCCAATTGGTATACCAGTTTTATATTGCCAATATTTCCCCCATTTCTTCTTTCTCATAGCACGCATTCTTTGAATACCAGTGTTGAAAAATAATGAATCATGCAAATATTCCACTTCCTTAATTTGATTTGGGGTCAAAGTATTTAATTTCACTAACAGACTATCTCTTTGATAAATTGGTAACCCTCTATAAGTATGTGTATCATCAACAGCATTCATCATTTGTATTGCATTTTCCCTAATTGGTAAAGTTTCAAACTTCCAACCATTAATATTTAAAATCGAGTTTGTTTTTGAATGTGTTGTTGTAGTTGTCGGTGTTGCTGGGGATTCACTATTATCGTCATTTTTCTTAGATCTATTATCCAAAATGTTACTTAACATCCTGCTCATTGGTTTCGATGACATAAAATTAGGACTTGCTGCAGCAGTAGTGGTTTCGGATTCGATATTATCAGAGTAACTATTAATATTATTCAAATTAATATTGCTATTGGCTCTACCTGCCGCAGCACCTTTGACCGAATTCGAAAAACTAGTCATCGATGACATTAAACCCATACTTGCGTCCAAATTATTGCTGTTATTTATCTCTTCCAATGATATGCCAATAGGGATATCTAACGATTTAGATTGAGTAGCTTGTAAGAAAGAATTTTTACTATGGTATTTAGGTACTTTAAATTGTGCAGTTAATTCCATTGCATCATTAATACTTTGACCTGGCATCACAGTCATGATGTGTTCACCTTTACTAAACTGTAGTAAATATTCATCTTTAATTTCCTTAGATGGTTGTTCTGTCACTGTTGGATATGGCGACACAAGTGATATAGGTTCCTTTGATAATTCCATCTCTTCCTTTGTAGGAATAATATGATCTTCCTTTTCAATCCTGGAAATCATTGAATCATTCAATGATGGTTTTAATCGATACACTAACTTAATCAGTCGTTGTGGTAATTTGTGTACTCTATGATGTTGAGTGAAACCTTGTTGTTTCCCAATAGTTTCCCAATAATCATCCGCTAATCGATGACCAGACGCCACAATTGATGCACCAAATATGACGAATGCAGTTTTACATGTAATAAATTTATAACTTTCTCTTTCTTCGATAGCTCTAGGGTTTCCTTGTATAATTTTATAATCTGTTAAGAATTTGATATCTTCAACGGTAGGAATATGAGTTAACAACATGTCGTATTGCATTAGAAAATCTGGCATACTCAATTCATATTGTAAAGCTTGCATTAAATCTTTAACTAACAATAAATGAGTTTGACCAATTCTCGACAGGCTGAAAGTATTAAATAGGTACTTTGAACCATTTAATAATTGACCAAACACCGATATTTTCCGTTCACCAACGGGATCTCGTTGAGATAATGGGTATTCCAGTACTTTATCCTTTTCAATCATTTGTTTATTAAAACTATCCGGTGGTAAAACAATTGTCTTTTGAGGGAATTGATTCAATGGACCTTGCAATAATTCACTTTGACCAGCTAATGGTACCGTATGTTTTACAAGAAATAATTCGTGAGAATGTAATGTTTGTGGCTTTACCATTTGTACTGTACCGTCAGTGTTAATGTTGTTACCATCATCTGTTGCGGTGGTAGTCGACATCTTGATGGGTATTAAAAAAAGGTAAAACCAATAAAATAAAAGAATAAATAATAAAATGAGAAGGGAAGAAAAAAAAAAATATAGTAGATATGACTATAATGCTAGGAAATACAATTCACTTTAGAAAAAAAAGGAAATTAATATAACAAAAAGATATTCTGTGCTATGTATATTTCTCGAAATCAAACAATGGAGACTATACTAATATATTATTAACCTAGATTTAAAAAATATAACGAATGAAAATGATATTATGATAATAATAATAATAATAAATCTGTTAATTAAGGGTAATTGATAAAATGAAATGTGTCACTAATTTGGTAAATAGTAGTTAAATAATTAAGATTTCCAGGGTTCTTTGTTGTTTTGCTTTTTGTTTACTTCTGTTCGTTCTGCACCGTGTACCTATGTATGTAGTATACTGGAAGAATTTCAAAGTTAGTCATTTTACTAGCAAAGCTTCAATATAATAATATTTTTTTGGTTTTCACCCGTAAAATGAAAATATTTTTCGTTTGTTGATTGTGTTCGTTGTTAGTGATGTTATAATTGGACTAAGAAACATCCGCACTAAAATGGAATTTCTAACCACGAAACATATTCAATGAATAGAGTGCATACATAATAAAGGAAGGAAGGGCTTTTCATGTTAACATTGAATAATGCTTTCTTTGTATTACCTCATGTGGTGAATGATTGAATTACTGAATAGAATATTGATTGAATTATTGTTGTTCTTCTTTTCTTCTTCTGGAATTTATTGTGCTGTTGCTGGCTGATGTTGTCTTTAATTTATATTTAATTTTAATGTAATAGCTCACTGGAAATTTCAGTATGGGGTGCTATTGTCAATAGACAGATGTATATATAATTAAATTGTCTCATTTATTTTATTCTGAATGTCGATCCATCTCCGGTCTTAATTCCAAAAAGTGAAATCCCGTTATTTACGCAACATCCTTAGTATTATGATCTATTGTTATTATTCTTATTCGTAATAAGAGAAGGAAGAGGGAGGGGTACTTAAAATCTATTTGAATGTACGTGTGCGTATGGTAAATATATCATTCGTTTGAATCATATATTGATTGTCATTTTCGTGTTTTGTTATTGTTTATTTTTTACTTGAAACAGAGGCATAGCTACATTTATAAAATGGTAAATGTATAAGTATAAACAATTTTAAAATCCATCTCTTGAATATTTGTAATTTCATTTTATTTTCGATTTGGTGCGGTTTGGAGAGCATTTAGTATTCATAAATGATATGTTAATCTAAGCACAACCCAACACAGTTGATACTTATATATAAAGAAAATTGTTTTACAGATTGAAAAAGTTTTAAATCAAGATGCCAGTGGAATTAAAAAAAAGTCATATCAATAGAGATCACAAGAATGGGAATAACCTTAAAGGTCATAATATATATTGCCATGATTCAAATAAAGGATCTCCGACTAATAAAATCGTCAGGTTATTTGCTATGATAACTACAATGACTTTAGTATTTTTCATGGCAAAATTTTATTTATAGTACATAATATCATTAATATAGTAATACAATATTCAATTTCAAGGTGATGATAACATTGAAATATATGCAATGGCTACTCTTTCTCATTGTTGAACATGATAATAAATATATGTAAATTTATATATATATATATTAATGTATTTCTGTTTTCTCGGTTCGGTTCGGATAAAAGCGGAACAACTCGTTTTATGATTGTACGAAAAAGAGTAACATATTGAAAAAGATGACATAAGAGCCAAACACATAAATTTTGAACATTTCCTTGTTACGTTTAAAAGATGATCGCTTTTTTAAGTAAAATTGTGAATATATAAGGAATAATTCAAAAATTAGAAGTTGTAATTGCCATACATTCAACCATCTATACATGTATATAAGGAGATAAGGTAGGAAAACAAGCATTTAGCGATTAACAGGAAATAACAAGGATAATAATAATAATAACAATAATAATAATAATAAATGTCTACAATTACTAACACTGACATGATTAGGATAGTCATACCAGATTAGCAAGGTGGTTGTTTGAAGGAATATCAATTTGGGGCACAATTATTAGAATGGTTAGCACCCACTACAGATATTCCAGTTGTCCGTATCAATACTGCGCCAACATCATCTGAACATACCGACGAAAATGGTATCTCTAACAAATCCTCTGTATTAAGAACGATCAGAGAGGCAAAGACACAAATCAAGCAATACAATCTCAAGAAAATAATTACATTAGGTGGTGATTGTGTTGCATCATTGCCTTCGTTCAGTTATTTAGCTGAAACTTATAAAGATGGATTTGGTGTATTATGGTTAGATACACATCCTGACATTCCAATGCCAGGTCAATTCAATCATTCTCATGCATACCCAGTTGCTTCATTGATGGGGCATGGTGATAAAGAATTTGTCAGTGAAGTACCATACAAGATTCCCTGTTCTAAAATCATGATTGCAGGGATTCATAGTCTACTTGAATCTGAAAGGGATAGTATTGAAAACTTTGGTGTTCAAACCTGTTCTCTAAGATAAGTACAAACAGTATCACAAATGATTATTGATTGGATTCAAAGAGAAAATATTAAACATTTGACCATTCCTATTGATTTAGATGTCTTAAATGAAGTATTTTTCCATTCTGTATATTTTAGTCGTCCTGATATAGACAAGAGTTCATTTGATGGTATTGCACAAGGTAAATTGAATATTTCGGATATAATAAGTTTCACGAATTTAGTCAATGAGCATATAGATGTTGTTGGTATTACTATTGTAGAATATTTACTTTTGGATGCAATCAATTTGAAAAATATGCTTGAAAAATTACCCTTAATTGGACGCAAATAATAAAAACGTAAATTATATGTATAGCCTATTAATCTTTATATGGGTAAAATTGAAGCAGATCATATTTCAATATTTCACTTTATTTTGTTGTTGTTGTTGTTGTTGTTTTGACTCGGAATTGAGATTTATTTTGATAATTATAATAATAACTTGTAAAGTTGATGAAGTTATATAAGCGATATCGCTGTGTTCATGCCAGTCGAGACTAGGCACACATATGAAATATTTTAAGAGAGAAAAATCCCACGCAAAACTGAATACGTAACATTAAGTAAGAACAATTAACCCCGAGAAGAGATGAGAGAGAGATATTGCATTATTGTTTATCAAGTGGTAGCTATCCCACGCTATTACCAACCAACCTCTGACAAAATCTGGTAAAATAAATTTAATATAAATTCTTTCTTACTTCATATTCTACAGCCACGTTAGATTCAAATTATAGGAGTCTCATCCGGATGTCGGTACGATCAGTTCTCTCTCTCTCTCTCTCTCTTTCTTTCTTTTTATTTTTCACTTGTCATAGTTCCACAGTTTTCAGTCTCTGTCGCTTTCACGATGCACTCCCACGCGCGCATTAAAAATACAATCAGTTTCCTCTTCTTATTTTTTTGTTTGTCCCTTTAATAACAACTACTACAATACGCGGTGGACGTGGACAGACTTCCAATATGCGAACGCCGAAAATGAAATAATAAAATTGTGCGTGATCAAAATTTATATATTACATTGAGATTAAGTAACGAAGTGCATGAAGAAATTTCGAAATTAGGAAAATAATATTTCATCTACGTAGTAAATCGTCATCACCATCATTATTTTGTCTTGATAATCCTGTATTATGACAGCTGTTGAGTTACGAAGAGAGAAAACAGGACCAGCTGTATTGCTTTTGTTGTTCTTTTTAAGGGAAGAATATCATTTTTAGTTTGTAACTTGAGTAGTTTGGGTTGTAAAAGGCATCTTTTTTATCTCGAATAGAGTCGATGTCATGTTAATATTTAATTTACTCTGTTTTGTCTATTTAGTTAACTCTTGAAATCTTTCGTTCTTGATTCCGGTTTTTGTCTTTTATATATATATACTTCTGTAGAAAGTTTACATAATTTCGGAATTTTCTTTTTTTTATTTTTTACTTTGAATGTCTTTCGTAATCATTATTACCTTGTAACCATTAGATTCATTATCTTTTTTCTTATATAGATTTGAAGCTATATCAACACACGCATCTATATATACATATATATAATACAATTTAGAAAATGGTCGCCATTGCTGCTCAATTAACTGCTGAAGCCTATCCAAAGGTTCACAGAAATCCAGACTATAAAGTCTTAAACGATGAAGATTTGAAATTCTTCCATTCTATCTTAGATGACGATGAAATCATCGAGGCTAACGGTGATGACTTAGTCACTTACAACCAGGATTGGATGAACAAATACAGAGGTCAATCGAATTTGGTTCTTCTACCAAAATCTACCGAAAAGGTCTCTAAAATTATGAAATATTGTAACGAACATAAATTGGCTGTTGTCCCACAAGGTGGTAACACCGATTTGGTCGGTGCCTCTGTCCCAGTGTTCGACGAAATCATTTTGTCTCTAAGACAAATGAACAAGGTTAGAGAATTCGACCCAGTCTCTGGTGCTTTCAAATGTGATGCTGGTGTTGTCATGCGTGATGCTCATCAATTCTTAAGCGATAACGACCACATTTTCCCATTGGATTTGCCATCTAGAAACGCTTGTCAAGTCGGTGGTGTTGTCTCTACTAACGCCGGTGGTCTAAATCTGTTAAGATACGGTTCTTTACACGGTAACGTTCTTGGTCTAGAGGTCGTCTTACCAAATGGTGAAATTATTAGTAACATTGATGCTTTGAGAAAGGATAACACCGGTTACGATTTGAAACAATTGTTTATTGGTGCTGAAGGTACCATTGGTGTCATTACCGGTGTCTCTATCCTAGCTGCTCCAAAGCCAAAGGCCCTAAACAATACTTTCATTGGTCTGGAGAGTTTCGATATTGTTCAAGATTTGTTTGTTAAGGCTAAGAAGGAACTTTCTGAAATCTTATCTGCTTTTGAATTCATGGATAATGGTTCCATTAAATGTACCATTGAATACTTGAAAGATGAACCATTCTTATTGAAGAAACAACATCCATTCTATGTCTTGATTGAAACTTCTGGTTCTAACCAACAACATGATCAAGAAAAATTGAGTGCTTTCATTAAGAGTGCCCTTGAAGAAAAATTGATCTCTGAATCTCACATGGCTGCTGACATTGACGAATATAACAAGATCTGGACTTGGAGAAAATCTGTTCCACCTGCTTGTAACTCCTACGGTGGTATGTACAAATACGATATGTCCCTAAAGTTGAAGGACTTATACTCTGTCTCCGATGCTGTCACCAAGAGATTAAACGCTGCTGGTTTGATCGGTGATGCTCCAAAGCCAATTGTTGCTTCTGTCGGTTACGGTCATGTCGGTGATGGTAACATTCATTTGAATATTGCCGTTAGAGAATTCACTAAGCAAATCGAAGATTTATTGGAACCATTCGTTTACGAATACATTCAATCCAAGAAGGGTTCTATCAGTGCTGAGCACGGTATTGGTTTCCACAAGCACGGCCATTTACATTACTCTAGAAGTGAAATCGAAATTAGATTCATGAAGGAAATCAAGAAGCATTATGATCCAAACGCTATCTTGAACCCATACAAGTACGTGTAAGCAATTGATAGGTTTGGTGCCCTCAATACAAGTACTGTTCTATAGATTTATAATAATGTATAATGTAAAAAAAAATTTAAAAAAAAGATTATTTGCCCATCTTAGAGACTCTCCTTATCGTTCGTTTAAGTAGGAGATTTAGTTACCAATGGAGTGTGGAATCAGTAAACTCTTTCTTATCACTTGAAGAAATTTTCTTATTCAATTTCAAACGTCACCATTTGAGCTTTCTTTCTTTCTTTGATCGTTTTTATTTTTGAATTGTAATAGAAAGGAGTTAATCCTTTGTAAAAGTATGTCTTTACCCTTAGTTTTGAACCGGCTTTAATATTAAGCATACCGAGAGGCGCTTAACGTAACCGCCTCTCTTTGGAACATTGGGGTAAAACTATATTGCTATAATACAAAAAATAGAATAAAGTGAACGTTAATTGAATGGGTATAAATACATTAATAAGAATTAGGTATAATAAAAATTTATGGAAAGATATTTTTCTGTTTCTAAAGATATTTTTGTTGCTCATTATCGTTTGTGTCCAACTAATCAATAAAATAAAAAATGATGAACCCAAAATCTTTGGAGAATGTGACATTATGCATTCCCAAAAGTTATGTAGGTCAATCAAACGTATCCACCACATATAAAGATATTCTCACACAAGATGCTTTGAGGTTTATAGTATTACTCCATCGAAAATTTAATGATCAACGATCAAAACTATTGGAAAACCGTTCTTTTTTACAAAATAAAATAAATGACAAGAGTTATCAATTTGGGTTTTTACCAGAGACTGCTATAATTAGAAATAACCCTACTTGGTCAGGTCCTCAAGTTTTGGCTCCTGGACTGATTCAAAGACATACAGAGATCACAGGTCCACCGGTTAGAAATATGGTCATAAATGCCTTAAATAGTGAAGTCGATACATATATGACTGATTTTGAGGATTCATTATCACCAACATGGTCTAATATAATTGATGGCCAGATTAATCTATATGATACAATTAGAGAACAAGTCGATTTTACTAATGATGACACTGGGAAAATTTATTCAATGAAGAAAACTTTTGTTGAATCACCAACCATTATTATGAGACCTCGTGGATGGCATATGGAAGAAAAACATTTGTATATCGATGATGAACCAATCAGTGCCTCCATTTTTGATTTCGGTCTTTATTTCTTTCACAATTGTGATGAATTGATTAGAAGAGGAAAAGGTCCATATTTTTATTTACCTAAAATGGAACATCATCATGAAGCCAAATTATGGAATGATATATTTAATGTCTCTCAAGATTGTTTAAATATTCCTAGAGGTACCATCCGTGCCACTGTACTAATTGAAACGTTACCAGCAGCATTTCAAATGGAGGAAATAATTTTTCAATTAAGACAACATTCTAGTGGATTAAATTGTGGTAGATGGGATTATCTTTTCTCTACCATTAAAAGATTAATGTCACATAAAGAATATGTCTTACCCAGTCGTGAACAACTCACTATGGAGACACCATTCATGGATGCTTATGTTTCTTTATTGATTAATACATGTCATAGACGTGGAGTACATGCTATGGGAGGAATGGCTGCACAAATTCCAATTAAAGACAATCAAGTTAAAAATAATATAGTTATGACTAAAGTGATAAAGGATAAACAACGTGAATTGAATAAGGGGCATGATGGTTCATGGATTGCACATCCTTCGCTTGCTACAATATGTAATAAGGTGTTCCATTCTATGGGTACTAAGAATCAATTATACAAAGTTCCATCTATTGACTATACTAATTATCAAACGTTACTATTACCAACGGTATCACAAATTGACATCACTCAAGAAAACATTGAATATTCTGTTAAAGTAGCATTATTATACATGGGATCCTGGTTACAAGGCAATGGTTGCGTTCCTATAGATAATTTAATGGAAGATGCAGCCACGGCAGAAGTATCTAGATGTCAACTATATCAATGGATTAAGCATGGAATGCGACTAGTTCACAATGGTAATAGTTCTAAAATTATTACAAAATCAATGGTTTTAACATTAATTAAAAATGAAGCCGATCGGTTATATAAACAATATGATAATAATTCGGTGTTTTATACAGTTGCAAAAATATTGATTAAAGATATTACATCTTCACAAACCAATGAATTTTTAACTGTACTATTATACGATGAGTTATTGGCTACGGAATCTCCCACAATAGATTTTCACGAACAAGAATTCTTAAGTAAACTCTAATTAAAAAAAAAACATCAAAAAAAAAAAATTTTTCTCACATTACAATCAGCTGCTGTCATTCTTCTGTCCTACTTCTTTTTTTTTATCCATCACTAGATATTAAATAATTATAAATGTTAAATTAAAAAATACATAGCACACTAACTATAACATAAAATAATATTCACTAAAATCAATTAAGATCAAAAATTTATAATGCAGGCATCCAATCAAAAACTTCGGACCTGATACCTTTAAAACCCCGATATCTGTTGTCTTCGAGGAAAACAACCAAACAACCAATAAGAGAGAGAACGTGTGATGATAGAGTCTATTCTATTCTATTCTGTTACCATTAAAATATCGCCCCGCAATGCAATCCCCCACAGATGTGCATCACAGGTACCATCAAGTTCACTATTATCATACCGTATAAGCTACCTTACTCCACAACTCAAACAATCTACAGAAAGAAATATACCATAGTGATAGTTTGATTGATCGATTGATGGAGAGATTGATACCGTGAAAGAAACCCGCTTTGTCCAACAACAAAAAGAGTGCTCCTGCTTCTTCTCCTCTCACCCCCGCCATTCTCACCCGCAATTGAAGCGGCAAAAGCGAGCTAGCAACCCGCCCGTCTTTCTACCGTCAGAACATCGAGAATACGTTTTCTGCAGTTATAGCACCGGAGAACAGCGGGCCGTTAATTATAGAACATATTTTAAGGTGAAAGAGAAAATGGATATTATATAGATCATAACAGTTAATTAAGTCTCGGAACGGTATTCTCCATCCCACTTTGTAAACTAGATAGATGGTATGTATACAGAATGGGAATTAAGTTCATTATATACATCTCTATTGTATGATCAAAAGAGCGAAGAACTTCGTTATTAAACTGGTTAATATTTAGATATTTCATATATAAGTGAACAGGATCTATTGAATATCAAAAATTTAATTTATAGTGAACAATTTTATTTGAAATATTAATTATTTCGACCTCACTTTACTATTTTTTGGTGTTTTCCCATCATTCAATAAATTAATAAACATATTTATTTTTACTCAGCTCATTCAATAATATAATATATTAAAAATATAACATTATTATTGGTGCGAAAGAAAACAATAAATCATCACCACAGTTTGCATAAAAATCTATCTCATCTCTAAATTAACAAGAAGACCGAGAAATACAGGAATCATTTTTATTTGCATTACATTAAGCCTAAATCCATTATTATTATAACCTCAATAGATAATTATCTTTCTATCTATCTATTTATTGCATTTTCTGCTCTGTATATCTGCTTATCTCCGTATAAATTTGTATTTATACTTTACTGTGCAACGCTTTCACCTCCCCTCCTGAGTTCCTCCCTCTCCCCTGTTTATCTCCCTTTGGCTCCCCTCAATTCGGAACAACTGAAAAAGAGAGAAGAACAAGACGAAGCGAGAAGAACAAAGTTAAGTTTTATAGTCATTTAGACGTATTAGGTAACTTCATTGGAAAATAAAAACAAGGATTGCAGCAATTTTTCAGTGCCATCACTAAGAGATTCAATTTTAGTGAAGAAAAAAAAAATTTTTTAAGGGAAGCTCCGACTGGACTTTGGTTTTATCATCTTTATATATAAAGAAATTTTTTACTAGAATCTATTTATTTTTGTTCTCAAGATGCCTGCTACAGAAATAACTCCACAGAGACGATATAGTTCATTTTCTATTAACAGTTATCGTTCAAGTAATAGTTCTGTTAATAATACTAATACTAATAATACATCTAGATCTAGGAAAAATAGTTTTGGAATCTCATCTTTATTCGGTTCATTAAATTTTTCATCATCAAATTCAAATTCAAGAAACGTTTCTAATAAAATGATTTCAACTGCTACGCCAAGAGATTTTAATAATGACGATATCGACAACATTAATAATAATTTAGGTCGAAGTAATGATCCTAAATATCCTATTCCTGCTGTATTAGAACCTTCTCAAGTACAATATCTAGCATCGTTGAATAACATTAATAATGGTTGTAACTTTAGTACATCGGTTTCTAATTCAGTATCGATATCACCTTCATCAAATCCTTTTGGATCATATTCTAATTATACTACAAGTATAAATTCAGAATTGCCTTCAATGAGAAGAGAACCTTTTAAATTACCAGAAGAATATCATTTACCAATTTTTTTACCATTGAAATCTGTCGCAAAGGATCAAACTGTCACAGATTTCACTTTAACAAGAAATAATTCAGATAGTAAACATGCTGATTTTTCTACTTTCCATTTTGTCAATGCTCATTCAGAAACTATTGCAAGCATATATCCTCCAGTTGCATGGAATATCGCACCAGATGAACAACCTCCACATGAACATCCACATTGTAAAAACAACATTAAGACTGTAGATGGTCTATATTCCATTAGATTGACTCCATTTATTGATCCATCTATTGATGAACAAGAACAAGCTGATTTTGTAAGGTCACAAGGCTTATATTTTGATCCAATTATTAGAACAGCAGGGCCTGAATCACAATTGGTTATTGCTAGATATATGAATAGTTTTGCTTCAATGCATAATTATAACGATTTGAAATTGAAAGAATATTTTAAACCAATTCTATTTAAATCTAATGTCGTATCAAGATTGCATGGTTGTGTGAAAGTCGATAGAAATGGCCAATGGTATATCAAGGATTTTAATTCTTCGAGTGGAACATTTTTAAATCATAAACGTATTTGTTCTTCAAATGATAAAGATAATGATACTTTGATGGATGGTGGTGATCATTTATTGCATGACGGTGACGTAATTCAATTAGGGATGGATTATAATGGTGGTAGAAATCAAAAATTCCGTTGTGTTAAAGTGAAAGTCGAATTAAATTTATCATGGAAAATTAAATCAAGAAATTATAAAAAAATGGGTCTTGAAAAATTGCATACGTTAAATACAATGAATTTATTATCAAATGATGCTAATGCCTTGGAATCATGTTCAATATGTTTAGAGGAACTAGATCCTTGTCAAGGTATATTTATTTCACCATGTAGCCATACGTGGCATTTCAATTGCATTAGAAGATTATTATTATCTAATTATCCACAATTTATTTGTCCAAACTGTAGAGCCACTACAGATTTGGAAGCTTCAATGGATAATTTAGAAATTCAAACAACATCACCATTGGTTTCTAGTGGTAAAAATACTCCAGTACAGGGTGCAGGACATCCACATAGTCCCTTGACTGATAATGTGATGTGACTCGAGTCAAATTCGTTTCTTGCTCGTTTCTTCTCCTTAGGTTTTATTATTTTGCCGCATTAAAATATTCATATACATATTTAAATCTATCTATATTGTAAGTCATTATTAAAAGTTTATTTCAATTTTTTGATATTTTGTTCTCCATTCTCAGTATATTGTAAAGTAGTCTAAAACTATATATTTGTTTGTTCTGTCATTTTTTTTTATATGAGAAAGTTTTAAGGGAAAAAACTGTCATAATTTGGTATCCTCACTTGTTTTACCAGATGTAGTGAGTACTATGGGATCATGAAATTTGGCAGTACCGTCCTTTAATGATAAATAGTTCTCACTTTTTAGGTAAATTAATTCATTGTATATATGACTTAACTAGGCTATACAGATGATATTTTATGGATAGTAAGATTTGAGAAATTATATAAAGCCGGCTTCCAATATTTTAGCCGTTTCCTTGGTTTGTAATCAATGGATAATTAAGAACCAATTATCTATTTGTCCTCCCTTTGACGATGACGCAAAATGTTATTTTAGTAAACAAAACGTTAAAAATGATATTCTTTCATATTCGCCGGACATATTGTCACCTGCAATATTACTATAAACATTGATAATATCTAACGTTAAACATGAATATTATACATACACATTCCTATTTTTGATATATGCTACTTAAAACGAAAACTAACGAATTACAATATTTATTCATTGATCAATCTTAACAATACATCCTGAGCCTGCTCAACACCGTTTCCATTTTTGAAAAATTGATGAGTACCTTCAATAATCCGCCATTCTACTGTCTTTTTGGAGAGCTTTGTTAGCTGGCGTTGCCAGTTACCCCATATAGGTGATATTTTAATAAATTGTTTGGAACTGACAATACTCAATTTTATATCTTGAAGTTTCAGGTTAGAAGCTAAAATGTCATTATAACTTATTAAGGAACTAGATAAGGATTCAAGCACTTTGTTCCTAATAAATCCCCCTTCTTCTACCATATCGCTTCCAAATATTCTACTCATAGATCCATGATGTGATACAAACCACGATGTATGAAGATTCAGTCCAAATGCGGACCAAATTCCATATAACCAAGTTTGAATAGTATATCTCTTTCCAATTTCCTTTTCAGGAACCCTATAATCGATACGATCTCCTTTATTACTACCAGTGTCTGGGTTTCTAGGATCCTGATCATCACCATCACCAGGGAATATTCTCCTCAGATAATGTTTTAATAAAAGTTCTTCATTCCATCCTTCAACTAACATTAAACCAGAGCAAATATCCCTATTATTAGCAGCAAATACCCTTGCGTTCAAAGCTCCATAGTCGTAACCAACCACCAAAAACTTATCTTTTAATTGTAATTCTTCTACTAATGCGAATCTTAAAGCTTCTGCAGATTTCTTCAAAGATGCAGGAGCACTAACAGAGTCACTTAATCCAAACCCAAATCTGTCATAAACACAATAACGTTCTATCTTTCCGAGATTATACAATTCCTCTATCCATGTACCAGATGTGTAAGAAGTGTCTTCACCACCATGCTCGTATAAGACAATAGGTTGGTGGGATAAACTATCAGAAACTGAAGAGGAGTTGAAATCTAGGCCATGACATGTAATATGTAGCTTCTTGGAATGTGTTTGGCCGGTCCAGACGAACATACTTTCATCTTTGCCTACATTTCTCAAAGCATTACTCAGATCAATCGAATGCAAAAAAGTAGTAAACAGCAACAATAAAAGTAAAATTAGAGAGATAAACTTTACTATATTCCGGAATGCTATTTCTATCCATTCTGTCATTGTATGTTTGTTCTGAGCTGTGGGTGGAGACAAATTTCTAATGTACCTTCTTAAATTGTAAGCTTGGAAAATACCTAGAGAAAATGTCAACGAAGTCCATAAATGAATTACAATTGAAATAATATTAATTCTTTCTCTTGTATACTTTACGATAAAAATAATTAATAGGTTTAATAATGGTAAAATGGTCAATGCAACATTTAGATGTAGATCAAAAGGTGAAAACAGACCAATTTTGTTAAACCAAAGATTAAAACAATTCCCAATTAATGATATCAATATCAAAATAAAATCGTTAAAATTAGCAAGCCTGGATGTAGGCAAAATTTCGACAAAAAATTCGGAGACAAACATTATAACCAACAGTAGCGTATTGACTAGCAAAACTACGTTTAATATGGCCTTCCAATTACTTAAAAATACGATGTAATTCTTATGTACCCGAAATCTACCATTGTTAGCATAAAATTCTGCATCTAAATATTCGTCATCTTCAGGAGGTGCATTTTCGATGGTTTCATAATCTTCAGGATGTAATAACCTGTTTCTTCCCTTTGTCTTCTTCTTTTTCTTGGCCAATAAAGGATCACGTTCTCCTGATGTACCTCCAATATTTCTATGCGATTGTTGAATATTTTCGACATCGCTATCCGAGGAATCAGATTGCTGTATAGGTGGTTCTTGTCGAACATGGGATGCTTGTTGTGTTGAATGTTCATTCTGAATGTTGGAAGATAGTTGGGCTGGTTCCTCGCCTGGGTCTGCCATATTGAAATGATATAAATTGCAATAAACCAGTGACTATTTTTCCTTTTGTAATCATACAATATCCACTACTCAAAGGTATACTAACTGAGAATGTATTTTATCGCCATCTATTATCCTTATATCTTTGGCATAATTATATTCCCTTATATCACCGAAATATCCCCTTTATTTTTTTATAGCAAATCTACCATAATTAGATCTTCCGGTGAAGGCCAAAAAAAAAAATATCTCACCAAGCAGTCTATATTAGAGCTGTCAAGCTTTGTCTATTACGGGACAATACAAACTCATCTATATTGCATCCAGGGCATATCGAAGTTGTAAAAATGTAAAAAACAACAACATCATTCTTTTCTTATATATTAAAAAGAGCACATAAAATATTACATATCTACAAATCTCTTCTGTGTCTATCATATTTTGGAACTATTTTTTGTAATTGACAAATTTAAAATCAACTCCATTTTCATCTAAAAGCTGTCCATTTGGATGATCATTTGGGAGAAAGTTTGGTTCCATTGGTAAGCCTCTTATGTTTGAACTTCCTGAGATCTGAGGATCCGACACATTTACTACGTGATTCGTAAAATCCATATTAATAGATCCAGGTATATTGTTTTGCAAACCATGCTCATAAGGCATTCTATTGGTCATCAATGATTGCTGTTGCTGTTGCTGTTGCTGTTGCTGATCAACAGGGTTTGCCTGGTATAGACGATACTCTGGAGATATACTGGAACTAATAGGCTTTTCATCTATTATTGTAGTTTCCTTTTCTTTAATTGGACTTGAAGAACTGGATTTGTCTCTTCCCCTACCCTTGATACCTTTATTAGAGTTTTTATATAACGAGGCAAAATATTCCAACATTTCTCTCTCTTCTGGAGCAATACTCTCATTGGGATCTAGTTTAGCCAATCTTTCAGTTAATTTACTTAACGCAGATAAATGAAACCTATTTTGATGAGCCTTCATATTACCTAACTGGGTGAATGTCTTGTAACAATTATCTAGCCGACAAACAAATGGTCTCAATTTTTGATGCGTCAATACATGTGCTGCAAGGTTACCTTTTCTTGAAAATCTTTTGTTACAAATTTCACATTCATATGGCTTTTCACCTGTATGAAGTCTTAAATGTGTTCTTAAATTACCACCTTGAGTAAACCTCTTCTTACAATATTGACATTCAAATGGTTTATAACCAATATGAGATCTGATATGAACCTCTAAATGAGTTAACTGAGTGAAAAATCTATGACAAATCTTACATTCGTGTTGTTTTACACCATGCGAACCTACAGGTTTTTCTACACCTCCAACAATCTCATTACTTGGTGGTAAAATATCGGAGTTTGAACCTAATACCAATTTCCCGTCTTTTGTTGTCTCGACTTTCTCCGTAACACCTTTCTTTCTTGCATCAATCATTAACATCAATTCATCAATTTTTGTTACTCCTAACAAACCTCTGGCCTTCTTTTCATTTTCCTTTAATAAGTTTTCTTCAGCAACACTTTTATCTATACCATGATTTTTTGTAATTTTCTTCAATACATCCTCAAAAGAGGATTTTTTATCAATTTTCTTTTCATTTCCTTTTCTTTTAGTCTTTTTATTTTCATTCCCCCCAGACATATCTACAGGTTGTAACGTATCATTAATATGTGTAAGCGATTTCTGTTTCTTCTTCTTTGGTTGTTTCTTTGTCTTATTAGTTTTAGACGCTCTTTTCTTCGTACTTTTTAAATTTGTGCCACTAATATCAGGACCCAAATTTCCGACTAGTTGTTCTTGCTTCATGACATCTCCAGAAGCTGGAATACCGTTTATCATACCTATTGACTGTACCTGAGACATCATATTTGGATTATTAACGGTAACATCCCTGTTAATAGGAATACCATTTGGGCCAGGTTGTTCATTTCCTATAAAATTCATCATCGAAGAAAATCTTGATAGACTCGAAGGAAGTGTTGAAACATCAGCAGGAAATGGGTTTTTTTGGATATCTCTAGTCATTTGACCATTGTGTTGAACCATTTGATTTGATAAGGGGGAGCTAACTGGTTGATTGTTAGGATCTAACAACAATTTTATCGAGGAATTTCGTCTCCTCAAATCAAAATCAAAATCGTCAGTACCAATTTTCAAGGAATTTTTTCTTGAATTGCTACCAGTAAAAAATGAATCCAACCCTAAATTAGAATTGATATTATTATTAACTGATGCAATATTATTACCAATGTTATTATTAATATTACTATTGTTTTGAGTTCTAATAAAATTCTGATTTTGAAATTTTTGGGGAACTGTCGAACCACTATTACTACCATTTGTTGCAGGAAGAATCGTCGGTGGTTTCATATTAATCGAAACAGAACCTCTCTTGTTATTTTGTCCATGTAATATATCCATATCCGAACTATCCATTGGAAATGCTGTCGATCCTCTATTTGATGGTGGAATTGACATTGAATCAGTTCTATTCTTTTCATTATTGACAGCATTCAACTTCCCAGCAGAAAATGATAACGGTTTAAATTTTGGTGCACTATTTACATCTAATGGATCGACATGATTTGCAGCAATTTTTATTTGTAAAGGATTTGAAATATGTGGTATATTATGTTGTGATATTGGTGGTGTCCACATGTTATTATTAACAATAGAATAACCTCTTGCAATTTGAGAAAGATCTTGTGATCGTCTTTTTGTTGAATCATTAATAGGTAAACCATGTTCATTATTTGTCATTTGTACATTCCCATTCCCATTATCTGCAATATTTAAGAATGGAGTTAAAGAGGCATCGGTTGAAAATCGTGGTAAGTTAAATGTATTAAACATAGCATTAATAGAGTCATTTCTTTGATTGGATCGTTGAACTGGAGGATATATCAGATTCGAATCTCTTCTATTCGCCAGGTTATTAAGATTGGTACCAGAATTTGAATTTGGATTTGAATTGTTTCCCATTATAAAATTGTTTATTGAGCCGTTGTTACCTCCTGTTATATTGTTGATATTAATATTGTTCGGATGTGTTTCGTTATTTAAAGTAGGATCTTCGTTATCATTAGAATCATTATTATTAAGTTTATTAGAAGTTATTCTTCCATCTTTATTTTCCAAAATATTCTTTGAATTTGTTCCAAGTATATCTGCCGACGAAGGATCTGTCATCGAGAGTCTATTAGGTAACTTGAGTATCTGACCTTATTAGTGATCTGTCAGTTCGAAATGTTACAAGTGAAGATACCTTCTTTTTTTCTTTTTCTTTTTCTTTTGTTATTTGTATTAATCCTTTTCTTTTTTCTTATGATCTAACTTTAGGGAATCTTTTAAACAATGAATGAAAACTCGAGATCAAATAATAAAATTTCAGTATTAACTAATTGCGACTACTATTTTTTTTTTCAGTTCTTTCTGTTCTCTTCTTTTTTATTTTTATTTTTTACTGTTTTTACTTTTTATTTTTCTTCCTACTACATCTTCTTCTAGTTTAGTAGTTTTTCTTTTCCTGAGTTTCTTTGTCCTCATCCCTGTTCTGCACGATGTTTTAAGAAGCGATTCATCCCACACATTATTTTCCTGATTGTCCCTTCCGGCTTTCTTCGAATTTATGAATCTTTCTTTACAATTTGGAATGTCTTAATTATAATACGAGGCGACTTCATTTAACTCCCTCCAGAAATATTTCAACAAACGGTATGGGTACATGCATGTTTCCCCAGAAATGTACGCACACAGGTCGTTGGGTACAACTATATTTCCTACGCAGATCATGCACGCAGTAATCCCACATAATAAAAGAAACAGGCAAAACAAACACAGCACCACCCACACTGAATAAGTCTTTTATTGAAGATTTCATTATCTTTACCATTTTACTCTGTATCCAATAGCAAAATCAATATTATTTTATAGTATAATTTGATATGCTGTTTTTCCCATTATATTACATATATTGCTAGGTATTATCTCCGCAAAATATTAGGGCTGGGTTTCAGGGTTTGAGCGTGAATTCAATCTTCTCCACATCACTGAAACTCTATAAAATATATTTAGATATAGCCTGAAGTATAATTAACCCTCTTCTCTTTTCAAAAGTAATAATAAATAGAACATGTTTCAACTCAAGTAGAATAACAACAATACTGAACCACTATACAAACACTGATGTTAAAACCAATGTCCAGTTCTTAGTATTTTAGGAAGAAATTATTAAAAATATACACCTTCTCAAACTAAAAACCCAAAATTCTTAATAAAACCATAGATTTGTATTTTAGATGCCCCATTTAGTACACACTAACAAGACAGTTGTGATCATTAACAATATAATAAAGTTATAGATAAATCTATAACTTCTTGTTTATTGAAGGGGAATATGTACCAAGAAAACCCCGTCGGCGCCTAATTTTTTATTCTTCCATATGATGTCTTATAACTAACAAAATGTAACCGCTACTAGCTTTTAGTTACCCGGTAGTTATATATATGAGATACTATCATTGCAAAGAAGCCGTACAATTTCTCTTTAATGATACAAATGATACAGCCTAGTTTTACATCTAAAGTATATTCCCAAGACATTCAATTTTCAATAGACAACCTAAAGCATTTGGGTTGTATTTAATTTTTGGAACCTATCTTCATTTAATTTATCTAATTTTATTTAATGATCTTCAACTTTTCTATTTAATAATGAAAGAAACTATATCACATTCTAACATCGCATTATAGAGGTCCGACTCCATGTTTATTGGGGTCACATACATAAAGTTTGGAACGGTTCTGCTCAAATATATAGTTTTTATATTGTCAGCTTAATTTTTTAACTAAATATCATAAAATCCTTAAATTGAGAGCTACTGCTAGTAATATCGACTTTCGGTTAGATAAGTGTTACTTGAAGTACCTTTCCAAACCTTCGGAAAGATACTTTTGTCACGTTCCACGAACTCATCGATTACCCTCTGAGATAAAATTTTAAATAAATTTTTCGTTTTCTCAATTTGGCCGCTCTTCTTTTAATTTTCTTCGCAATTTTTTGTCGTTGTCTCGCTTAGAGAGGCCGGGAATGAAGAAATTCCAATAAGAATAAAAAATATATACCAATAATACTGAAAAATTTATTATTATGTAATAATTTTATTATTGAGATGAGCTTCGTTAAAAGAACATACATATACAAAACAGACTCCTTTCGAGTATCATCGATATAAACAACCAATCTCCGACTACCACTACTACTACAAATATGTCTGTTGAACTGAAGAGAACCGCCAGTGATGGCGAAGATGTTGATATGACAAAGGATGAAACCATCAATACATCTGAACACATTAAGGAAGAACAACCAATTGCTGAACAGGAAGAAGATGAAGAAGAGGAAGATGAAGAAGACCAAGTTGACCGTGAAAAGATAAAAATCCTACCTCAAGCTACCTCTGAAGATGGCACTAGTGCTTCATTCCAAATTCTTGAAGAAGATCATACATTAGGTAATCCACTTCGTTATATAATAATGAAGAATCCACAAGTTGAATTCTGTGGTTACTCTATACCACATCCATCTGAGAATTTATTAAATATCAGAATTCAAACTTACGGTGACATTACAGCTGTAGAGGCTCTACAAAAAGGTTTAACTGATCTAATGGATTTATGTGATGTTGTTGAAGAGAAATTTACCGACAAGATCAAGCAACTATAGAATCATTCAAATAAAGAGATTAAAATTAAAAACAACAACAACAACAACAATAACCAAAGGAAAATGATATTATTAAAGGAAAGCTATTAATGACTATCATATAGATGTTCCTAATCGCATACAACATAAAATGTTCTACATACAAATCTTACATAAATTAAAAGAATAATAGTAATGATATCATGTTCATTCGGTGAATATTATTATATATTATTTTATTTTTTTTTAAAAATCTTTTAATAGCTCTAAATGTATATTAGCAATTACAATTATAATATTAAGTATGGCACATGCACCTGATAAGTGACCCACTGTCTGAAAACTTTTATTTCCATATTATATTATCATCAAGAAACTTCTTATTTTTTCAACTAAGCGTCATTTTACACGAGGTGTGCATGCTGTTTTCGGTGATCATAATTTCCATTTTTCTCTTCTTTCTTTTTTCTATTGAAGGGAAACACCGCAGCATATCTCATCTCATCGCAAAAATAAAAAAAAAAAGAAAAA